GGCAAGGTCAGCAAAGCTCTACTCTACCTATGGGAATGGTAATGCATTATGAATATCAAAACGTTTAATGTACTTGGAATTAATTTATTGATTCCCCGAAATGTTATTGTGGTATGAAAATTTACCTGAGATCTGCTTACCTCTGTATTTTATATTATCAAAAGTAGATTTAAGATTACAGGTGCGACTGTAGGTACTGAAGTTTCACAAAAAATACACTTGAACTTACTGACCCGAACACACACTCGTATTTTCTAATATAGGTTATACCTACAACTCTACTACGACGATCATTACGACATGTCTGATTTTTATTACGTTCTTTTGCGCAGGTTCCGATGAACGAAACGGACTTCAATCTTCTGTGGATGGGTAACCATCCTAAACCGGACGTTCTCCGAAATCTCACGGCTTATCAGAAGGTGAATCATTTCCCGAGGTAAAGCGAACTTGACGTTGACTGCCTAAGAAGATTTCAGACGTTGAAATTTTTTTTTTAAATATTCATAATACAATGCACAATAAATTCGCATTGTTTGCATTGGAAACAGACTAATAACTATGCGTTTCCCCTTACAGGTCTTACGAAATAACTCGCAAGGATCGCTTGTACAAAAATATCGAAGCGATGCAGAGGAGCAAAGGCGCGCGAAACTTGGATTTCATACCGCAAACGTTTCTTCTGCCGAGCGAATATAGGGAATTATTAACGGCCCACTTCAGGTATCGTGGGCCCTGGATTGTCAAACCAAAAGCCAGTTCTCGCGGTCGTGGTATATACATTGTTAACAGTGTGAGCATAACAATTTTTAGGTGTCGGTTTTAGTGGGACTTTATATTTCACAAGTGTAATCTTCGATTGCGTGTTCAAGCTGTTAACTGGAAACTTATTTCATTATATAAGTCGACTAGCTTACCCATTGAACATACTATAAATAAGATTTATTCTTTTTCTGATTGTCTTGACAAATGCGTGATGTGAATTGCGTGTGTATTAAAAAAAAAAGTACATGCAAACTTCTGACGTCTAACCGTGCCCATTTGTATTACGAATGTTGCAGCCGGAGAAGATTCTAACCGATGAATCCGTAATAGTTGCGCAATACATAAATAATCCACTACTCGTCGATGGGCACAAGTGCGACTTACGTCTTTACGTGGCCGTTACTAATTATGATCCTCTTTTAATATATCTCTACGAGGAGGGTCTGGTTAGATTTGCTACAGTCAAGTACGATGGTGGAAATCAGTATGTTTGGAATCCTTGTATGCATCTGTGTAATTACAGTATCAATAAGTTCCACGTTGACTATATTAAGTTAGTACACACGTTTTATGACGAATCTTGATAACGTTCTTGTCTAGTGGATTAAAAAAAATATTCTTATAGAAGCGAAGATCCGGATGCTGAAGATGTTGGACATAAATGGACGCTGTCGGCGCTGCTTAGGCATTTGCGTTCAACCGGTCAGGATACTGAATCGTTAATGCAACGAATAGAGGACGTTATTATAAAATCAATTCTTGCCACTGCTTCCGGTATCGTTAGCGGTGTCAAGCAATTCGTGAAGCACTCAGATACGTGTTTTGGTAATTATATATTTAATACTAGTACTATATTTAATATGAATTTAAAATAACCTGTGTCCCTATTTTAGAATTGTTTGGCTTTGACATACTTATCGATGACACGTTAAAACCTTGGCTGCTGGAAGTCAATCTGACACCATCACTCGGTTGTGATTCTCCATTGGATGTCAGATTAAAATCTGCCCTGATGGCAGATCTTCTCACTCTCGTAGGTATTCCTGCTGTCGATCCAATTTTAAGACCACAAACTACTCACACACGACTTGCCGTGAATCCTAATAAGAAAATGACTAGCGTAAGTGTTTGAGTTGTTCAGGGATTACAGAGCATCGAAAGCAGGTATCAAAACTGTCTTAGAAAATCTAATATTTTTTTGTTCAGTACAGAAGAGTGCATTCTGCTGAGACGTTATCGCAAAAAAAGAAAATTGCAAAAAGCAATATGAATAAATCAGGTCTCAGTTCGGAGCAGCAAAGGATCGTTGCATCTGCGAGGGCTCAATTTGAACGTAGAGGAGGATTCGTACGCATATTTCCTAGTCCAAAATCGTGGGAGATGTATTCTCAGTACTTAGGTTAGTAATGTATTTTGATATTAGTGTAAGTCGTTCAACAGAATTCAATTATTTTCTAAATGAATTACATCGGCGTTGTGTAATGTATTTTTTTTCTAGATCCCTCCACGGGAATACCGGTAGTGACTGATCCTCTGGGACCAGGAAGAGTACCACAGCAAGTTAATACAAATCATAATTTGATGCTGCACGAGCAACTATTTCCAGCTGCTAGTCGCGCCACTGATTTCATAATTCCAGAAGTGACATTGGATAGGCTATCTAGGTAAAGATTTATCTGTAATCTCAGTCGTTCGTTATAATCGATTTGAGTGTTATGATCAGTTGGAGGCGATGTCTAAGGACTCACAGGATTTAATGATCTATGAGATGTATCTCTTAACAGATATGAGAGGTATGAGAGAGCATTAGTGAAAGGACATAAACAAAGTTTGGACCGCGGTGATAGTAAAGAGAATATGGATGTAGATACGCACAAACACAAGGCTCAAGTGATGCAGTTGATGCAAGACGGAAATAAACTTAGGTATTTCATAATATCGTAAAATTGTTGTACCTTCAATTCATGCTAATTGATTTCCAGTAAATGATAACAATCTTTATAGTCCTGGCGAAGCTAGAAAGGCCTTTGGATTATATTTAGGATACACACTACGTAAGATATCACAACCCAATGCTGATCCAGCCTGTTGTGATCTTGTGATGAAGTTCCTCCAGCAATCAGCCAGCAATTTGAGAACACCATTCTTGTTCACTGTAAGCCATAATATTTGATTTTATTATCATCATAACACAATTCATCTACTTCTCTCAGAGCAATATTTTTTTTACAGCTGCCCAGTAGTAAGTTGAGTGACAAGGATAGGGCTGCTATAACTGCGAAACAGTTATCCGATTTTTTACATCTGTACAATAGGGAAACGGATTTGTACGCAGACACCGTCGATCGACCTCGTACTGTTCCTAATAGACTTTTTCAAAAATTTCTTGCTTCAGCAAGGTAAGTTTATCGTTATTTAAATTCTTATTTGTTCGTACCACTTTCACTGTATCAATGCCTCGAAGCATGAGTGCGAATAGACTATTTTTAATTATAAATATTATTCTTAGAAATTGTAATTTCTTTCGCTTACGTGACTATAATCGTATTAATTGCGGTGCAGCGAGGAGGATCTGGACGACGTACTAATCCTACAAACGCGGCTATATAATTGCGCTCACAGCTTCTTGGGTAGAAGTGGTTTTGCCGGTAGCCTACGTGGTCCTAATCTCTTGGGCTCGTTACCGCACATCACATCACGAGTACATTCTAATGCAGCTACAACCGAACAGTGCAAATGTAACCATCCCAATAACCGAACGAGCAAAGTCCCACGCACATAGTTTCGCCACATTCGTGTTCAATTTTTCGTGATTACTTAATATAACTTTTTAATATCGTTGAACGAGCCACACCCTTATGAGTGAGGGAGAGGGGAACGTTCTTAAAATTTTCCAATTATATCAGCGGCCAATTAGAAAAGGGAGAGAAATATCCAGATAAAATGAGGGATATTTATGCGAAATACTTTAGTACATAATATTTTTTAGAAACTTTAAGTCTCGAAATACGTTTCAAGAACGTCATTGCTGTTGCCAATGTGAAATCAAGTATAATTGATATGGCATAACTGATTGAAAATTAACTGCGTTTAGTCATAATTACGATCTTTGAAAATAGAGTCAGAGTCATTACCTTGACCTATCTTATTATTACACTCGGCGTCAATCCATTGGCAGCAGCTCGGCGTTTAACGTGCTGAGGTAATATTTCAATTCCATAAGCTAGTCTTCGCAATCGTCGATATTAAAGGTAATGTTACAATATTAGCGAAATCTTTAAAATAGATTAAAAGAATTTTATAGTTACATATGGGAATGGCCAATGAGATTTTTCGGACGTCTTCGAGGACAGTGTGTGTTGTCTTCAAACGAAGATACCGATAATAAGTCAACCATAAAATTTTATCTAATGACTATTACTATTTCCTAGTCTATAACGGCAGACGAATGATTCACTAATATAATAACTTCATATTAACGCCATAGGACGTGCTTTTCCTATAAAATTAAAAACGAGCCAATCTAGTATAATACACGGGGCTCGCTGGTATGCATAATGAAATCTGAAATATTTTTTTAAACTGAGCCTCGACCCTGGTACTGTTAAAGACATCTAAAGCTTAATGAAACTTAATTCTCACAAATATTATAAGAATTTTCTCAGTAATTTTTCAACGCTTTCACTTGGAATTTATTACTCGATATTTCACATGCACCAGAATCATTCGTATTGCTGGCTGTTACACTTTACCGGCCTACAATGACTACAATCATTTATTCTCACTAAGCACAATGGTAGCGAAACCGTTGTAATTCATGACAGGCATTGCGATTCTTCGATATTTCTATAGACAACGTTCCTATTACAATATTTTTCTTCCAATCGAGCAAATACATTATGCTAACACCAATCAGTCGATCAATCAATAATTGTTACTATCAGCTGCCTCGTTTTTGCTTCTACTCGCAGCAGAAGTAACAAGAATTCGCGACGATAAGCAAATAAATTGGTAATAAACTTACTTAATGTATTCGATCCATCTTTCTATTGAGATATTATCAATTAGGCGAGTTTAAAACTCGCGAGAAGTGCGATACTTCGTTATCTCTTTCAAGTGGTTTTTTACCGCCAGATACTTTCTCGTAAACTGCGAATGAACTTACAATAGTATTAATCCTATTAATATTTATTTAAACACGTTTCCGCTACGCGTGACCAGCTTAAGTAATTCATAGTGCGAACGTAGTTATTCGTAAGCTTACAATTCTTGTGTGGTAAATGCCACGATTGGCAGGTACCAATCCAAATGAAAAAACAAGTTTTCATAAAACATCCACATCCATCCACACACATCCGTCTGTAATAAACGTGGGGTTTAGTCAGGTCGTAATAAAAAGCATTTATATTGATAGATACGTATTAACCAGCTTGATCAGTTCAATTCGAAATTTAATTTCACGAATTCAATTTCCAAAACTTATTGATCTTCTTCGTATACTGTGATATTTATAGCTGCTTGTAATTGTAGAGGCCAATTTTAATTCTTAATTCGCATTTAAACCAACCGTAGAAAGATGGTCGATTAATTTAGAGAACGTTTTTCTGTATAATACCTTAATTTGCTATATGAAATACGGTCGGGATCGATGCACAAACGTTAAATTGAAAATAGCGGCTAAATTAATTGTGCAAAAGTTTACGCAACAATAACACAAAAACGATTCAGCTTAAGCTAGCGTTGTTAATAAAGTCTAACGTAATTGTATAGTAAGTAACAATCACTAATATAACAATTTTACAACGAAGATGTTCAAACTGCACATATAATTATTTATTTATTACGTCATTGATATATTTGTATACATGTAGGTATCGTATGGTTATTCATCATTTTGTAACACTGTACTTAATGAACGATGTTATGCCTCTGCCTCGTTGGAGGAATCAATACAATGCTTATATTTGGTTATCTGGCCATATTTATACTAACGTATCTTTAACCCACGATAAAAATATGATTTTTATAGTAATCGATTATTATAATTGCCTGCTATAAATTAATGTTTTCAAAGCAATGAAGTGCAATGTTTGTTATACAAGAGGTTATAATATCATCATATGGTACATGCGATTAAACATCTTTATTCGTATTTTAGATAGGCCTCCATAAATGAAGTTTTATAATTAGTTTCATAAGTCTTATAACACATCGACGTCTTTTCGACAATTTTAACGTACTTTATATATTCACTTATTTATTTCGAATTAGTCGATAAGACGGTATAGATCAAAATACGTCGCATTATGCCCATTCGCCGCTCCACTTCTGTTCCGTACGAATAAAAAGGTAAATGTCAAATGACGATCTAATGCCGAAGTAAAATAGATTGATTCGAGGGAAGAATGAAATTGCTATTTATATTTTGTTGATGTCACTTAAAAATCTTTAAGTTTTACAAGTCGACTAGGACGACGAAGATTACGATTTGCGATGTTGTGTATCAAGTTATTATTTATATTTCTTTATAACGCGTTGAAGTAATATATTTTTTTGTATTGTGTGTCCGTAACACCCATTATAATCCTGCCAATCCGCGCAGTATTTATAATAAAATACATATATGAGATGTGCGCGCGCGACATTTTACTTAATTTCACAGTGTAAGAGATTGAGGTTTCATTGTAGCAATTTTCCCTATGGACAATTGTCGGTTTTAACGTACCGTTGTTTCGTATTAATATTAAAGGGATCTTCTTTTAGTTCCGCGTCTTACAGTATTCTTCGGGTCTGGCACTTTTATTAGCAAGAAATGAAAATGGCAATTCGTATTGTGAGGGAAACAACTCAGACACTTACCACGAGCGAATTATGTCCCAAAATGCCTTTTTATTGTATACGTTATAAAAGTATATACGAATAATTAGGTCGATAGAATGCTTGGCTCGCAAGAAGTCTGCTCTAAGCAAAGGGGATGGCACCCCATCTAATTTTGATATATCCTGTTTGCTTAGTATTATTTTCCGTTTACACATCTCACTGTATGAGGGTTTGCGTGACGGATAATTAAGGCATTCTTCATTATTACATATTGCAATAATCGTTTGCCGCATTGTATTATCTATATTTTCAGTGTCGCTTCGTGATTTTGGTGATTGTTGTATAGGGAGGGACGTTGAGTGATATCGTAGCTACTAATCCTTTAGAGTACCGGCGCAAATTCTTGTCATGTCTGGGGATACACCCCTTACATATCAAACATCACCTTCAAGACGTTATAACGTCTTTTGGCCCACTAGACGTTAATCGTTTCTTATGCTGTCAAATAAAAATGATTCGAGATGGTTCTTTCTTGTAAACAACTTATTTTCAAGGTGGACCACCGGAATTTCTTGTTAATTATTTTATGTTCGTGTTCGAGGAAATTATTCCGGAACGAGCGGTTATGTAAAAAAAATAATCACCAAAGTCAAGTAAAGAAAAGTCATGAAAGTAAATGAAGAATTAAAAATAAATGGGAAAATATGAATTAGGAAAATATCGATAATACCTCCGGTGTCGTGCGCGGATCGCGCGACACTCACTTCTTACCTGTGATCAGAGAAATTTGCTAGTCAGCTTATCATCTCTATCGTTAAAATATGAATAACTAGACGATAGTAGATTTTACGATATCGGCCACTTAATCTTCGGCAATCGACAGATCCCAGTACGTTGAGCTGAACTTGTTGAAATTTAGTCCTAATAAAGCTGCTGAATTTTGACGACTGAGTTACGCGTAACAATTTTTTGGTAATAACGCGTAATACATTTTTGAATTGTTATTACGGCATAAATGCGAATGATTCAAGATACAATTTTTTAAAGATACAATTTTTACATCGTAACGAATAATTATTAAATGGTTGTTACCGTAACTCAGTTATATAGGATATCTGTGAAGATATCGATATACAGTAAAATAAGCATTAATTATGTACGTCAATATTAAAGCATATTTTTCCCAATGTAAGGCAATGTCTTCAAATTACAGATAATAAAAATAAAACAATGAAACATAATAGCCTACATATTTCTTGCCATTATATCCTCATAACTAAATAGGATTTTCTTAGGTTAATTTACATAGATTTCACTGTATCCTCATAATTGGAATTTTATAAATGGACTAGGCTGTGTGAATGACATATTACTTGAACAAAAAATACATTGTTTGTTATTCGAAATTAAAATTTAATAAACAGTTATTTGTCATTAAGTATGTATAACAAAACGTTGTTATACATTGTCTTTTTATCATATCCTTAAAACACATAATGCCATAACATAAAATTATATAAATTTCGTGAAACCAAAACAAAGCGTTTGTAAAATATTGATGCATACTTACGGCGAATAGAGAATGAGTTTTAAAAGTAACCTAAGCTAATTATATTAAGATATACGAACTGATTAATAAGGAATTGTCGATACATCTAAGTTTAAAAATAAAGAATATTTATGAGCATCGTATATTTGAATCACGTTTCCATCACTTCCACGATTGCGTCTGTTAAGCCAGCCTCCGCAGGAGTTTCCATTGGGGTGATTTCTAGATTCTTTATAGTAGTGGAATATGTTTTTTGAAATTTCTCGTAAGTCCCAATTTCCTATAGAAAATTCAATGCTCAGTATATATTTTTCGTTTATCGACATAGGATTTTTACCTTTTTCAGAACAGATGGCCGCACTTTAGTAAAAGCAGTATTAACGTGTCTCATAGAAACTTCTACTGAACCTGGAGGACCTGTCATAGATTCACGCAAAGCTTCCACTCCTGCTTGTCTTACTAATGCGGCTAAATCAGCTCCTGTGTAACCTGCGCATTTATCATTATTTCCTATGTCTTCCAGGCTAACATCATCCGCCAGTTTGGGTTTCGTTCCATTCTATAAAATGTACAGAAAATATAAGATTAAAACAAATGTTTACTTCAATATATACATAACTAATAGTCGTGATACCTTTGTTAAAGCTTTGAGAATATCAATACGATCTGAAGCTGTAGGTAATCCTACATAAATGATTTTGTCAAGGCGACCTGGCCTAAGAACCGCGGGATCTATAATATCCGGCCGATTAGTGGCAGCCATCAGGAAGACACCTTTTCTTCCTTCAACACCATCCATTTCTGTTAGCATTTGATTGACAACTCGTGAAGTTGCACTCGTATCTCCCTCTGACCTCTTTGGACAAAGTGCATCCAGCTCGTCAAAAAATATGACGCAAGGTGCTGAGTTTCTTGCGCGCAAAAAACATTGGCGGACAGCTTTTTCACTCTCTCCCACATACTAAAAATTTTAATAATATTCGAATTCTCCGGTTACACAAGGCACTATTTCCATAAATAAAACTACTAACCATATTGAGCAGCTCGGGACCTTTGACAGAGATAAAATTAATTCCAGCCTCGTTGGCAATTGCTTTTGCCAGCAACGTCTTTCCGCATCCCGGTGGACCGCATAAAAGTACCCCCGTTGGCGTAGTTAACCCCAGAGCTGCGAAATGTTCGGAATGTCTTACGGGAGCTAATATCGTCATTTGTAATTCTTGACGTATATCACCGAGGGAACCAACATCATCCCATGTAACATCTGGTACTGTAGCAAATCCTTCTCTTTTTGCTGATGGTTGTACAACATGAAGAGCATCTTCGAAATCCTTGTGATTAATGAAAAGATTCGCCAAATGTTTTGGCGAAAGTGGTGGTTCCTCACGAAGCCATGTTAATAAACCAGAAAGCTCATCCACTGGTGTATCTATTGGAGTGTTATCTGTTTTCATGGAGTTGCTCTCTGCTTTTACATTATTATCTATCATGTCATCGTCGTCATCGAGGGTTATATGAGACTGAACAGACGTCGACGGTATTGGACTTGCAGGAGTACAGATAACTTCATTTTCTATATCTTCTACGTTTCCTTTGTCGTTTATTACAGTAGTTTCTTCTACTTCAATTGATATTTTGTCTTCCGTATCTTTTTTTTGTAAGTCCTCGAAAATTCTATTCACGGCAAATATAGCTGCCTCTCGGATTAGCGAAACTAAGTCAGCACCGACAAATCCTGGCGTAAGCTCAGATATTTTGGCCAAATTAACATCTCCTGCGAGAGCCAATGCCTGTGTATGCAATTTTAAAATTTCCATCCGGGAGTTACGATCTGGAATGCCTAGAGAAACTTCTCGATCGAAGCGGCCAGCACGACGTAGAGCAGGATCTAAGAAATCTGGACTATTTGTTGCTCCAACAACTAACACTCTATCACCGTTTTCTTTTAAACTCAATTCTGAAAATAATTAATGTTATAATAATAATAAGTAAATCTTACTACAAACTGTGATAATCAAAATGAACTTACCATCCATGCAAGATAGGAGTTGCGCAACTATTCGTCTTTCCATTTCTCTCTGGGCATTTGCTCTGTGTGGGGCTAAAGTATCAATCTCATCGAGAAAAAGTACACAGGGGGCAATAGCGATTGCTTGATCAAAAAGTTCTCTAATGCGTGCTTCGCTTTCACCCGATATACCCCCGACAAGTTCAGGACCAGCAACTTTCAGTAGCGGAATTTCCAATTCCTTAATAAAAAATATGTATTACCTTACAAGTTGATTATATAAAGGATATTTAACAGAAACAAAAAACCAACCCCAGCGATTGCATAGCCTAATAATGTTTTTCCACATCCTGGTGGTCCATGAAGTAAAAATCCTCTTGGAGATGATATACCAAGTTGCTTAAATACTTCTGGATGCTTTATGTGTACTAGAAGTTTGCAGATCGTTTCAAGGACTTTTGCACAACCAGCGATATTTTCAAATTTAATCTTTGCCTCAGTTACAAGAACCTCGCGTTTTCTCTTTTTTATGGAAAATTGTGGACTATCTCCATCCTCCACTCGTAGCCTTTTCTTGATTTGCTTCTCTACAGGCGATGGTGTTGGCGGAGGTAGTGGAAATGTCGTTACTTCCTTCACAGACTATACAGTGGTGAAAAAAAATTATTAAATATTTCATGTTTGCACTGTAAATGTAATAAGTTACATATACAAAATTTTCTACATGATTAATACTAATAGTATCTATATAAAAAAAATTAATTTTTCTTATAATATCATAAATAAAAGTAATATATTTGCTTGCTTTTTTCTGGGATTCATTTGATAACATTGGTAGCTCCCATGGTTTCTTTGAAGCAACAACCTCTGTATCACTTGGATCATCATCACCGCTGATATCCACAACTTCTCTGTCACAAGAATTGCCATTAGGATTGCCTTTTTTATAAATTTGTACCATCTGATTGTTAAATCTAGTATCCATCCTGTGTGAGTTTGGCTAAAATACAATACAATATAGTCACATATTATAAACTTTATGCATATGTTATATATATATATAAAGAATATATGACCCTTATCAAATTACATATGATTCTAGATATTATAACTGCATATTGAATACCTCATAATCATCATTGTCGTCATAATGTTCCATTACAGTAGACTTCCTCTCATAATTTCTTGATATTTCATCGTACGCCTTTCGAACCATAACCCTAAGGGCTCCCTGGTTTCTCTTTTTATATTCGCGATACCTCTTTTGTAAGTAAGTTACTACTTCGTTTACTTCAATATATACCTTTTCCACGTTAGCAGCCAGATACTACAAAAATATTTTATGAATATATAACATAAAAAAATGTTGTCAAGAAATTACACTATTAATTTGTAGTTGCCGCCATAACAAATAGGCGCCACTTTTTATTATACGACAGTATAAAGCACGTGCAATAACTAAGTAAGCGTACGCCACTCTCAATAAGCACACAAATCGTTACTTCATGAGACGCATCTATCTACAGAAAGGTAATTAGCATCCTCAGTCAGCAGATTTTGTTCCTAACGAACGTAAAATCCATAATCTTACTTGATGTACTCTTGAAGCGATGAGAGGATCACAACGGATCCTATTTGAAGTTTCCTTAACTGTATTTGTGTTCATAGATTCAGTATCGGCGGTATTCTTAGCACTTAAGCGTCGAAGAGGAATAATATCGACCGACGAATTAAGCTTTATCTTTTGCATGCTAATTATGTGTTACTGTATCATATTTTTTCTCTGTTACCAAATGATCGTCCCATACGAATTTTCTCACTTGAAATGTTTCACATGTTGTTACGTCGACTTCAATTTTCTTTACCAACATTACCGACTGAACCTACGTTAATAAACTTTTATTCCCCACAAGACGATATCATTAAGTAATTTCATGTTTAAATATTACAATTTTACTTACAGATATTGATGTCAAGAAGATAAAATGTTGAGCATTTTGAAATGCGCTTCGCTGCGCCAGAAAATTCCAACATGCATGAAGAGTGTTCTTGTTAACTCTGTGAGGAACATGAATCTACATATAAAAAAACCCAGACCTAGGATAATAGATATCCTCAGGACTAAGGATAATATACCACCAAATTTTGATTTAATATACAGAACAAGCGCAGAAAAATTTTGGATCTATACTGATTATGCATCCACTATTATGTTAGTCTTTATGGGCACCCTTTCAGTCTATGTAGTGTTTTCAATGGAAAATCTAGAGTTTCCTCTTGTGGATAACAAGAGGGAATTTATAATTGTAAAACAAAAATATCAGCTAGTACTTCCATTTTTAATAACTTACTGTTTACTCATTGCTGCAAAAGTTTTTTCTTACAAGTTCACAAGGAGAATTTATTTTGATGGCGATTCTACATATAAGGCAGTATTTAATGGTTTACTGCCTTTTCAAAAGAGAATTATGACTATTTCTAAAGGAACTGTTAAAAAGGCAAAACCATCTGAGATATTGTCTTGGAAGCATTATCAATATCTAGTAAATGGTCACAAAATCTATTTGGTTGAGAATGATTTTCTAAGTTCCGCTGAATTATATAATTTCTGTCCTGAGGCTGAATATTCTCTATAAGCATTTACATTTATTAACGCATTGTAGTATATGTTAGAAAATATGTATATGTAGTATATATTGTAATATAAGAGTGATTTGAGTGTTAAGATTAAGAGCCACTTTCAAGAAATGTTAACTATTAATTCATACAAATATGAATATTACCAAATTTCATGCTGCGCAGCTAATGTGGCCAACTGATTACATTAGTACATATTTACTGATTGTTTTAGTTAAATAAATTTGGAGCGCAGAATAAACTTTCTTTTCCAAAATCCATCTTATTTCTTAGAGTAAAAAGTACTCGATCACATTGGAATCTGCTATTACCTCAAGAGCCATTATGCGTATTAAATCTTAGTTAATATGTGCTACAGTGTTTCCACTCTAGAGTACGCTTATCCACAAAAATCGAAACACTGCGAAATAGTATCCAACGTAACGTGAGATCTGTCAATAGGTTTTCTGTAATCGTCATTTGGTGAAGGGGTGGACATACGGTCGGTGTATTAGACAAACTCAGAATGTATTGTGTGTTTGTAAAATGTAATTGATCAAAATTCATTACACATGGCACCTTCGAAGGACAAGTGGGTGCGGCGTTTCGTCATTACAGAGACGAAGCGACATAAAAAAGGATTCACAATTTACAAAGTTACATCATTGGTATAAACACAAAACATTCTGTATTCATTTTATAATTCAGTTAATAGTCTACCATTACGTGAGTCTATATTATTAAAAACGCTTACATGATTCATTGATGATAATAATACTGGATATATGTTTCTTTGATAAAAACACATTTGAATTTTTATCATCTGTTTATTTCCAGTATTATAATATTACTATCGCTCCTATGGGAATTGTATAATTTTACTTTACTTATCAGACAATGGTAGTTCTTCTATAAGTTGAAAAAGTGTTTAAACCAATCTTTATTTCAGTGTACTGCAATATATAGCGTTAAACTTTTATGCCATGCAAGTATTATTACTTTTGCAGATGTACTTGAAACCGTCGTTGGAAGCTATATCAAGAGTATCAGTTTGGAAACGTTATAGTGACTTCAGAAAGCTTCATTCGGAACTCAAGGTTCTCTCTACATCTCTTACTATTAAAGAACCATTTCCACAATTTGCTAGGCCACGTTACTTTGGACGTTTTGAAGCAGAGGTCATAGAGGAAAGACGGTTATGTGCTCTACAATTTCTTGAATTCATAGCAAGGCATACTCCATTATTCAAGAGTGAAGTGTTTGTCAAATTTTTCGATAATGATATAAATGTCTGTCTAACTGACTGTTCTCAGTCAATGAGTTCAGATGCATCAGAGGATGATAGAAATGCCAATGTAACAGACACGGATTCATTAAATAATTCTACGTCTCTAAACGTAACCCAGAATAGGCTGAAAAATGGTCAAAGTATTTCCAACGAGTTACCAAAGTTTGTTTACACAGAACAAATAAAGCCAACAGTATCAAAACGTATCTATCAGTCAAGCACAAAGGTCAGACCTGATCAGAATTATGGGAAATTGTCTATGAAAAATCAAAGCATAGATAATTCACCCTTATACCAAGAACCAGGAACAGATCAAATTATGTCCAAGGAGAATCTCAGCACACAAAGTCATAGTGAAAGTATTGCAGTCATGGACACAGGACAACTAACAAGTAATTGCACAATCAGCAGTACAAGTATCGACGTCAAAGAATTTCTGCAGGATAAAGAAAGCCCCAAGCCGACACATGTCATATCGTCCGTTTTAATACACGATGGTTCTGACCTTCTAAATACGCAAGAAGACTCTGCGCAATATATTCTAATAGCTGCAGCTCACATGAGTGCAGCGTTCCGTCACGAGGTTATAGCTGAGTATGAGGAAGCTTTTACGCAGTACAAACTGGGAATTTCAAATCTTCTCAATGGGGTACAGACGGATCCAGACGTGAACAGAAGGTATACGATAAAGAATAAGATAACAAAGTATTTAGAGAGAGCTGAAAGACTGTATAACAGGCATCTTAACTGTAATATCTCTCTATTATGTAAGCCAATAACAGAACTGCAAAATTATAAGGTACTACGAGTCATTGGGTCGGTAATACTCGTGCGAGATATAATGCGTGAATGCAATAGAATGATAAAAACAGTGGAAAAACCAGCTGGACGTAAAGAAGACATAAGTAATTATATTCTACGTGGCAAAGTACCTCACATGGTACAGCTTTATGCCTGTGTACAGACAGAAACAACTGTGTTCCTGGTACTAGAGTATGCAAGTGGCGGAAAACTGTGGGAACATGTAAAAACGCAGTACAAATCTGCTGAAAATAAGATAAGCTCTTATAAGAAGAGTCACACAAGATCTATTAGTTGTGGTGCTGTAATTCAACCTGATTATGAGAGTGTGTTGGATTCTAGTCATAAAAATAGACAAGAAGAAAAGAAAATTCCGGAGATAAAACACAGTATTTCAGACTTTATTCAGCATGACGATGTATCTGAATCTCAGGAGAATCTTGAGATTTCACCTGAAGAATCTTTGAGAAGATTGGAAGAGGAATTTGGAGCAAATTCAAAGTATAATAGGGATTTGCCTACTACGGATTTGTTAGAAAAAGCACAAAAATTACTTCAATCTGTTAATGCAACGTTGAAGAAAAGTAATTCCATTGCTTCTCGTTTAAATGAATCGGAGGAGCTGCTACATCCATATCACCATAGTGACTCTACACTTGAGAAGGATTCCCTGAAGGAAATTGTGGAAATTGATATTCACATCCAAGAATCAGAACAGGATTGTGTCAATTATGAGAATAACTCTGTAAAAATGATGAAGCCGTTGAGTGACAATGAAAATACAGAAGAAAGTTATGATTTGAGTGAATTATCAACTAGCGAAAGCTGTACTGACCTCAGCTTAGGTAAGGACAAAGTCTCTAGTATATTGGAGGAGGGGACACCAAACATGGAACTCTCCCAATTTGAATATGAGCTCTCAAAAAAGACAAAAAGTACCAATGGCACTGTGGAATCTAGTCAGTTTATTAGAATGAATGGAGGTAGTCAGTATGCAGACGAGTTACAGTTACATACAGGTGATGACAGTGGAGTGGAAATGGAACAGGAACTGTGGAAAGTGCCAGAAACGATTATCAGGCAGTGGGCAGCCGAAGTACTTTTAGCATTGGAGTCTCTTCATCAGCAGGATGTTATAATAGCTGACTTGAGGCCAGATAATATTTTACTGGATGATAACGGGCAGGTGGTGATGACGTACGTCGTACCACGACGTGATGTCGAATTACCACGATCCAGGAAGCCGTATATGTCACCGGAACTGTCTATGTTTTTACCAGCAATTCCAGCTACATCGGCTGCTGATATCTGGAGCTTTGGTGTTATTCTATATGAATTACTCACTGGAATTGTATGTACTGATAACGTGTATTCTTAATATTTACTTGTATAATAATTCTTTTATTTTCCCCTAGCAATTTCAGTGGAGACATCCTGGACCATTTCATTCACATTCCATTGTCAGCATTCCAGATGAAATATCACAGACTGCTAAATCCTTGTTATTCAGTGTGAGTTTTCAAAAGAATCAATTGCGGATAATATTCTTTGATTCGTTAATGAGGCATAATTTTGAAGTTAACACAAAAATTATTTCAGATCCTAAAATACGAGCCGAATGACCGACTAACGATTCCTGAAATTAAACAGCATCCATTCTTCGAACAAATCGACTGGGCAAATCTGTTGAATCCTTAAAAGAATTTCAAAACTAGAATGGCATGTAGGGAACTACTTCTATATCATAATTATATTTAATAATTTATTTTTTCGATATCTACCATTCTAATGAGTATTATTAGTACGTTTAATCATTACACGTTAATTATGAATTAAGGCTGCTGTTCAGCTAAGATTATGCGTGTATGTATGTACACATGTGATGTGAATAATGACATCACAAGCGAAGATACACTTACAATCGCTTTTCACTTTTATTTTCAATTAATTGGTTTAGCCACCTTCCTTGCGCGATAAGAAATCTAGATCATCTGCATTTAAAATGCACAAAAATCTTATCTTAAAGAATAATGGGTATACAAAAAACCGATCGGTTAAATTTTCATGGCGGCCGCCATTACACCAGCTTTACTTTTGTAAATTTTTCATCGAATTAAAATATTCGATACACTTAAACGCAGATGACCCGTCTTCCGGGCCATATAAGGAAGCCAGTTGACTCAATAATTGTATAAATTAATGGAAAACGCTAGTGAAAAATGGTTTTTAAAGGTTTCTTCGGTTCTGACGTTACTGCTCTGCATATGTATGCACCTATAGAACGGCTGAACAACAATATTAATAGTTGAATAGAGGACAACCAATGTCAATGTAAATCATTGTACAAATTGTATAGACAATTCACCATAATAAACTGGTGACGATGAACTTTCTACAGTATAAAAAATGTCCTAAACCCGTTTGAAAATAACAATGATTATGGATGTAATAAAACGTATATTTATTTTTTTTCTTACACAAAAATCAGATTATCACATTCGGTAAGTAATCAACGTGATTTATTTCTCTCAGTTCTAGAAACCGTCGACGACTTTATTCAGCATGACGATGTATCTAAATCTCAGGAGAATCTTGAGATATCACCTGAAGAATCTTTGAGAAGATTGGCAGAGAAATTTTGAACAAATTCAAAGTATAATAGGGATTTGCCTACTACGGATTTGTTAGAAAAAGCACAAAAATTACTTCAATCTATCTGCCAAGTTCTAGAACTGCTCAGTTCTAGAAACCGTCGAAATACCGTCAACGAATCTAGTAGTGAATAAAACATTAGCATTGTTAAACATGCCATCTTTCAAAGATACAATTATAAATTGGGAATGTTTAAAGTGTCTTTTTAACATCGTCCCAATGTTTTCCGTGTGAGATAGATCCAGGGCGGCATCGATCTCGTCTAAGATATACAATGGCGCCGGTTTGAACAACAACATAGCCAATATCAAAGACAAAGCTACTAAAGATCTCTGCCCACCAGACAATTCGCCTAAGGATTCCTTCCAAACGCCTGAGAAACCAATTTTCACTTCCAAGCCGTCGGAAACAGTTTGGTTTTCTGGTGGCTGTAATTTCGCATTGGCACCAGGTAATAAACTGCTGAATATCGAACCAAAGTCTTTGTTTACCTGGAAAAAAAAAACTTAATTATAATAATCCTTGGGAGTTTTTAGACATTAGAAAATATCTTGTTACCTGCTCCCAGGCTTCTAACAAGGTCTGCTTCTTCCTCTCGTCCAAATATTTAATTGTTTTCAGTATGTTACGCTTGTCGTTCTCAACAATTCCTTTCTTTTTCAACAATTCATTGTACTGCTCTTCTTCTTTGTTGAGAAGATTCATGGCGCGAGTGTTGACGTTTCTACTAAGCTTCTCACGAATGGATTCCAGCTGCTGTAACTTTTGTCCCATTTCCTCTGGATTGTTCACCTTGAAATCGTACATTCCACCTTAAGCAAAAAAATTCGAAGTGAAAACAATGAAAATACTGTACTTAGAATGATTGAAAGATCCAAGTACCTGCTTGACCAAAATATGCTTTATCCTGTTCGATCCATTCATATTTCTTTATCAATTCTGATACTTTGTGCTTGCATTCACCAAAATATGCTTCATCCTGTTCGATCCATTCATATTTCTTTATCAATTCTGATACTTTGTGTTTGCGTTTTCTTGCGTTATTCTTTATAGCTGTGATCTCATGATTTAATTTCTTAATATCTAATGCCAATTCTTCACTCTGTTTAACAATGTCTTCTTTCCTGGCAAGAAGCTTTTGTATGCCTTTGTTATGTTTGTTTATGGCACCCCTCTGCGCCTTCAAACTGGCTTGTATGTTTCTGACACCAGTTCCAGCTTCATCCAGGTTCTTCTGATATTCTTTTGCTGTCTCTCGTAAGGCAGCTAATTTTTCCTCAGCTTTTTCTAACTGCTCCTTTTCACTAGCAATTGTTTTTTGTAATTCTGTTATTTCTAGGTTTAATGTCTCTCTCGTAAGGCAGCTAATTTTTCCTCAGCTTTTTCTAACTGGTCCTTTTCACTAGCAATTGTTTTTTGCAATTCTGTTATTTCTAGGTTTAATATTTCTGACTCTTGCTCACGTTTCTGCCATTCCTTTCTACTCTGTTCGGCTTTTTGTTTGGCAGCTTTTAAGTCACTTTCAGCCTTTTTCAATTGTTTCTCTCGTATATTAGCGGAATCTTTTAATTGACTTTCTAATTCCTTTACACGCTTTGAATACTCTTTCTCTTGTTTAATAGCCTCTTGTATCTTCTCAGTTATTTCTGCAATAGTAGCTTTTAAAGTGTCAACCTAAAATGTAAAATATTTATAAAGAATAATTATTTCAAGATTCTTTAGGGCGTATTGATTACAAACCTCTTCTTTAATCTTGTGATGTGTAGTCTGTTGTAGTGTCTGTCGAACCATATCCACTTCGTAGACCCTCATGTCAAGCCTTTGCTTAACAGAAGCAAAACGCTCAGCCGTTTTATGGATTTTTGCAATTTTGGATTCGATTTCTTGTAGCGTATGTTCTTTTTCACTAATTTCCCTCTCAGCTTCTTTTAACTCATCGAGTTTCAGTAGCATTGATCCAGTTTTTGATGCTGCACCACCAGAAAGTGTTCCAGCGGGGTCGAAGAGGTCGCCCTCGAGGGTGACACATTTTTTCATGATCTTGCGATGGAAAGCTACCCTCTTTGCAGTTTCCATATCTTTGCACACGAGTATCTGGCCAAATATATAATTAACTGCTGGCCTTATCTCCTCGGGGAAGTGTATGAGGGATAGTGCTGACTGTACATTTTCAGGACCAACTAGTTTCTGGGCAAAATCAAGAATTCGTGAATCTATTGCTTTTCCGGTTACTTTGTTCAGGGGTATTATAGTAACGCGTTGCTGAAGTTGTCCTCGTTGAAGTAACTTCTTGCTTGTAGCCTCCGTATCAACTATCACATTATAAAGCTATAAAGAAGAATTCCCTAATTAAAACTTTTAATAGCGTAAATAAGATTTGATTATATTGTATTTAAAAACGTACCCTCCCGCCTGCTGCTATTTCTAAAGCATAAGCCGCCGTCTTGTCCTTTATATTGAACAATTTGCATACAACACCCTTGACAGAATTTCTTCTAAAATTTGGTTCCGGATCCTGATATTGGAATCTCAACTGCGGATACCGTGACTCGAACTGATCGATTCTATCCTGAAGATGCTGTATCTCTTTAGCCAAACGATGCTTTTGCTCTTGTAAAGCTTCCGTAGATCCCTCCTCGTAGTTCATTTTTTTTACTTCTTTCTCTAATTGTTTTAACTCTTTTTTCTTGTCTTCCAAATTTTTATTGTCTTTTTTGTATTCGTTCTCAGTACTCCTTGTCCTTTATATTGAACAATTTACATACAACACCCTTGACAGAATTTCTTCTAAAATTTGGTTCCGGATCCTGATATTGGAATCTCAACTGCGGATACCGTGACTCGAACTGATCGATTCTATCCTGAAGATGCTGTATCTCTTTAGCCAAACGATGCTTTTGCTCTTGTAAAGCTTCCATAGATCCCTCCTCGTAGTTCATTTTTTTTACTTCATTCTCTAATTGTTTTAACTCTTTTTCCTTGTCTTCCAAATTTTTATTGTCTTTTTTGTATTCGTTCTCAGTACTCAACATGTCCTTTTGCTTTTTGTTGAGTTGTTCTTTACTGTGTTGTAACTTCATTTCACATTGTTTCATTTCAGTTTGGGCTTGTGTTGCGCTTTGTCTGGCGCTTATCAATTGTTGTTCTAACGTTGCATTCTCGCCACTGTCACTTTGAAGTAAACCGGAAGTAATCTTCTGATAAGTTTCCTGCACGGCTATGACGGCGTCGGAATCTTGCTTATCCAATTCCTTTAATTTCTTAAAAAAGCCTCCTACTTTATTTAATTCATTTTCCTTCGTGATTAGGGTGTTCTCATCTTCAGAGATGTTTTTCTTAAGTTGCGCTATATTTTTTTCTTCGGCTTTTATGGCCTCTTTGTTACTGTTTGCTTCTGCTGTCAACTTGTGTTCCCTTTTTTCAGCTGCTTTCAGTTCTTGTTCAAGACCTTCGAGCTTCCCTCCTTTTTCCTAGGGAGAGCATGAGAATAATAAGTTAAGAGATACTGTTTGCTTCTGCTGTCAACTTGTGTTTCCTTTTTTCAGCTGCTTTCAGTTCTCGTTTAAGAACTTCGAGCTTCGCTCCATTTTCCTAGGGAGAGTATGAGAATAATGAGTTAAGAGATATAAATGCTTTGATATCTTTAAAGATTACTAACAGCATCTCTTTGTTTTGTTATTTCAACCAACTGCTCTTCGATAGTCTTGGTCTCATCCTTAAAATCTTCTATACTCTTCTCCTTTGTTTCTATTTGATCCTTCACAGCTTGAACACTTTCATCAGCCTTCTCACTGTTACGCAAAGTTGTTACATACTTCCAAGCAATATAAATTCTACGACAGTGTTCAAGTTCTCTTTCTATTCTTTGAAACTCCACATATTGTGATCTCTGCTCTTTCAATTTATGTAACTTGGGACCCAGCTCCTCAGTCATGATCTGTAAACATGATATTGCATAAATTAAAAAAAAAAAAAATAAACACTCGAGTAATTGATTGACATACATCATTGAATTCCTTCAATTTCATATCTTTTCTTTCAATAGTTTTAATCGCAGCTTGCTTTTTGGTCTCATACATTCTGGTACCAGCAGCCTCCTCGATCATGGACAAAATTTCAACAGGTTTCATATTTAAAACCTTTGTGATTCTTCCTTGCATTATTAAAAAGTGTGGATTATTCACATTAAGCTGAACCGAGAAGAACATATCTTGAACTCTTTTATATGGAACATTAGATCCATTGATCATATATTGGTTTTTGCCACCGATAACAACTTGTCTTGTGACAGTAATTTCTTCAAAATGTTCGTATCCCATTGGTGAAGCATTACGATCACGATTATCAAATGTTATAGTGACACTGGCTTTCTTTACACCAGCTTGTCCTGATTTATATACAAGATCTTGCAGTGAAGTAGCACGGACCTGAAAGAATATTTAATAAATACCATGTCCCACATCAAGTAAGACTATGCACAAGCGTAAAAATAATTGCTAATAATTTACCAACATTGTAAATCATACCTGACCCAGATTCGTAATACCCAAAACAAAACAAATAGCATCTAAAATATTGGATTTGCCGCTACCATTGAAACCAGTGATAGCATTAAACTCATTATCGAACCCATTGATCTCAATCCGTTTTGCATATGATTTAAATCCGTCCAACACCATGGACTTTATGTACATCTTGCGAATTATTTATCTCTTGCTTCTATGCAAAAGTAATCACCTTAAAAACGGAAATGCACAAATTATACTATGACAGTTGTCTTTTTCAGCCGGTTACATTCAAAATACACAAGTCAAGGATTCGAAGGCGTTCTTAAAGTTGTGCTCTCATTGAAGCGACAAGAACAAAATTGATTATCCAATCAGAAAGCAAAACAAACTTGGACAGAATGTTAGAAGCAATCACGTCACGTATGTACATACATATAATTTCCCGCTAAAAATCTTCCGTTCTCACGTAGTGCACATAGGCGAAAGATACAAAAGTTTGTTATTTGTTATAAAGTTATCTACGTTATGGAAGGTTTCGACGATCCAGGAATATTTTTCTCAAATAATTTTGCTACACAAGAACCACGTGAGAATCAACTGAATCTACAGGTTTTAAAGAAGCAATTTAAAGAATTCATTAGACAATTGCACGAGGGAAACTTTAATTATAAATATCGGTAATTTTATTAGTACTATACTTAGTTGTTTAAAAAAAAATATTTATTAGACTAGTACTGTAATAAGTTTTTGAATTTGAATCTTTATGATTTTTTAGAGACACTTTGAAACGGAACTACAACCTTCGCTTATACTACATTGATCCATAATCAATGTCCGATGTATTTCAGGATTACTAGTAAGGAATTCAGTGCTCGGTTAACTTACCAACTAAAATTGTCCCAGGATAATAGCCTTAGGGACCAGTTTCAATTTCACATACGACCGGAGATCTCCGAAATTTTGCAATTTTATCTTCAGGTTTTCAAGAAGAAATTTAAAGAATTCATTAGACAATTTCACGAGGGAAATTTTAATTATAAATATCGGTAATTTTATTAGTACTATACTTAGTTGTTTAAAAAAATATATTTATTAGACTAGTACTGTAATAATTTTTTGAATTTGAATCTTTATGATTTTTTAGAGACACTTTGAAACGGAACTACAACCTTCGCTTATACTACATTGATATTAATTTAGAAGATCTTGGAGCATACGATGAATCTCTTGCTGAGAAAATTTATAAACAACCAACAGAGTATTTGCCAATATTTGAAGAAGCTGTAAGAGAAGTTGCAGATGAACTCACAGCACCACGTCCCGAGGGTGAAGAAAAAGTAGAAGACATTCAGATACTTATTTCCTCCGATGGAAATCCAACTTCTCTAAGAGGCATGAAGGTAAGACTGATAAGATTATCATATTTGTGATTGAACTGCAAATATTTTATTCTAATTTCATCAATCTCAATTTCAGCCTGATATTGTTTCAAAGTTGATAAAAATTCCTGGAATTGTTGTGTCAGCTTCAGGAATCAGAGCTAAGGCAACAAAGATTGCAATACAATGCCGATCTTGTAGAGCTGTTCAAGTAAACATTAATATAAAACCAGGCCTGGAAGGATACATGTTACCAAGAAAATGTAATACGTATGTGTCTCTAACACTGATCATTTACCTACTAAACTGATATACAATAGTTAATCTATTATTCTATAAACAGAGAGCAAGCTGGGCGACCAAAGTGTCCCTTGGATCCATTCTTTATCATGCCTGACAAGTGTCACTGCGTTGATTTCCAAGTCTTAAAACTTCAAGAACTACCTGATCACATTCCGCAAGGAGAAATGCCGCGCCACTTACAATTGTACTGTGACCGTTACTTATGTGAACGTATCGTTCCTGGAAACAGAGTATTAATCTTAGGAATCTATTCTATAAAAAAAATAGCAAATGCTGGTGGCAGAGCAGCTGGCAGAGAAAAAGCCCTAGTGGGTGTTCGTGCACCTTATATTCGAGTTGTAGGAATTTCAGTAGATGGCGAAAATACTGGTAGTGGTAGGTTAATAAACAAAATACTGTTTTTACCACTTCTTTAAACATTTAATGTATAAACGATGCATGTTCTAAATAGGAACCCATGCAGTAGTGACTGCGGAGGAAGAAGAAACATTCAGACGTTTAGCAGCTGATCCAAATTTATATGAAAGAATGTCAAACAGTATAGCACCAAGTATCTTTGGTGCAACAGATATGAAGAAAGCTATTGCATGTCTGCTCTTTGGTGGGTCTCGAAAAAAAATGCCTGATGGTCTTTGTCGAAGAGGAGATATCAATCTTCTTATGCTGGGAGATCCTGGTACAGCCAAATCACAGTTATTAAAATTCGTTGAAAGAGTTGCACCAGTAGCAGTCTATACATCCGGTAAAGGAAGTTCAGCTGCTGGCTTGACAGCATCAGTAACGCGTGATCCAGTTACAGTACGTTTTATTCTTATAACCCTTTCTTCTTCTTGAATCCATACCAAGTTTAACACTCCTAACGCAAGAGGCTCATTCATTTCAGAGAAATTTTGTTATGGAAGGAGGCGCGATGGTATTGGCCGATGGCGGAGTGGTCTGCATCGATGAGTTCGACAAGATGAAAGAGGATGATCGTGTAGCTATTCACGAAGCCATGGAACAGCAAACAATCTCGATAGCAAAAGCGGGAATCACTACAACACTAAATACACGCTGCTCTGTTCTTGCTGCTGCCAATTCCATTTTTGGTCGATGGGACGATATGAAGGGCGCAGAGAACATCGACTTCATGCCTACAATTTTATCTCGATTCGACATGATATTCGTTGTCAAGGACGAACACGAGCAGAACAAAGACATCACTCTGGCCAAGCATGTGATGAGTATTCATGCGAATGCAGGATCGCTAAATGAACAGACTTTGGACGGTGAACTGTCTCTGAGTCTTATAAAGAAATATATTCACTATTGTAGAACGTGAGTAAATCTTTTTAAAAATTTTTATTCTGTGTAATACAGTGTTTTCCATCTCGAACTTATAGGCGCTGTGGTCCAAGACTAAGTAAGGAAGCTGGAGAAAAGCTACAAAATCGTTATGTAATGATGCGTGCTGGTACTCGCGAACATGAAAGAGACACTGAGAAGAGGCTATCCATTCCAATTACCGTTCGCCAACTAGAAGCTGTTATTCGAATTTCCGAATCATTGGCTAAGATGAGATTACAGCCCTTTGCTACAGACACTCACGTTAACGAGGCTCTCAGACTTTTCCAAGTTTCTACATTAGATGCGGCTATGTCTGGTTCATTGGCTGGTGAAAATATATTCATGATAAATTTTGTAGCTTTCGTTTTTTTTTAACTATATATTATATTTAATTTCTTTCTCAATAGGAGCTGAAGGTTTTACCACAGAAGAGGATCACGAGATGCTGGCGCGGATTGAGAAGCAGTTGAAACGTCGATTCGCTATTGGTTCTCAGGTTTCTGAATACAATATCGTTAACGATTTCGTCAAACAAAAGTATCCGGAACGTGCTGTTTACAAAGTGATACATACGATGATTCGTCGAGGCCAACTACAGCATCGCATGCAGCGTAAAATGCTCTATAGACTTTCATGAAAAGTAAGACTAGCTTCAGTATTTGCATGATACGAGAAAGTTAGACGAGCTCTCTAGTGTAAGCTCGTAATGCAGTTCTACCTGTGAATGAAAATCATATAAAAAGGAATAAAGATTTTTTTCAGTCAAAGTCTTAATAATTACGTGTAAGTTGCTTGGCTTTATCTCTTAATTTTGTATTATTTTGAGAATTTAATCTTTGTTAAAGTAACTCACACCAACCGACCTAGCGTGTTCACTTTGCATCTGTGTCCTTTTCCGGTGAATAAAAACAATTATTGATTGTGGTACAAAAAAATACAGAAGTTATTATTTACACTCTATTCTTCACAGATAACCGTGAGCATTAGTACTCTCTTTAATTAACGCAAAGGGCATGCGAACGAAGTACTTATCAATGTAATTCAATTGAACATTTTACAAAGAGAGCTTGAGGTACTTATCCATATTAGCAGGTCTGTTACGATAATGCGGTAGCTAGACAGATAAGCAAAATTTATTTTTAAAAAATTGTAAAATTTTTCCTAATAAAACGACTAAATCCATGACAATAATTACCTATGTCGTGATGAATAATTATTCCCATTAAAGGTAGTGGATTCACGACCGAAAGGTTCGCGCCTAGCTCCCAGCGGCATTCGCCAATGGGTTTTCGGGTAAACTATAGTATACCACTCCGAACTGAATTGGCTGCTAGTGACTTAGATTTTTAACGTAGTGCCATCTATCAAATGTAATGCGAATGGCATAGAATAGTGGCGCCTCCAGATCGGAAAAAAGCGCAACTATCTTTAAAAATTTGAAATGAATATATTTTTACTGTTGTCTTATATATTATCTTGTTATAAAAATATATTTTCACAAAATATGATCTAGTAATCGCAATATTCCATGTTTGGAGATTTGTTTCGTTTAATTTTCATGCTACGCCACACAGGTTTGCACCTATTATGTATACATATATTTTGATATGAAGATATTATTACATATTTTTATATTAAATATGTGTATATTTAATTTATAAATAATATTATTTAAAAATATAAGTATGTATAAGTGCAAGCTCGTGATTGTACATTGAGCATTAAATTTGATCTACTGCTTCGAGATTTTTTTGCTACAATGTATCGTCTGCTTTCGTAAAACATGTAGAAGCATGATTTTCGTTAGTAGCTCGCAAAGCGTGTAACAAAAGTGTGCTATTATTTCTTTTGCTTAAATTGGATTGTGTGTGATCGATTGCAATGGTGATACGGTTCGTAGATTTGTTCAAACTAGATGAGAAACCTTCTATTGAGGTAATCACCTTTGCACAAAGATACGGACTCATAGCTCGGACTTTCAAGTGTCCAGTGTGCGATAAGGACACGATTCTATGTACTGCTGAATTTCTTTCGAGCAAATATCGTTGGCAATGTCGTAGTTGCAAAACAATGAGATCAGTGAGAACTGGTCCGTTTTTTGGCAAATCGAAGTTATCAATGATCGAAATTTTACAATTGACATATTTTTGGATTCATAAGTACACCCAGATTCAGGCTGAGTGGAAATTTCAATGTTCCCTGCGCACGACGGTCGACTGGTACTATTTCTGTCGCGAATTATGCGTCGGTGTTGTACTAGAAGAACGTGGACAAATTGGAGGTCCGGGTATTGTTGTAGAGATCGACGAATCGAAGTTCGGCAAGCGAAAGTACCACCGAGGTAAACAGGTAAAAGGGTAGTGAGTATTTGGTGGGATATAACGCAGCAGTAATCAGTGTTTTTTGACAACAGTCAATGATCGATTGGCGGCCACACTCGTGCCTCTCATTAAGGAATTTATTGCACCTGACACCACAATTGTTAGCGATTGTTGGAAAGCCTATGAATCCTTAGGTGCAGAAGGTTACGAGCATCTGACCGTCAATCATTCATTGATTTTCAAAGATCCCGAGACTGGTGCTTCCACAAACGTTATAGAAAGATTGTGGGCATTGGTAAAATGGCAACTGCCGGATTGCAATCGCAGCAAAGGCATGTTCTCTTCGTATTTAGGGGAGTTTATGTACCGACGCTTACGAACAGATGCCCTTGATCCTTTTGAAAGACGTTGCTCGCGTTCATCCACCTCCATCCAACGACGTGGACGCTGCAGAGGACACTGACGCAGCGGAAGCAAGCGGAAGTGGATTTTGAAGTGGAATCGTCGACGGAGGAAATCCCAAAAAATCGGCACTTTTCACAGCCACCAATTATTGACGTAGCATCAACTTCTCGATTCACAGTATTTTGCGTAAGATGAAAGAAGAGGTTTCAGCTTCGAAATTTGTAAGTAAATTATATAAATTTATGTATAGTATATTTTTTCAGGTCTTCATTAATTAATACATATGTGTATTCCAATAAAAATAAATTGGTTTTATAATTTTAAATATGGTTAATTTTTTTTCTAATAGGCGGCGTGACTATTTCATGCGATTCACATTATATCCTGCAGATGGCGTTACCTTAAAAAACCTAAGTCACTAGCAGCCACTTCAGTTCGGAGCCTATACTGGGTGCTTCCATTTACATGACTTTTGTGTCGACTTGTATCAACTCATGTCGGACTCTCGAAAACGAATAAATGGAACACAGAACTCTCGTAAACTCACCACTCTAGCAGAGTCTTCCCGAGTCGACTTGTGTTGCCGACACACGGCGACACAAATCAAATGGAAAGCACTTTTGGCGATACAAGTCGACTTGTGTCAACTTGTGCCAGTAAATGGAAAGCACCCACTGCAGTTTTACCGCAGTTTTTTTTACCTATATATGTGTAATCACGATAATCACTATATTTATGCGCTTGGATAATTGTAGGAGGTGGAACGTGTAACTCAAATGTAGTGAAAATACGAAAAGTGAATAGCTGTTAACCAATCATTGTGCTTGATTTCTTTTGAACCTAATATGCGATTGGCTAACAGCTATTCACTTTTCGTATTTTCACTACATTTGAGTTATACAATCGATCCCCAGACTTAAAGTATTTAGCCTGCTGCCAATACAAGTAGTGTACGAACAATAATGTTGATTTGAAGTTAGCATTTGCATATGACCACAATTTCTGTGGTTAAGATTGACTGCCTGAAATAACTACGACATGAATAACAGCTTCTAATACGAAAAAATGGGAATCGGAGACGTTTTTCTGTCAGTTTTTCATCAAATGTTTTCATTCAAGTAACTTGTGTCGACGGTCCTAATTCCAGTTATTTTTCTTCGGACCAAAATTTCGATCCGAGTTCTCGAATCGTGGAAACAGGCCTTTAGAATTACAACGCAAGGTGGACCAACCTTGATGATTTCACGAGACAAGTGATAAACTTAGTTTCCACCGTGCAGGGTTGAAATAGAGTTAACCAATTAAAAACGAGATTGAGCGGAATAAGGTAACTTGATTGGTTAACTCTATTTCAACCCTGCACGGTGGAAACTAAGCCAAAGGTTATTCAGTATGAACCTCATAGCACAAAAGTTCGTCTCTGATTTTTAAAATTTTTAAATGGTGGCTATTTTTGATCTTCAATAATCTAAATAGAATAAATTTCGCACTTACATTTTCCACCAAATAAAAATTTCCTCCGAAAAAGCGACGTAACAAGTTCAGTAATAATACAAATAACAAACATCACAGTATAAAAATAGAGTTTGATACTGTTGCTTATCTTTCTCTTGCGCCTTTATGATATAAATTTGTCCGCTTCAGATTGTATTATAAAGATGAAGAAATCAGCCTTGATGTTCAATTTGAAATAAACGTTGAACACATTAATTTTTGAACTTGGCGCCTATAATATTTAAATTGACGTACTCCTCATAATGTTTCTATAATTAGTTGAAAATTCGTAAAAATCATAAAAATCTCAAACGGAGCATGATATAGCACCGTAATGCAAAAAGTGCTTAATGATTTGATTGTTACCTATTAATGACAAAGGCTTTAACGAAATCGTATCTAATTGCACAAAGATGGTGAACGGGTTCGTCTATCTGCAAGTGGAACGCGTGTAAACCTGTCACTGCTATCCATTGCTTTCGCAGCGAACCGTCATTTTGCTACTTTTTGCTTTGTTTCATAAAAACTTTGTCGATCATCGGCGAATACGTCTGGGATTTCGTAAGAATCTTGAAGGTTGTCTCAGGTGTACAATACTTATTCGTGAATAATGCAGCCGCGAACAGAACATAAAGTGAACGGTTGATGACCAGAGATTGCGGTGGTTGACAGATCAAGATATAAGTCAATTCTCCGCGGCGTCATTGGGCAAATATTACTATGTACTGCGAGGTAGAAACACTCCAAGATCATCCGGTTTCAACCATGTAAGGGTTTTATATATAATTTATAAAGAAAATATTTTCATCAGAAGAAATAGGCGGAGCAATTAGATAAGGTGTCAGAAATTTTAATGTCAGTGACGTTAAAGCTTACAGTTTTCTCACCTTTTTGTAGATTCATAGGGTAATTTGATTTGAATTATTAAATTGCAATATTGGTTGATTTTAAAGAATTGGGTATGATGTTTGATTACAGGAATAAGTCTGTGGAAAACCTTTTGATGTCAAGTCATGAGGTGATTAACAGTATTAATTCATCGTCCTTGGCAAGTCAAAGCTCCTCGAGTAATTTGGGATATGGAGAATCCATGGAAAATATTCAAGAGGCTCCTGTTAGTGGTGGAGGTGAACATAATAGTCCTATGCCAAGTCCTAATTTATCTCCTCGGCCCAGCCCCAGACCTTACACTAAGCGGGATCATTCCAAGCTCCATGCCGAGGCTGCCAATCAATGTCATAAGGATTTGAGTCCTTTAAGTAAATCGGAGTATCAGCAGTCACAAGTATGCAACACCTTGCTGTTATTGTTATTATAAATTAGCTTGTCTAATATCAGTCTTATCAGTTACTTAATTGCATCCTCTTACTTTCAAAAATAGTTGGGCATCCAATTGAAAATGCATTATTACTATTATTCTTTGCTATTCCTTTATTTCCTGGAATGAAATATCAATCATACAAATTATATTTTATTTACAAAAATATGTTAAATTCCATATTAGCAGTATCAATCATGTGAATCAGTTAACTCTATAATGCTGATAATGTTTTTGAAGATTACTTTATAAGCTATTTTAAAGGTGGTTGAGATAAGATTATATCATGATGTACTGTATTCTGTTGAATAGATGTATAAATTTTGTAGAATAACTCCTGTCTCATGATCAATATTATGATAAAATTGTAAAGTATATGTGAAAACTCTAAAGTATATGAGAAACAGTAAATGTGACTTTTACTTTGACATGTAGTAAATGTGTAGTAAATTCATAGATTCGTGAAATCACTCAAACGCTTGTGACGCATATACAAAGGTCAGTAAAATGAAATAACTACATGTCATTAAATCATTGTTGTTCCCACAAATAAAAATTAAAAACTGGAAAAATAGATAAGTCATGAAATATAGTAGCAGTGGGATGTTAACAAACATCGAAGTTCTAATCACTCTCAATTGCCCAAGCATGTGCAACGGTACAGATGAATTTAGACAAGTTATAACATTAAGCTGATTCCATGTACTAATATATTATTCATAATTTAATAATTGCCATTATAATATTGTTCCACAATCTCATGATTATTTTAAATTTCTAGGAAGTTATCAATCGTTCTTCTGACTCGGCCGAACCAAGCAAAAATTCAACACACGAAGGAAGAAAAGATGCAAGAGATCGCATTAAGAAAAAGACCTCTTGGTACAACGTTCTATATCCAAATTATAAATCCCGTTCTGAAAATTTCAAAAGAATATTCAAAAATGTACCACCCGACGAGCGACTAGTCGTGGGTTAGTTGATAACAGAAAAAATTAGATGCAGCTGCGATGTATATTAAAAATTTCTAAATCTTTGAAATACTGATCTTTTCAGATTACTCTTGCGCCCTACAACGTGAAATTCTGGTCCATGGAAGATTATACGTCTCTCAAAATTACATGTGCTTCTATGCGAATATATTTAAATGGGAAACATCGGTTACGTTACGTTGGATGGACGTCACTGCTATTACCAAAGAAAAAACAGCACGAGTCATTAATAATGCAATTGCTATTTGTACAGAGACAGATAAATTTTTCCTCACTTCCTTTGGTGGAAGAGATAAGACTTACCTGATGCTATTTCGTGTCTGGCAAAATGCTCTAATTGGACAGGTAAAATATCTTTCCCTTTCATACCTTTATTTCTCCTTTCCTAAAGACCTCTTAGACAGATTCAATTCTCGCAGAGTTTTCAGACATTTTTTGTACAAAAGATATACTCTTCTGATTCAGCCAATGAGTATGACCGAGATGTGGCAGCTGGTGCACACTTGTTATGGGGATGAGTTGGGATTGACTTCTGACGATGAGGATTATGTACCACCATTGCCGGCACCCGATGACGAGAAGCTTTCTACGCGTTTATCCATGGAATCATTTTCCGAGGTATTTATACAACGATGAACTCATTACTATAGATAAAAGTAGTCATCATTTAGACTTCATATTTTACGATATCATTCAAACGCGAACTCTGAATTATGTTTGGACGAACGAATAAAATCAGTGGAATGCCTTTCTTTATTATCCGAACCGTTGCTTTAAGGAAATATCATATTGTAAAAAATATACCTTTTTGTTTAGCTGAATATTAGATAAGAAAACAAAAAGGGATAATTATCTATCTATATGCTTGATATCATATCGTTTTTTTCTTTCACATTCGTTAAGTCCCGTTTCTTGTACGCAGCTGATCATATTTATGAAAGAAAAGAGGTTTATTAGATATTGCATTTGAAGCAATATGAAATTTTCGCTATCGTTTATATCAGTAATTGTTTTTAATATGGCAGTGTTACCATATGCAAAGTATTACACGCGTTAATGATATTTGATTAGCAATTGAGTGTCTGATGATAATAAATATATTAACGTGATTATAACGTTATGGTTATGAATCAAATTAGCTCACTGCATTATTAAACTTTTGCTGAAGTTAAATGAACGTACCATTAAAACTTGAAATAAAAGATTAATAATGAAGAACATATAAAATTTCTATATTTGATATATCAGTGTCAATAACTTCTAAGAGGCTTCCAGTGGGATTTACGACAAAGGTATTTTGTAAATATTTGCGATTTAACATAAAATGGAGACTTTCTCTATTACATAACATATAAGTGAGGTTACTTCTATACTTGTTATGATATCCAACAATCATATTTAGTTGTGACTTGCTAGAATATGAATGGAATAACTATAGTACCTGTTCATCATGATGTTCAGACTGAAGGGGCCAATATGGAAAACACTGTTTCACCAGTTATCGATCCAATTGAACCAGAATTACCAATCCAACCTCCACCTAGACCAGAGCCACCTTTAGATGCAACTGATCTTTCCGATACAACAGAAAGTGAAGCTGAGAAACACCCTTGTATGTATCTCTTTGATATGGAAATAGGTTGCATTCAGTCTTTAGAATTTCTATTTACTGTCACAAGTAACTAACGAGCTATGTAAATGGTTATGGCAAAATGCCATACGATGCTCCAGTACGAATCCAAAGAGACATTGCAAGTTAAAATGATATTTAATAGATATAGATGCCACATTATTGTCTTTTTTACTTCACTTCTAATAACCATATTAACCTACTTACACTAATCATGCCTAATGATTTTTTGCAATGATGATTTAATTAGTGAGAATTGGATTAAGGAACAATGCGATCTGCACCACAGTTCATGATGGTCGACAATTCTGCAATGTCACATTACCGATGCATGTTGATCAGCTTTTCACCCTACTATTTACAAATTCGAAGTTCTTCCTTGATTTTCACACTGCCCGAAAAACAACCGGTGAGTTCTAAAGATTCTTCATAGTGCAAACGCTTTTTAATTGATTCTTGAGATATGGTTTAGGAATAGAAGGTTAACATATTCTTCGTTTGGTATATAGATTTGGTGCAATCTTCATGGATACAGAATAGTGAGACAGGCCAAAAAATGAGAACTGTTTCATTGACTATGTCTCTCACAAATTCTGTTGGCCCGAGAACATCCCAAGTTACCGAAACTCAGGTATCCACAGGAATATTAATAAAGCACTAAACAAAGCTTCTTCATTTTTAATACTCATACAATTCAATTTTTCTTCTTAATGCAGGTAATGTTACCCTGCAGCAGGCCGGGTCATCTTTATTGCATCGACATAGAGAGCACGAATTCCGGCATTCCTTATGCAGATTCATTCAGTGTATTCACGCATTATTGTATGGCAAATGCCTCTGAGAGTGAAACAACTCTTGCAGTATATTCTCAAATTAGATACAAGAAGAGTGTATGGGGTCTTGTTAAAAGTAAGTGTCCCTCGAGATAAATCATTGAAGAAAAATATGTATAAACACCTTAATTAAATAATACGATTTCTTAATAGGTTTCATCGAGAAAAATTGCTGGGCAGGATTAGAAGAGTATTTTAGAAGTTTAGTGAAGGCACTGAGTGTTGAATGTGAGGAAGGTACTACTGGTGGAGGCCTCAAGAGGAAGACCCGAAGAAGAAGAAGGCTCCCAGGAGTTAATACTGCCTTGCAAACACATTCCTCTGACCTGCTGTCATCGAATCTTCAATCAACGTCTGTGGATTTGCCACGTATTCATAGCAATGCTGGTACATAGCCTTTTATTAAATGCATCAGCTGCACGAGATTGTCTTAAATGTTGAAAGTATGAATTTTCCAAATTACAGGAGGAAGGAGCGATGCTGGTACTATTATAAGTTTGATTCTTCTGATAGCTGTTCTGTGTTTGATGCTGATCAACGGTTTGTTATATTATAAATTGTGGGGCTTGGAAGATGCGGCCGCTTATACAATTATGGATTTACACGTTCTAAAGTATGTACAATATAATTAATAAGATTCCTAGAAGAATCCTTTGGATCTTTGGTCTTACAAGAGAATGGTTTTCAGAAACACTCCAAAGACTGAGGAGGATTGGATAAATTTACTACAACAGCAAGAGAGTCTACATAATGTAGAAATGAAAAAGTGGCAAAGAGTTTTACATACTGCAGCGCAACTACTTAGACAAGTATGATAACCATTCATCACATTATTTAATTTCTTACTGCGACACAAATTTCATTTTGTATCTTCATTTAAGACAGAGGAATCCTTAACGGAGTTACAAATGAGTATTCATCCCACGGCTACCGAAAAGATGTTTTCTGTGTTGAAACCAGGACTTAAGAGTCCAAACGCGCGTCCGGATCAACGTACCAAAACAGAAATGTAAATTCTAGCTTAGAAAAATGGGTTTTCGAATGTCGAGTAAGTTGTCGCAAAAAATATGTATAATTCTGTCTTATGAAATCAAAAAAATGTGTTACTTCTGCACGTATTGCAGGTCTTCGTCTATGGAAAACATAGGTTGCTCTAATGAAGACGTCGACCAATTCTGGTTTTAATTAAAACTTTCTACAGTAAGTAAACAACCGAATAACAAGATTATATGGTATTGTTGAAATGTCAGTTGGTAGCTGCTATTTCGGAATATACTAAATTCATTGTCAACTTTTGGCTATAAAAGTTACAGAGTGTGGTACGCAAAATTTGTTTGCTTAAATTCACAGACCATAATTATAACGTAGATCTTGCACCCTTTGAAAGTTTCTACTAGATAGTGCATATATACTAGCAATTGGTACTTAAGTTTATTTTGTAGGATACAAAACCGCTATAGTATTATTAGACATGATAAATATTTAATTAGCGAATAAAGTAACCCGACGGTGTTACACGAAGCAATTTATTTTCGACAGTTGAGCTAATGAATTTGGTCCTTTTTTTCGTTCTCTTTTCCTCCGTAACTCTCGATGCTCTTACCTATTCCGTGTCTTCTTCTTCTACTTTATCCTTTAATGATTTTATTTCCCCATTGGGCGATCAAGCGATGCTCCTTAACAGTTTGCTGCCTACTAAACAAAATAGCTCTGATGATTTAAATACTTCTTGTTAATTATATAAGTGGGACTAAGAAGTTAACAGTTAATCAATTCTCCGTCTTTCTGTATATTACAGTTATTGCTTTGTGACTGCCTTATTTTAATTTTGTTGAGCGATGAAACTTGTTAGCATTCACGATTAAATAAGTAATCACGTAGAAATTAAGCGACAATGATCTTTACTTTGGATTTATCAGAATCTAGTCAGTCAACACAGTAATCTGTTTCATCAGTACTATTGTAAAGCTGAATTGATCTAAAAGTGAAGTAGTGAAATAGAAAGTTTTGCCTATAATTTTTAATATTAAAAACTATAGGCGAGCAATGTATAAATGTGAAATATTTGTAGGCAGAATTCATGTAAATATGAACTTGAGAGAATTTTAATTTAAACGAAAAAATATATAGGAGAATTAATAATTGTTAAAAGAACCAAAAAAGAAGGGTTTGTCTCAAGTTGTATCGCAGAAATGACAAAGTCTATTACTTTTCATTTGGAGCATAATATATTACGCAACAGTATTTAATTGTATATCACTGTGCATACCATTAGAAAACAGCCCTTAAACAATACATTTATGTAGTAATATTAGATATTGCTAAATGTAATGCAAACGATTAGTTCCAGAAAAATGTATTTTCGCCTAATCAATTAATCTTTCCATTCAATTTCCAGGAATCACTATTTCTTTTTTATCATAATATATTTTCCACAGTATAGCTCTGCATAGACGTTGTATGTCGTTAGTAATTGGTTATCATGTTTCATTGTTCTGTCTCGAGGCTTTGAACTATTTATGTTGTCTTTAATCGTAACACTAAATTTTTTAATTGTGCACGATATGCCAATATTTTCTAGGTCTTGGATATTATCTTATTATGTTATACACGAAGAACTTTCCATATTATGCATTGTTTTATCCTATAGTGATTCTTGGACATGTTGTTTCCCTTGAAACACAATAATTCCACACTCGATATATATAAGTTACAAAGGAAATATTAATCTTGGAAAGAGAGGTCTTTACATCGAAAGAATTAAAAGGAAACAATTTACTAATATGTGATAAACTTACTTAGGGAAGGACAAATTGTAGTTAAATCTATAGAACGTTTAAATTTATTTTAATTAAGATGATAATAAAAAATGAATACGTGATGTTATGGACTCTCCAGTCATATATAATCTTATGTTCTAATAATTAAATCCCACAGATTATTATAAATTTGTGAATTGACGCTCTTTATTATTCATTTATTATTATTATTGTAATCGCAATAATTTCTGTATATGCGCAAAAAGTCAGCAAAGGGTTCAGGATCACAAGAATTATGAGTGACAACTATTGACCGGTTTTGAATTATAATTGTTAAAAATGGAAATATCTATCTTAGGATCATAATACAATCCAAATCTCAAGGTCATATATTTTATCTATTTATTTGCAAAGAAACTAGTTTTATACTTGATACAGTTTGCAAGCAATTGCGTATATCTTACAAGGAGCAAAAGATTTGCGTTAATACGATCGATGATGGAATATTTCTTTTATGATTTTTGGACATGTGGTACTTTACAATTTTGAGATTTGGATATAACACCTTCGCACATGTACTCAGAGCAGACCCAGAGAAACCTATAACAGTATTTACTGTATGCATTATTAAATATTTCGCGAACCTCGTAGGTAAGCAAGCCATAGCTTAAAGCTTTTGGCTAGTAATTTTAGTAAGAGTATAAAAATACATAAATTTATATAGCACTGTTACATATTCGATAATCTAACGAGAAAATGTCATTCTCAATAAAAAAAAAGAATATAACAAAATTGAAAGAATCATGTGAAAACGGAATAAGTGTGAAGTCACAACTCACAATTTTTTTCTTAGATACCACCGATTATATCCAAAATTATTGTGTTAGACGTTAAGAAACGAATGTTACTGAAAAATTATTAAAAGGAAAATCGAAATATACATTTTTTCTAGTATACACCAAGAATTGTCTACATTATTTAAAAATCTTATTTTCATTTAGTAACTTTTAAGCAACAGAGTAGGTGCGCTATTATATACAAGGCATTACTGTATTTTTCAAGATTTATTAAGATGGTATATAATTAAACATAGAAATTACATTCTGTGTCTACTTGTCGTCTGGCTTGTTAAAGACAAGCGTGTATCCGCACTTTCCACAATAATGACGATCTTCCATGGCAGCCATAAAGACTCCAGCTCCACACTGTTCCGATGGACATTCCCGCCTCAGACGGTGAATCTTACCGTTTTCATCGACCTGATAAAAACAAGATCCAAGTATTATTGAACTATATATTGTTATGGACAAAAAGGTATCATTAAGGACAAAAATGTATTCGTTACCTTGTAGAACTTAAGGACAGCGAGCTTGACCTTCTTCTTCTTGTGCTTGATTTTCTTGGGAGTCGAGTAGTTCTTCTTCTTGCGTTTCTTTGCTCCACCACGCAGTCTCAGAACCAAGTGCAATGTCGATTCCTTTTGGATATTGTAGTCCAGCAGGGTTCTACCATCCTCTAATTGCTTGCCAGCGAAGATCAAACGTTGCTGGTCAGGTGGGATACCTAGGAAATTTGGTTAATTACTTTCTGTACTTTGTACTATATGGATATTAGGAATGATATTGTACAATATTGTATGGTGTAACAAATTTGTACCTTCTTTATCTTGAATTTTTGCTTTGACATTTTCAATAGTATCCGCAGCTTCGACCTCAAGGGTGATGGTCTTCCCAGTTAACGTTTTCACGAAAATCTGCATGATGATGGTGTAGTCCTTTCACTGCAACAATACAAAAATGTTAAGTAATGATAATAGTACATTCGATTTTGTTAGAAAGATCACTCATAGATATATATGCATTAAATAATAATAGTAGAAGGGATAATAAATAATAGACAAGATCTTTTATCTTGGGTCAATGACTTTATTTAGGTAACTAAATATTTGACAGCCCTCAATCTCACATGTACACAATGTATTTGACGGTAGAATTACAATGAAGTTCCAAATGCAAATTAGACCAAAAGGACAGCATTAATGCAGCCATCATTTTCTGGATTATTAGTAACTTGTGCGTATTTTCCCCAAACAACTTTTCCTGATTGTGTCACTAAACCCAATTCTGAAATATTCACTTCAATGATTGTTCCCTTGGTGATGACTCCCAAAGTAGTATACATGGGTGAGCTTGGATTCTTCCTAACTCCAATAATAGGCAAGCAGAATGTAGCCTTCAATTCTGGATGTGTGACATGTGCCTTCTTAAATCGTAATGCCATTGGTCTTATGAATCTTTCAAACTTTGGTGGTTTCCTAGTGAAATTCTCACCAACATATGTGACTTTTGTAACCATTCTCTTCCAAGATTTCCGTTTTGACTTTCCAGTTCTCATTACTTTGAAAACTTCAGAATCTGATTGTGCTCTCACTTTTGGTATCGGTACATCCCATTTGCCAGCTTTCTCTTTACGCTTCTGCTTTATCATATTTGAAAGTACTTTTGCTCTTGATGTGACATCACGATCAAGTAGATACACTGGCAATGCACCTTCTGGTGCCTTTTCAGTCTTTTGCTTGACTTTCTTCTCTTCGTGTGCCTTGATTTTCCTCTTCATCTGAATCTTTTCGTTACGACGCTCCTTGTTGAACATCTTTGCTTTAAGTCCACGGAGACTACGTGCCCGTTCAGCACGTTTGTGTGGTTCTCGTGCATCTCGTTTGCGTTTACGTTCCTCGTAGTCTAAACGTCTACCATACAACTTCTGGTGCCTCTCAATGTACTCGTTCTGTGGCATTTTGTCCCTTTTACTTGAGCTGAATTCTTAATAGACAGTCAATTCATCTGTAAACAAACATATTTGCTTACTCGACAAGTCTTGATTAGAGTGTAAGTGATATGTGATTGAGAGGTTAAACTTGTCATGATGAACTTACCTGTAGCTTAACTTTTTTGCCATATTTCCTTTTTGATTGAAATATACAGATAAACCAAGTATATTACTTAAAATATTTTCTATATCATTGAAATAATACTATATTATAATATAGTAGTCCAATGCAGTACAAGATATTTTGAATGGTCCAAAAATAATAAATACATCAATCTCAAAGAAATACTCCAGACTATAAAAATCCCATTTGATTGAAATATTTTCAAACCGATAATATTAAGGCAATAAATACACAACTATTACTTTGTGTAATGATAGCGTCAACTTGTTTCTACGCCACCATTAGAACGCAATTACTAATGGTAAGCCATATGCACTTGACTCCAAAACTACTTAAATATAAAAAATTATAATAGAGGGACTACCAATATCTGCAAAGGTTTACTATTGTATGGCAATATACAATCTGCGTTAACAATTCACGCACCTGTCGTAGGAACAAATCAGAATACAAACCACAAGCGCAAGGTAGTCTGCACTACGCTTGGAAAAACGTGGCATGTGTCAGGAAGTTCCAAACTTTCCGATACGAGAAAAATACAACAAATTTCGACGGAACCATGAAATGAATATTATCGCGAATAAGAATTTGTAAAAATTTAATCAGTCGCATAAGGAATAATGTAATATTTTTACAAAAAACATGAGAAATTCTGGCCAAACTTACCCACAGCTACACCATGCGATCACGGAAAGGATCTCTAGGCTTATGTAGTATACAGACGTAGTACTCTGTGAAGAATAAACAACTTCCGGTGAAACAGTAGCGACACTAAAGTTGACTTTGGCGGTCTTTTTAAATTTAAGCGACATTACACACACCACTGAGAACATCTTAGCTACACTTCTATCGTGCAAAATTTAGAAAATATTAGCCAATCTTATGCAACATTTGAGAAGAATATAAGACGTGACCAGATAGCCGTAATCTAGTTTTGTGTAGCTTCCGTTCAAGATTTTCGAACATATCGCTGTAGAGGAATAAAGATACCATTCCTTCCTTTCCTTATGGCTGACTCCTCCAATGAAGAGATGTGCCAGAGAAATAAAGATTGAGGAGGTATGTGAAGAAGTAAGCGTTGACCAGTGAGAGAGTTGTCCATGAAAAAACCATTAGGCCTGATTCAGACCAAAGGCAGCCGGTAGCAACCAATAGGCACAACCAATAGAAAAAGATGCTTTGGAGCTGATTTATAAAATCACGAGACAATGATTACGTGACACGACAGTCTTGAACCGGTTCATTGAATACTGATCTAAAAGAATTGACCAATCCCAAATATTCTTTACAAGTAGAAAAGTCTATTATTTGTCTATCCCTTTAAATCAGCATTAACTAAACCAGTTAAACCCGTGGTGTAAATGTAGTTAATGCTGTTCACTTGCTTGATCACTTAAAATGCATTTGTGCATAATTTTATCGGACGGATAATGTTTAGGAAGTGCTCCCTACTTATGCTTAAGCTTCCGCTTAAGCAATTCATTATTTCAGTATTAACTTTTTGAGAGATTATCCAGCGTACGACAGAAGCAACATACTACATTGGCTTGTTCTCACGCTATCTCTCTCTACAGGGCTTATTCCACTGCCGTACGCGTTCCAGCATAGTCCTAGTTTAGTGATCAGGCCTTACTGTTTTTAAGAATACGTATGTCGTGTATTATTCCCGATTACTGCCAAAGTCACTTTTAAACCTCATAGATGATTATTTTGGGATGCACTAAGGAGTAAAAATTCATATGAAAATGTCTTAAGCTTGTAAAAACAATTAAGATTACACCGTGTTGATGACAGTTACTGATTTGTAGTAGATTAGTATGGCGAGATAACTTGATGTGACTAGTTAAGAGGTAGGAATATCAGAAAGTTTTTGAGAGGGTTATTGAGTTGAAATTTTAATCAACATCCTGGTATCAGTTATACAACAATGACAAGTAAAAAAGGACATACTTTACGTATCGAGAATGAAATTGACAAGAATCGTGAAGAAGGAAATTGGAAGAAAGTTATAGAATTGGCCGAGCACCTTAAAGTACAATATCCAAGCAATGGTAAATGGAGTTATACTTTTTTCAGCCACTATGATATAGACAAACCATAAGAGTTCAAATTCAGAGTGTATCTTTAGATAATTCATATCTTTTAAATGATATCATTAATCTGGACTTGTTTATCTAATACATTATGTTATGAGAATCATATAGGTATAGTAATAGATAATTTGCAATTTATATATTACATTTTCTGTAGTTGTATGTAAATAATAGTTGTTCATTGGAGTTTCGAAGTGAAATAAGTTAAATTTATTATTCTATATAAATTTAAACATAATAGATAGTGTTTCTTTTGAAGAATGTTTAGCAAATTTCCTATGTGGTGAGGCAAGACTGGAAAGTTTTCTTGAACAAACACCGCCAACTGACGCTAATGTGGCTAAAGCTAGAACGGGTTTGGCAGAAACAAAGCAATATCTACTCCTTGCTGCTAATGAGAAAGATAAACAGGTTTTTATCTGACACCATATTATATTTTAATTTGACATTCTTTCCATAAATATACTTTTTTAGTTTCAATCATTCTAAGAAATTACAAAAAGAACTATCAAGTATTAATAAATATCATTTTATAGGCACTGGTAGTATTGGATGCCCACCTTCTTCTTGGTAAACTTCACTATGCAATGGGAATGTATGACGAAGCACTATTTCATTATGAACAGGCTGAACTACATACTCTGACAGAAAAGCAATTACCTAGTCGCAGCTTACGTATAATAGCTGAGTCATTTGCAATTAAAGGTCAATCTTAGTTTTCTGTATCATTAACAATATACTAGTGTATAATTACATAGCTAAGTTTTTTATCATTTTTCCTGACTCTTTGCATTATAACAGGCCTTTGTCTTGAAAAGCTACCACCAAGTACCAAGACAAAGTATAAAATTGCTGAATGGCAAGACCAGATGATAAAATGCTTTGAGAATGCAGGAGATTTGACTCTAGTGTATCTACAAGAACAAGACAAACAAGCAATGCAGCAACAAATCAGTACCTACTACCCAAACAGCAATAGCATTGGTAGTTTAAAAAGTATTAAATGAATTTAGGATATTCTCAACTTTTAAATATTAACATATTATTCTTTCTTCATAGGATCATACTCTCCTCAGCCACCTGTCAGTTCCATAAAACAGATAGGTCCCATCTTAGAGACAGCATTGCAAAGGGCTCCAATATTCCACATTCAAGCTGGCAACGTACAGGCAGCTATTAACCGTTATAGGTAACTTATATTCTTGAATTGCTTCTGTAAAAAATACCTAACAATTGATAAACATATTGACAGAGGGATCCTGTCAGCTGTTGAGTCTACAGCAACTCAAAGGCTACGTCTCACATTAACTCGTCGGCTAGCTGAAGTGTTACTACGTGGCATCAGTGGGAGTCTGTATAAACCTCCTTTGCTACCACCTGAAACGTCAGGTAACTTTAAATACCTCTTATATCATTAAAAAACATTTAAAAAACTCATCTTACTTTTTAGCAGCCACCAACGCAGGGCATAAGAAGAATCAGTACGGATCAAACAGTGGATCTTCGGAGTCTCCATGGAAACCAAAGAAGTATACTGGACCAAATCAATTCATTCCAAGGAACGAGTGTGAAGAAATAATCCTATTATTATTGATAAGCGAAGCAATGGCTGTGCGAGACGCAGTATTAAGTCAATCACCAGAATTTAAAGAAGCTCGAATTCACGCATTTGAAAATGCCACTGCAGTTTATGATCTTCTTACTGTAGCAGTTGTAAGATGGAGTCAAGTAGGATTACTATACGAGGTATTAAAATATTAAAAAATATATATATATTAATGACTTTCTTATATTTGTAAAAATACACAATGCTAATCGTAACCCTCGGATTTTATTAAAATTCATAGAGGCTGTAATGGACAATTTCATAAATTATTCAGAAATTGTTTCTTACAGTCTTTCGAAAGGGCCATGAAATTTTCACATGAGGAAGCACATGTGTGGACTCAGTATGCACTATGCTTAATCAGTTTAGGAAGATACGCCCAGGGTCACTCTGTTCTAAAGGTAGTAGCCAGGCTTACGCCGCACAAGGTAATGCCATGTCTATTGGCTGCAAGACTTTGTTACGAGCAATTAAATTTGGTAAGTGTGTATCAAATTGTTCATTCTACAAGGTTAGACTCAATCAATACACTATGTATCATCTAATATGAAATGAAAATATCCTGTATTGTTTAATTACTATCAGATTCAAGAAGGGATCGATTGGAGCCAAAAGGCGTTACAGCGGGAAACTACTAGCCCGCAGGGATTGCAATCAAGATGTCATCTCTATATCGGTATCGGAAATAGTATACTTTCCTCGAATACTAGTATTAAACAAGATAAAGTACACCACACCAACATAGCCCTGGATTGTTTTCACAAGTACGTTTTTATCATATAATCTAATTGGCCTACTTTACAATAGAGTAAATTTTTAAGTTGATCATACAGCAGAAGAATGAGTTTTTATAAAAATATTTTCCCAGTACCAAATTCAATGATTACAATGTACAGACAATCGTTTTGTAAAGATTACTAAGCTTATCATTTTTATAGAGCACAACAATGCGACCCCAACGATCATCTTGCCGAATACTACCTCGCTCACGAGTATGCAATAAACAGGCAGATAAACGAGGCAATGGTGCACGTAAAAATTGCATTGAATCTACGTGCTGAGCATGTTCCATCCTTGCACCTGTTGACGTTGTTACTCTCGGCGCACAAGCAATATACAGATGCCCTGGTATTGATCAATAGTGTGCTGGAAGAATATCCGGACAATTTAAACTTGCTTTACCTAAAGGCACATTTGGAATTACATAATCTGGGCGGCACGAAGGCTTTCACCACAATAAAACACATGCTACACCTTTGGCGTAATCTTTATGAGGATCAGACTAATGTTGATTGCAATGAGCAACAAAGCGAGAGACGCAGCGAAACCAGAAGTGTTTTTCAGCTTTACACTTCGGAAATGTCAGACAAAGATTCCAGTAAGTTTTTCATTGAAGAAAATAATTCTAAGTCAAATGAAATTGTTAAAACAATTGTCATACATCAGGTTCGTTACATGCACATTCCTTGGCCGCTTCGAGGATCGAACAAGCCTTGTCCGAAGTTGCCTCGTCCTTGAGTTCCTTTACACCAAGGCCAGGACCTCAAAGAGCATGGTTGCTTCAGCAACAAATCTGGTTGCTACTTACTGAAGTATTTTTGGTCCTCGATTGCCCTTTGGAGGCTACATTATCGTTACAAGAAGCCACTAATATATTTCCATTGAGTCACCATATTATGTACACGGTCAGCATTGTATCTGATAAGAATACAAACGAGCGTCGTGCTATGAACGTGTAGAATTCTATTTTTGGATTTTTTATTGCAATTTATAGCGGGGTTTGCTGCACGAACATAAGCAGGAATACACGGAAGCAAAGCAGTGTTACCAGAATGCTGTTTCCATTAATCCAACTCACATAAAAAGTCTTCAACATTTGGTAACTCTACAAATTTTCTTTTGTCAGTCTTATTAGAAGTGTTTATTTATCTAAAAAATGTTGATATCACGATATCTTTTCTGAACCCTAACAGGGATTGATTTATCATTACCTCGGGAGTCAACGATTGGCCGAAAAAACCTTGAGAGACGCCGCAAAGATTGATCCAAACTCCCACGAAACCTGGTACCGCCAATATTATATTATTTCTGTATTTTTGGAAAAAATAACACGTTCAGTAAGGCACGCTAGGATGTTAATTCTCAAGGTCATAACAGTATACAAATTAACTCTGTCAAATATACTTATATCTTTGGCATTATAATCTCAAAAGCCTACGTCTATTATCATAATTAAAGCAATGATTCAACTAATATTTTATCCGTAAACAGGTATAATTTGGGAAAAGTTTTGGAATCGTTGGACGAGGTTGAAGCAGCAAGCGACTGTATGGCAACAGCATTAGAGGTGGAAACAACAAATCCAATTCTACCAATATCGTCTATACCTATCACATTTGAATAATCGAAGAGTCAGTCCCATTGAACTAATATTAACTATTTAATTGATGTACTAACGCGTTCCTGTCACGACGGTATTTAATATCTCTCGTGCCAGTATATGGTATGCTTACTCGAGATTCCAGTATTCCAGATTGTAAAAATTCGTTTCAACGTGTTGAGAATATTTAAATTTTACAAATATTTTAATGATGGTGTGGTGTAGAGAGTTTAATAAAGAGTTACCGTCAAAACCCAGAAATAGATATGTCCAACTCATTAAAATTCCAACATATTCATACGCCTAATGCAGCTGAGTATTATCCCCGATAGAATATTCATTTAACTGGAAAACAAGAACATTTGGCTTTTGTAAATACAAATAAATTACATCAAGTGAAGTTCAAACATAATTTCCTATTCGATTGACACTTCTCTGCATGATCGTATCTATACTATATGTATAATATGGACTACAACCCTTACGTTACATATCCTAGTTCCTTTGTACGAGTTCCTTGGTAATCCGACGATTAAATGTCGGATCACTCATGAGATTACGATCCAATAAAGTGAGCAAGCACATCCATAGAAGGACGGGCATATTATAAAATTACTCACTATATTTCAATGCGTCAAACGACTGATGACACAATCCTAGATAGTATGAGGCCATTTGGAAGTATATAATCCTTAAACTAACACGAACAAAATGATATTGTCACAGAGGCTGTTTGTTGACTGACTAAAAATCTGAATACAAGAGATACGAATAGTAAAAATGACGCAGAGACTACGTAAAATTAAATGCCTTTTTTTACCGAAACCGAATGAAGGATTATTTCGGTGCGTCAATGCAGGTGAAGACGAAAAAGAGATGGAGGAGAGCAATAAAAAAACATAATAAAATACATCCCAACCATGAATAGCCATAGACCTTATATAGATCTTAACTCGATTCTGTGTAATAAGATTAGGTTTTTGCACTCTTTCGCAAAGCAGCCCTACTCCCCTGGAGAGACATTAGTATTTGTCTGCGGGTGTGTTGCTGGTGGCATCCCACGGCAGCCATTCTGGTCGACCCTTGGCATCCTCAACCTCCTCTGTCCCGCCACTCGCATTTGTCTCTCTCGCTAAGGAGATTACGAGTTTCTCTCTGTCTTCTCTCCATGGCGTGTCGCATTGCGCGTTCACCCGCGCACGCTCAATGCTACGATGTGTCAAAATTTTTGAAAATTCACGAGCGACGATAGAAAAAAATTGACGCCATGATGGATACAGGAAGGTATACAAAATTTCGAATGATACTCGCAATGTTCGGGAATCGATTTCCTGATAAAAAATAAAGAAATCGTAACGGTTGACGCCGACGCTGGGCAACTGAGTCACGGTTAGCGCATAATTCTGCTGCAGAGTCGCAGCTATGCGTAACAAAATCGACCAGCGACACCGAGGAGATTTGGTAAAGAGGGCTCACCCCTGTATATTCTACGTCTGAAACGAACTGTATGGTATTTCTATCCCCTCCAGAAATTCTATGCTTGGTTCCAGCATATCTCCCGTGTCCACTGTGACTACTAACCGTCAGATACAAAGTCCCATAAGACTGGCCCTCTCTACTAATCTATCTCCTCGGTACCGTCGATAATCGTTCTTTGGAATACAGGAAACCCTCAACGTGCATATAAAAATATATATGATATGAATTTTTTAAGAGTGGTTAACAACTGTTATCACAGTGAGCCTTCAAAGATTGATAAGTATTAATCTTGTTTGTTGTAGAGATTTCCATGATATTACAATAGCGCGTCGCGTGTCTCACCCTAAAGCAGGGCAATTGATTTTTACAACGAGAAAGAACGGAATGTGTCGATACACGTGTTCTTGTTTATAGGATAACGTATATAGGAAACATTGTGAGAGATTTTGAGGAATTTTAGTCGTTTGGGTCGATAACTTCGACGAGTCTGTCATAAACGAGCGTGCTTAGTATATCATTTAGTGACCCGTTATATGTTAGCTATAGTTATATTTTAAGAAGTTCGACGTAGGTTGGACAACGTGTGCTTGCATATTCACTCAAGGGGCAGAGCACAGTACTGCTACTACCTCCCATTTTGGGTTATCTGCTTTCTCTTGAAAGGACATGTATTCTCTAAAGGATTCAAAGACGTTATGAGGATGAGAGTAGATAGCTTTGTATGCGTAGGTACATTTCTGAAAGTCGTTTTTGAAAAAAGTTAAGGGCTGCTGACTGTAGTACGTTTAAATGACTAAGGATGAAGATGATGAAAGAAAAGTTAGACGCAGAGGATATATCGAGCAGTAGGATGAAGTAGGAGAATGAGTATATATATATGATTATTAGAATAGGTAGAATGAAAAAGACGAAGAAGATGTGAAGCCGCAAGAGAAGTAGTAAGCGTAGTGATTGTGTAGTAAAAGTCCGGTGAGAAGTTTGTAATTGTAAACGTGGCTGAAAAGGTTGAAGCTCTGTGTGCACGGCAGGGAAGAATTTCGCAGGGTAAGAAGACGCTATAGAGAGCATGGTAGAAACAGAAGGCTGAGGGAAGGGAAGTAAAGCAAAGGATAGGATAGTGAAGAAAAGTAAAGGAAGTCTAGGTTTGACCTGGTAGCCGGCGGCAGCATCAACGGCAAAGGCGGCGGCGGTGACGGCGGCGGCAGAGTCCGCGCGGCCGGCTGACGCATTGCAGGTGCGCGCCGGCCAATCACAGGTCCGCTTAGTTCGCACGAATCCGTCCTGTAAACAAGACCGCACCCACCGCTTATAAAGCTGGGCTAGGTGCACGCCCGAAATCCAATCTAGTCTTTTGGCTGACGAGTCATTTCAGACGGCAGGTGATTCGTCCGTGAAAAATCGTACTTTTTCACGGTTTTTCCGCGAATTTTCGCGCTACCTTCGAGTCGCGTAGGAGAATGCGCGCGGCGACGCCGCGTTGCCACCTCCTCCCTGTCTCCCCACCAGAAGCAGGCACATCCTGAACGTTAGTGCGCAACCCGTCGCCGGCGTAGTAATACTAGAGAGCTCACAGAGTATAGACTCCATTACTGTCCCGAGTGCGTTTCTCGTTGGCCGTTAGTAAAGCCTGTCTGCGGTTATCCTCGTGCAACACGCGTCTCGCTCTCCCGTGGTGAATTCTTGTGCAGTGAGCTCCCTCTTCACCCCGATTGCCTCCACGGTTCACTAAGCCTACGATATGGTGAGTCTTACGAAAAATTCGAGGACACCGAGCAGCCGATACCTTGACGCGCCAGAAAGATGCACGTGTGGCGGCCCGAGATTACGATGCGTATTACCCTGGCCCGCACACCCGGCACCTCTTTTTCATCAACTTTTACGATAGCTCCCCATGCTCTCTTTCTTTCTCTGTCTTTGCCTATACTTTTCGTTTCCCTTTACCCCTTCGATTACATAAGGTTTTCCTGCTTTTCTCTCGATTTTGACAAGGGGCATAGTAACGAACGCATTGCTTGCTTCGCCAACAAACCGCGGCATCCGCAACGGTGTGTTTGCGGTCTTACGGTTTGTGCTGAGCGCGAGAGACCGTGACGGACTGAAATCGATGCTGGCAGCTATTTTCGCCGGTTGCTGTTGAATATCTCTCATCGTTACGCACAGGTAAAATCGATCAAACGTGATTACTAGCGACTTCGTCCGGTTCGATCGATACGTAGACCAATGTTTCAAAATGTCGCCGCGGCTGCTGCTCCTTTGTAAACCGGAGAAAAGTTGTGTTAGCTTGGCAAGCATTCAGAGAGACTTCCAAAGATGAAAATCGTTGAAACGAAATGGCACCTCATTTAGCAGTCGGTTTCGTGCGATAATCATAAGACAAGATTGAATGATCAGATAACGGAAACAGAGCAATGGGTTTTGGGCGGAATAGGATATGGTAATATTTTTTTTCCTCCATTTCTCGTCGAGGATAATTTACAGAATATCGTAAGGGAGCTCTTAGAAAACAGATAATTACCAGATACGCGGCGGTTTTACTGACAGCGTGACAGCTGGCGCTTTCTTTCTTTGCCCCTGTCCATTTTTAGAGACGACGCGGTCAGCTTTCATTACGCCTATAAAGATACCAGCGCAAATGATCGCTCATGTCACACATGATTCATAATTTAGCGAATTCCTCGTGGGAAAATTTGTCATTCTCTCTTCCATTTATAACAGCGTAACTTAATAGATTTAGCTTAGGAGGAGAGATATCGATGATGTATCAAGCAATCCTGTGTCATCCTCGACAGTCGCTCATTAGCATAGCCCATATTATCTTTTCTAACCTATCTTTTCGTCATCGTTTCCATACCGAAGACCCCGATATATTAGGGACGTAAACGTTCCATTCAGTACATATGATTCATCCGTAGCTCCAGTCACACCTTGCGTTCCTACCCAAGTATAGATTTTCAAAAGGATTACGATCATATCCTCGCTCAACGTACATTTTCAAATTCTTTTCTCAAAATCTTATGCCCCCTCCTGTCCTCCCGGGGTTGCGCGGTACGGCGTTCGCCAATCAGCCATTCTACGATATATGTACCTTCACTATTGATTTTCGCAGTCGCAGAGTGTAGCAGCTCTACACTTCACTCTGTCCTTCTTCCCCTTCTACGTTAAGCTCAAGCTACCTAACTCACTCGTTTGCATAGTCTCCCTGTACCAACCTTCCTGACATTCCTAACCACGTATAACTCCCTGGTTCTCTAATTCTGTCGGTGCTCAGACTCCTTCCTGGTGCCTTCAAGTTTCCTCTGCGCCCTCCTATAGATTGTCATCCGCTTAGAGAAATAATACAGCTTTCATCCTATCCCCTAACCCATAGACGAATTGTTCCATGAGTTCCATCCCTCTAAAATTATTCAAAATCCTTCGTCTTTACAATCCATAACCAATATTCCTGTTGTCTATACAGTCACTCTCTCTCTCTCACCCTTGCTTATCCCCTACAGGCGGCAACCGTCTAGTCACCTAGTGTTCGCGACGACGTATATCCCCTCTTCTTCCGCCTCCTTTCCCCACCTTCACGTTCTGTTGAGCTTCTCGTAAACCTCCCCTCCCTTCCCCCTTCTCTCACTACAGTTGGATGTATCCACCACCACGACCACCTCGCAGCAGTATAGTAGCACTATAGGCTACCACCCCATCTTGTTTAGCCGGCGCCACCTCGACTAGTCTAGAATCCACGGAACTCGCGCGCTACACCTGCAGCGTTTTGTCGCAGAACCGTGCCTACCTTCGACCGGTCGACTTCTTCGCAGCGCAGTCATCTTTTTGCCCCACATTTTCACGGTTAACGCAGACGCGCACGAACCCTCCCACCTACGCAACATGGTACGTCCTGTCCTCTATTTCTCTCTCACTCACTCTTGCGCGATTCACCGTCTCTGTCTCTCTCTTACTCTCCATACGCTTATCCCACTGGATTTTATACTCTCATACTATTTATGTATCGCTTGACAATATTTATTGCCTTCACGCACCTTTACTTCGTCGACTGTGCTCTCTCTCTCTCTCTCCTCTTTTTTTTTGTCCTTTACTGACGGATTTCGTGATATCGTCAACGCCAGTGGGGGGATACTTCGATGATACTCCTTTGCCGTTGGTTAGGTCTACTTGGAATGACGTCAGTGCGCGATATACACGTTAACGGTTTTGACTTACGGGCTCTCGTAAATTTTCACTGAATTCTCAACGCCCCTGGATTCGCAAAGCATCTATTTCACGTAGTTTAAGACGCACCGGGACTCCATCGATCCTTCGCGGATTACAGCTGTACCTGGGCAGATATCACTCGTTGTCTTATCCATGGTATATACTGGTCTCGCTCGCTCTCCTTAAACATCGACACACACACGCACGCGCGCGCGCGCGCGCAATAGCTCTGTCGGCAAAAACGCCCTTTATATATCTTTTTTGTCTTTCCCTTTGAAAATACACCAGTACATTTATAATGAATAAAACGTCTTGACGTGCTGCCTCTCGTTCTTATCGCCTGCGTATAATCACTATCTAGGAACATTTTTCCCTGTATCTCAAAGAGTCTGCTCCCGTTATCTTTCTCTTTCGTAATGTTTTTTGTATTGTTGAAAAATATATATAAACCAATATGATGCGTTAATCGAGTAAAGCGTATAGATTAAATCCATACATACTTCACGTTACACTGTACATGTGTGTGAGAATTTTAAATGATTACTCTTTCCCAAATTCGTATTTTCGTAGCTACATAATATATACAAGGTATCGGATATATAGTTTTTTGCACGAACGTGCATTAAAAATATTATATTGGTTAAGACTGTACACCGGTTGTACAAGAAACGATAGATTCTTCTTGAGATACGTAGCACATTCGGTGTCGCCTTTTAACAGCTGCCTGGTATCTCGCTGTTGCCTGTGGAAAAAAACAAGTACTCTTACATATTCAGGTGTTAGGAGGATGCTGAAAGAGTTACCGAAGGTGTCTGCGTCAAAGCAATGCTTCATTGCGTGTCGGGGAAATATCAGGGCTTTGAATAATTGTGAAAATTATAATGGTTATTAAATATACAATGAGCGTTTCTTGTTGACAGTGTCGTTTGTTCCTTGTGTATACTCGAGTTGGTGATATAATTTTTTTATCTGGGTTCGCAGGCCGACCAACTCACAGAAGAGCAAATCGCGGAGTTCAAGGAAGCTTTCTCGCTATTCGACAAAGATGGCGATGGCACTATCACTACCAAAGAATTGGGCACAGTCATGCGTTCTCTTGGTCAGAATCCAACGGAAGCTGAACTTCAGGATATGATCAACGAAGTGGATGCTGACGGTACATAGATACATGGATATAGACATATATATATATATATTGCCCTGATTGTCCTGGGTTATCGTAGTTCTTGGCGAACGTTTTAATTAAGTTTCGTGCAGAAGTATGCTAGATAAGTGGATTAGCCAGTGATGATTATCTTATCAGCAAGGTCGTAATCGTGTCCGACGTCTTTAATCTTGGGATGGGCTCTCATTACATCATCAATCGAAACTTAAGAATAATGAATAGCCAATCTAAGGATTTCTACTTTGTATGTATACATAGATATATATTACAGTGTCCTTGCAATTATTTCTAAAATTCGTTGCGAATTTGGCGGTGGAATTAACGTTTATTTTTTTCTTTTTTTTTCCTTTAGTCTTCCGGGTCTCTGATTGTACAATTGTTTGTTGATACTTTCAGGTAACGGAACAATCGACTTTCCTGAATTTCTCACGATGATGGCGCGTAAAATGAAGGATACCGACAGCGAGGAGGAAATCAGGGAGGCCTTCAGGGTGTTCGACAAGGACGGCAACGGCTTCATATCCGCAGCAGAGCTCAGACACGTTATGACAAACCTTGGCGAGAAGCTCACCGACGAGGAGGTCGATGAGATGATTCGGGAGGCTGACATCGATGGCGATGGTCAAGTTAATTACGAAGGTAAGAACGAGGGTGATTAAAGATGCTGGAGGAGAATGGATGAAATATTTGAGAGCAAAGGCTGATTATGTATCTATTGGTCTAATTTGAATAATCAATTTTCGTCGTATCTATAATACGATAACAATATTAATTTGGTGATGGCAATGATTTCAGGCTATCGGATTGAATTGACTTTTTTTAAATACTTGTACGTGGACTGCGTGTTCCACTTTTGTGATTCGATAACTCGATGAATGACAAGCTAGATATGGATTGAGCGTGTACGTTAAACACTTGTGAAACTTTTTTTTTCTTGTTTACAGAATTCGTCACAATGATGACATCAAAGTGAATGCAACCTATGCACTGGGAAAACTCGCGACTAGGAGTGGTGTTGACGTACTAAACAAAACAAGATACAAAAAGAAAAAAGAAATCCAATCGATAAAAGTGACAAACCTTGTACCAGGATGCAAAGAAGTCTTTAAAACGCGAGAGGTCAACGTCCCGATCGACATGCATTATTCACCGTTTACGATAAGTAATTAAGGGCAATTAATTATTTAATTACAAAAAGTATACCACCAGCCACCATCTCTTCACGCATGTACTTGCCGCGTGTGCACGCATCGAAAAAGAAAGAAAAAAGACGTTCATGCACATTGAACACACACACACACACACACCACACAAAATCGATTACACTATTGACACACTATTTCGTGAGCGATTTTTTCTTTCTTTCCCGGTATATAAAAAAATGGTGTATACGCGTATAACACACTTTTATCAAAAACTGCATTTCCGCTTTCCAATCTTTTTCTCCCTCGGCCCCCCCACCCCTCCTTAACCTTCCAAAAAAAAACCCGCTGTCTCTTTGCGCGAACGCGACTTTTTTCCTGTACCTAGTTGGCCGAGGATACCAATGCGCTCCGAATCTTAGGAAACTTGTATTTGTGCCGAGGCAAGAGGAGGTGCATGAAGGGAAAAAAATGTTTAAAACAAAAATACAAGTTAAAAAAAGGAACATCAGTAACAACAAATTTAGTTAAATAGATGTTTTTCGTGTTCCTTTGAATAAAGTTTGATGCATTTTTTAAATTGAGCCTTAACGATGAGAACTTGTCGGCGAAGGTGAGCAAGTAAGTGAGAAAGAGAGAGAGAGAGAGAGAGAGAGAGAGAGAGAGACAGACAGAAAGTGAGAGTGAGATATATCGATCCAATTTGCCATGATTCATCAAATTTTGTTCAAAGCCCAGTGTAATTTTTTTAAGAAATATATATGTATACCGAGGTAAATTAGGATTATTCCTTCCCATTATTGTTCATCGTTTATAATACTTATACGTGTCGAATATCGTTTGCGTTTTCTGTCCTATTTATACCGTTCAATTGTAATAATTGTATCCTATTTCATTGGAAAAGAAGGAAGGATTCAATTTTCCAAAGTTTTACTTTAACACCGTTGCCCATAGCTCTATTCTTTTTAGTAGCATTCTGGCGCCTGTCGTGCGGGTTGTCAATTGTCTTAGCGTGACGGGACACTCTCCCCGGCTCTCCTCCGACCTTCGCCGCCCCCTCCCCCTACCGCTGCCCTAAGTATTTCATAATAGCAACTTAACGAAGTGGGTATCAACTGGTAATTTAATTTATATAAGTAATACGCAAGAAAATCTGCAAAAAAAATTTTAGTGGAATACCGTGAAGCCTTTGAAGAGACGAAATATCTCGTTTCTCTTGACTCGAGTAACTGTGACTTTGACTTACGTTGTCTTTCTGTCTGTATCAATTTACCCTCAACTTTAAACGCTACCACGTATAGGAAGAAGAAAAATAACGACATAAATAAGTCTGTATGTAAAAAGTGACAGAGAGAGAGAGAGAGAGAGAGAGAGAGTTAGAGAACGAGGGAAGAAAAGGAAAGAACGTCTATAGATTCAATATTTAATAGTCCCTTGACATTCCTATTCAAAGAATCTTTTCAGCTCCGTAAGTCTGTATGTAAAAAGTGACAGCTTACGTTGTCTTTCTGTCTGTATCAATTTACCCTCAACTTTAAACGCTACCACGTATAGGAAGAAGAAAAATAACGACATAAATAAGTCTGTATGTAAAAAGTGACAGAGAGAGAGAGAGAGAGAGAGAGAGAGTTAGAGAACGAGGGAAGAAAAGGAAAGAACGTCTATAGATTCAATATTTAATAGTCCCTTGACATTCCTATTCAAAGAATCTTTTCAGCTCCGAATGCCAGAATTTTTTCATATTTTTGCGTGTAATATGCGTACTCTCTACCTCCTTCGATGAAAGTCCCTCCCCCGCCCCCCAACACACATACAAACTCCCCAAGTAAAAACAATTTTCCCGCCTTCCAAGGAATAAAAAGAAAAAGCGCATGTACTCGCAAACGTCGACACCACTTTTCTTGAACCACAAAGAGAACGTAGAGAAAGGGAGAAAGAAAGAGAGAGAGAGAGAGTGTGTGTGTGCGAGAGACAAAGTGAGAACAGGAAAGAGACGAAGAATCGATCAGTGCACTTTCCGGGATGCGCGCCAGTTCGACGCGAGCGAAATCGAGAGCTGGTGCGTAGGAAAAAGCGATTCGTACCATGTTACTTAAAAACTTAAGAACGAGCAAAGAAAGCAAGGCAAGCAAATACACCGAACGACAGAACATCAGACGTGTCGGTGGTTCAGTCATAATATATATGTAATATATATTATATATATTATAATTAAATTTAAAAAAAAAACAAGAATTCCTCCACAGTCCTTTATTATTTAATATGAAAGAACGAAATGAGAATGAGAAGTACTTGTATTTCTGGTGACCTAGATTGCATTGATTATAAAAGACAAAATAAATGTATCCTCATTTTTAGGTCACAGACCTGTCGTTTCCTTGTTCGTCGTTGCTTCCTCTCCACTGTATCTGAAAATCGTCGAACTTTTAAGAATTCTTCGTTCTTTTTGTAGGAGCCGACATCCTGTACAATGGGTCTACGTTAAGTATTGATATTTCTACGAATAAGTTGAGGTTTTTAATAATTAATGTATTTATTTTATTTATTGAAAAAATTATTATTCATCATATTGGATATTACAGTTTGGCAAACTTTTCTGTAGTTTATTCAAGACCTGGGATCTGTCCTTGACGTAAGGCGTACCACTTATCCTTAGTTTCTTCAAATTCCTAAAACAAGGGTAACATACCTAATGACAGTTTCAGTCAATAATTAATCTTTATGGGATATTGATTGTTAGAAGAGAACAGGATATTACTGGATTCAATTGGATAATCAATTTGTAAGATTTACCAAAGATTCTGCAAGCTATAAAGACCCTCTTCTGTTATGTTGTAACAATCTACAATTTCGAGCTGGTTCAGCGATTCTTTTATTACACGAAGTAAAGGTAAAGCCTCATTTTCAATATAAGCACAGCGGACGAGTTTTATCTCCTCGATATACCTGCAACCTTCTGCAAAGGAAAAAAGAAAAAAAGGTCAGCAAGAGATCGTTTACCAAAGAAACAAGGTGGCATCAACATTCATATGAAGAGTTTTACTTAAGTGTCAGACGGACAAGGTTTGCGAAAATTGATTACTCTGTTCTCCAGGGTAAAATTATCCTTAATAATATTATACTAACTAAAGTGAGGAAACCCTATATCGCTAATCGCAGAGTCCGTAGCATCGGCAGCTTCAATATAATAATGTTCCTTTTCTTCGGTACCAGGTAAGAGGTTATAATCCTTTATATAATCCTTAACTCCCTTCCATTTGACAGACGCGCCATTCCTCAGAAGCCATTCCGCACAGACACGATCGGGCCCAAGTTCCTTTACGCGATCCTCGTCAACCCTGAAATATTCCTCGTCAGTATATGTATCTACGTAGTCGTGGTAGTTAACTGCTTTTCATTGATATTCAATGATCCTTGGGAATTGACTCAAGCTTCACCACGTTTCGTATTATATACCTATTGAACATCACTGTCAGCCAATGGAAGAAATAACGTCGAGGATTCAGAAAATTAATTCTACGCACTGCTGCTTGGCTTCTTAGCAGAGTTCTTGTCATCTGTGATAGTAGAAATTGCGCGTCGTCAGAATACGTTATATTTAACGTTAAGGAAATGGGATTATTCACGTACCTGAGTTACCATGGACTTCCTTGAATTCACCGGCTTCCTTTGACTCCTGAAGACTGTATTGAACGCAAATGTCGTATTTTTAATCCGCCTACGCAATTGATATACACCAACCTGACGTAATGGATCGCAAGTCATACGATTGGTCCGACAGAATTATACTTGGCGGCGCCTGTATGCGCTTTGTTATTCTACGGCAGAGACTCCTTTTGTAAGAGTTGCATTTTCTAAATAGGACTTTATTGTAGTCTCTTTTTTTATATTTAAGCTGGCGCAAGGGTTAATGATCTTCCGACTATTGTCTCTCAAGCTATCTTATATACATTTTATAGTGTCACCTTGGAACATTTTACTGGTACTTTTGTAGCATTTTATGTTTTTTCCCCTCTTATACCTTGTTTCTTTTTCTATAAGTAGTTAACCGCTCTATCCTATAAACTGTACGCATAACTAGGTTCATTTGTAACCAGATGAAAATGTTCATTCATGCGAATGGAGTCGTGCGTATACAATTTTATATTTTTAGAGACGATATTGATCTATAAACTGCGTACAGTGAAGGCCTGCATAGTCCCGGGCATTATTATTGCGTTGTTTTATACTATTTCTACGGTTTTTCTTATACTTTATTTTTATGGCAATGGAGATATTCAAGAAACAAAATGTTAGATTTTTCAATACATTTATTATACAATTTTTTTGTATGATAACACTTATTGCACACGATCCGATTTATTATAGATCTGGAAGAGAGTGTACAGTTTTATACACTGCGATTAAAAAACTGTATTAAACGGGGCTATCTAACTTAAATGCGTCAGTTATCGTATAAACAGTTCTATGATAAAAATGCATAATTATAACAAATGAAATCCGTATAGGAACATTGATAATCACAATTCAAGAATATTCAAGTATCAAAAATTATAACGATGGGAATAAATGGTAATTGTAAAATACTGTACGGTCCTTGTACGATGTTTAGAACAACCATAAAATCGTAAATAGTATACAATAGCATGTATATTGCATGTTGATCTACTAGCGCTGCATAGGAAATATGTTTAGTATTTATATGATTGATATAACTTGTGGTATTACAGTTTCGTTAATCTTCTAATATATTGATATATCTAATATGAAATTTATAATTTAATATTTCCTATGAGCCATTACAGAAGAACTTGTTACACACTTGATTATACTTATCGATCTACTATGATACATATTCAACTATTTAATGCACGGTTACGCTCACTGGGTGATACATATACGACTTTTTATCAGCATAAAAGCTTGCTCTTTTATAAAATATAATTTCTCACTGGTAAATTTTCAAATAACGATTTTCTCGTTATACGTAGATAGTGACAGGTTTGCCAGACGTATTTGGGTCAACTTTGACCTGTAATTTATTAGATATCTCTATTAACGAGTATTAGGAAATTTACGACATACTTATATTCATGGAACTTGATGCTAGATAATGATAAATTCTTATCTAAAGGAAGTCTTCTATGGAAGTGACTGTAGCCTCTATGAGTAAACCAAATTCCAGTTCTGCAAGACTGGCTGTAAATGAAAAAGAAAAATTATAAAATTCATGATTCGTTATGGTTGATAGCGTTAATAATGATTCGAGAGATTCGTACCTTTTGCTGTGAGTAAATCCAGAAATGTGTCCAGCGGTGAAAGTCTATCTGCTGATGGGAATGGCGCTGGTCCTGCACAGTAATACCATTGAATAATATATAATGGTATAACAGTTCATTAGTCTGTATATTGTTTTATATTTACCATGATGATGTATACGCTGTTGCGATATTCTACCACGATTTTGGCATGCCTCACCAGATAAAATATTCGTTGCGTGCTCCCGAGCTCTTAGCATAAAACTAACAGGATGTAACCATTGGTTAAGTAATCTCTTGGCTCGCGAACGTGGCAGTAAAGAGAGTAATCCCAATTTTAGTACAGCACCATCTTTCGTGTCACTGATATCTAAAGATAACAGAAAAATGAATACATTAGAGCCAATTTTTCTTGTACCATTCATAAAAAGACTAATTATATTACAGAAGTAGGACTCACCAGCCATAATGATTTTTGCTACGTCAACTTGTAGTTCGAAAACCGAGCGCTGTACATATTGCAAAAATATTTGATAATTTAGACTTCTATATCCAAGATACGTAAAGAATGACGTAAATCCCTGTGGGGCAGCGAAAGCACTGCTTTCTATAGCGTATCTGTATCTTTCTAACAATGTAAACAGTAACCAACGTCTTGGTTCATCCAGTTGATCCCTGAAAATTGAATGTATGTTAATGCATTACAGACACAACGACTTACAAGGTTTATAAGAACTCGCAGATGATGTCTTACACGAGGGCAAATCCGCGTTCCTGTTCTATACGTGGATCAACATTGGCAGCTTTGCAGAGTATTTGACAGAGGAAACGCGAAGTTTCCAATTGAGCGGCTACGTGACGAGTAGCCATTGCATGAACGTGTAAAGGAGTACAAGGGCCTTGCGTAAGTGAGGAAGTGGTTCTGGTACCATGCTTTAAAAGATGCATAGACAATTCACGTAGATTTACTGAGACGATGTGTTCCTGTTTCGATGCTGTACAGCTTTCAACTTCGACGAAAGGTAAACCAGACTCTAGGATTTTATTGGTACGGTTGCTTAAGGAGTCTCCTAGTGGTGTAGTTGCTACGACAAGTCTGCAATATGTGAATAATTAAAACTACTTCTAGGTACGATAACTAGTTTGTCAAAGAATCAATTATTTACCCTCCGCTGGGTGACATGGGAGTGCTTGACCTGGATAATGCTTCTGGCTGATAACAGGCCAAGGATACTACTAGTTTCTCAGTGACTTGACTTGGCTTGAAACGTGGTTTGTCTCCACCTTGTTTACTTAATTGATCCCAGAGACGTGTCCATAGATCACTCTGATAAGGAACCAGCCTTTGTTGAGGAGACAACAACATCACTGATGTGTTCCATAACTTTTCATGACTCAGGGTCACGTTCAGGTCATTGACTTTGGCCTCGAAACTTTTGCAATCTTCTATTGTTGTGAATGGTAGTAGTGAAAGCAGTGGTAATGCATCCGATAGTAAGTTTCTTTGCACCGATGCATAGGAACCACCAATTAGGATCTCTTGCATCAGACGGGCTACATGTAATGATCTTGGTTTCTCAGCAATTATTGATACCAACTCTGCGACTACTTCGAGATCATTCTTATGGCAAAGAAAGTAATGTAAGATACTCAGTCGAACCTCTACAGACGTTTCCCTTTTGAAGACTTCGATCAGGAAATCTGTGGATATGGATAGTGCTACCAGGTCTAACGTTGGTAGGTCTATTGTTAGTGGACTTGTATCAGTGCTGTCTAGACTTGATGATTCTGTTGATGAATTTTCATTGATGGTGCTAGTAGTATGACGATCTGTGCTGTTCTTATTATTCTTTTTAGTGCCATTCAGATCTAACAGTGGAACCAGGTAGGATGATCTAGATGGAACTGAAGTCAGTGGTCCGCTTAAAATGTGACAACATGGTTCGTGATTAACACCAATCTCAAGTAAATGAGTAAAGGCTCCTTGGACGAAGACAATCATTCGATGATCTTCATAAATTGCAAATGTTGGTCTCATTAACTTTGCGCGTGACCAGGGTATTCCTGGTACTACGCAGTGTATTACGCAGCTGTGATGAAGCAGTGTTACGGAGTATGCAAAGTGTACAGTATTCGAATCACTCAATGAAGAGTTCAATATACTTTGTGGTGGTTGTACAGGTCGATATAAATAATGATGACAAACACAGACCATACCTTTTGAATCCGATACTACGATAAGATCTAATGCACAATCATGAACTCGTAGTGGGATTACATCATCCTCGTAGATACCACAGTTATTTGGACTGGGTAATTGAGGTAAATTCAATGGGATATTTAGCTGAAATGTTTATACACATATATAATACTTGTTACAGGAATGGCTCTAAATTATGATTTTATGAGACATTAAACTTACTACTGTCTCATGAGGAAGATCGTCATGGAATTGAAGACCGCTAAGCGTTGGACATGAACCAGGAGTTTTTGTTCTATTTTCACAAGTATCTTCTGTGACTAGACTTGTTGGTGCTCTACGATGATGTATGTGATATAAAACTTGATTAGTAGCATCCCATTGTGCCCAGATAAAGGTCCTCACTAATGATTCAGATTTGAGTTCCTTTACTGTTCCTTTATCAGGTTTGGTTTTATCGAATAGCACGCTGTACGATGTTACACCTATGTATCGAACGATAATCATGAATTTTTAGCAATATTAAAATTTTACCAAAGCAATTTTTTGTAATTTTGGATATTAGTTTTAGTAGCGATAAACAGAATTTCTTACATTCTTGATGTATAAGCACTAAGAACTTGTCTGAGTCAGTCTGCTCTCTCCGTTTATACAAAAATTGAATGCGCACTTGTTTACTCCTTTCAGTTTCTAAATCATGAATCTTTGATTCCTTTGAATTTAGTTCAGTTATATAGACTTTGTAAACTTCCAGTTCAGTAAATGTATCCTGATTTTTAGTCTCTTCAGCTTCAGGATTGTCGTTCAATGAATCAGAACTCCTTGATATACTTTCTTTTTCTTTAGATTCTGCATGCTCCTCTCGTGGCACTACAATTTTTTGTTTTGTCACATACCCAAGCAGGGTATGACTTTGATTTATTGTGGCTTGTACAATACTGGTTATACCAGAAAATCGATGTAAAACCTATACAATGAGTTTCACATTTATGTATACCTACTAACAGAATTATGTATATCTTATTACCTGTAAACTATCTCTGTTTCTGTCATAATGTCCTATAACAGAGTATAAGGGTAACAGCTTTCCATCATCTGAAGTCATTTCTTCTATCCATCCGACAAGTAACGATCCATCCTTTTCCTGGCCCAATAACTTCCATTGTTCAGCTAAGTATCATTAAGATATAATTAACATCCTAACACATATGTGTAATATTGATAATAATGAAAAAAAGGAGTAACATGAGTAGAGTTATTTAGCCTATGGCTTTATTATGTAATTAATGATATAATAAACATAAAATCCCAATAAAAATGAAATTACAATAGGTGGTGAGAATAAATATCCCATAAAAAAAATGGAACAATTCTATAAATTATTTATTGCTTCCAAGATAATGGTTACTGCCTGTCATACATATCTCACATAAAAAGTGTTTACATCATGATACAAAATATGATTTAAATCTTTATCTATATGCGCGCTTCTATTCAGTGATCTTTGTAGTAACAAATGTAGGAATTTACTTCCGGCAACACTGTATATATTTTAGCTGTCATGTCAAATCGATAACGCGATCCGAGAAATGAATTGATTAAGAGAATGAGAAAGGAAGTTGTCAATATTCCCAAATCTGACGGTGGTTTAAATAATTTCTTGACAATTGAAATTTAAGTGTCGTAAACGTTACCTTTAACAGCTTTCTGTTGCAAAAATAAGCAAAGCTTGGCGGCAAGATTGTCTGCCATATCGGCGATCTCGTGGTTTCTTATCACACCTTACTGTCTCTGCTAGTTTAAGGTGCTCTCACAACCCCAGCACGGTTGGACATTGTTAAATCATATGGAAATCACAAAGTTTACGTATCACTGGACTAGAAATCTCGCAGGTGTATCCATCACAATATATATATTTGGACCAATTTGGACTGATTTGGACAAATATATAAAACAAGAAATGGCCGTAAGATTTTTATTGCGATATTACGTGTACTCTATTCCATCTGCAAAATAAGTTTTTCAAAATGCCGAATGTGGTTACATCGAATCATTCGAAGTTATAAAATGGAATCGATAACACTTATCATTGGGTATTATAACCAATATCTATTATAATTGAATATCGAATCGAGAATGAATAACATAATAAAAGAAAAAGAATGGGAATTTTATAAATAGCAACCAATAAAATATAACTGATGTGTCGCTCATTTTTCCGAATAAGCGGATTGTAGGAGTTGATAAGTTTTAAAGTCAAATTTGTAGAATTATACAACAACTGAAAGACTGTAATTAGTATATAATTATTCAGGGTTTCGTACGTCTTAATTAGCATTGAAATAAATGACCTGATACTTGTTACGTTTTAAAATGTCGCGCTTTCCGATCACACGCATTCAACCACGTTCAACCACAGGCGTTCAAATTCGCTACAATTGAAATATTATAAGATGGAAGGATTTTTAGCAAAAGACAAATAATATCTCTATTTCATAATATAATGATTATCGTCTGATGATTTTTCTGGCCAGTGTTGGACTTTATACCCATAAAAGCTTGAAGGATATAAATTAATTGCATTTGTTCGAATGAACAGAGCTTAATAGTTTTGATATATCAGGTAGTCGGCCATTTTGTCAATCCCCCCCACCTCTATCTTCAGCTGTATTGCCTAAAGCAGAACAACATCGTCAGCGGTCAGCCATTATCGTGAGATGTGAACGGAGGTTTCTGTGAAAAATAAAGTCAGTTACGTTCGTACAAAGGTAACGAGGATACGCGTTCAAGATACGTTGAAAAAAATGCACACTATTACCGAGTTAGGTACCAGTGTACCGGCGTTCCTGGGTAAACTGTGGAAACTCGTTGAGGATCCTGAGACCGACGACCTTATTTGCTGGGCACCCGTGGGTATTCTTGTTTATTGTATGATATAATAATTAACTCTATACCTGTGCTGCTCATTACGCTTATATCCGAATATTTTAGTGCACATTTAATTACTAACCAGCGACGTTGACATCTTAGCAACTCTGGAATACGATTTCGGCTTTTTGCTATTCTAACTATAAGCAACGTTACTTCAACGTTACTGCAACGTTATTGCAACGTTTGTTAGTGTAACCCTTAGATCCACCAATTTTCTTTTATAGCGTGCACAGTTATATGATATGCTTTGATGGATTGTGATTGTCAAAACGTTATTATGACATTTGCCCTTTTAAAACATTTTCATACCATAGAAACTTGACCCATAGAGTTATAGAATTCATGGGATGAATGTATAAAAGGGAATTGCCAAGTGGATGTTGAAAATTACATAAATTTAATGTGATACAATATTAATATGTATTTCAAGAAAGAACAATTTGCTGGTTGAATTTTATTGGTTTATATATGTACAAGTTGTATTTTTAGTAATAACAACCCAGATAGCAACACGTCTGCTCTCACATAATGTTTGAAGACATATTGTAATGCTTCTCCTAGTTTTAAATACATAGGAGTGTCAAAAAATTGCAACTTGATTGTACTTTATGTTCAAATGGAGCTTATTTTGCTATCTGGAAAGGATCTAACAGCTGTAATTTATTATAAATTAACATATGAAACACTTGCAATGGCTTGTGGCATACTTATATAATTAGAAGAGTTCAAGTTGTAATATAATAAACAATCTTTCTGAAGATAGTATTTTTAATCTACATAACCAATATCTTGTCTTACGTTTATGTAAAGTGAGAAATCCCCATAAATTTTTTAGTCTTATTATGATCTAGTTATGCTAACTTTAATGGTTAAATGCGCTATCATTTTTCTATAACTGAATATGAATTTTATATTTCCATCATTGTATGTGATTACTATACTTATAATGTTTATTATTTTACTAATTGTAATTGCCTTTGAATAATATTAATGATTTATTTGGAAATTCATATAATCATTAATAAATGCATTGAAATGTGCACTCACTGCAGTTTCATTAGAAACACTGATAAAAAAATATATAATTGGACAAAATGTTTTAGTTCTGTTATTTGTATTATTAACATAGGTACATAATTGTTACTTTTCTTTTATCAATATTTAATATAAATTTAAACAGTCTGCAATCAGTGCCTTAATTTATCTGCTTAACCTTGGTCCTCTGTGAAACTAAATTCATGTGAATGAGCAGTTATACGTGCTATAAGAACAACATCAATCCAAGTTTGAGTTGGAGAATTGGATTTTTGTATATGAAATTATAAAACTGTATTTTGTAATCTGTATTTGTCACACAATTAAATTTTAGTAAATGAATCTTTAATATTATTTACCACATGGCATGTAAACTATATCAATATTACAGCATTAATTTATATAAAAACGTTGTAAATTTGGTCACTTTCAAATCTAGTACTCAGAATATAGCTTTATAAATAAAAATATTTTGCAGAGTAGTATTTTAAAGTAATTTTATATATATAGTGCTGTGTATCAGCAAACAATTTCCTCTTGTATAGTGACGTAATGTATGTTCTTACAGAATGGAAGAAGTTTCTTCATCAGGAATCAGGCACAATTCGCTCGCGAATTGTTGCCGCACTATTACAAACACAACAACATGGCTAGCTTTGTTAGACAACTCAATATGTGTAAGTACGATGCAAATCCTGTTAAAAAAAATTTATTAGAATTTGAAAGTCAATTACTATGTGATTTATCATTAACACATACGTCAACGATCAAAATACGTTACCTGTTTATCTTGATTTCTACTCTAGATGGTTTCCACAAGAAAGTTTCAGTCGAATTGGGTGGTTTAAAATGTGACAGAGATGAAATGGAGTTTGCGCATCAATATTTCTGTAAAGATCATCCTTATCTGTTAGATCATATCAAAAGAAAGGTAATTACTCCAACAACGCTATGTATTCAACTTCAGTTATGCAATGTATGCTACATGAAAAAATAACTGTGCAGATTGCATCTAACAAAGGTCAAGATCCAACACACGCACCGATGAAACCCGAACTTATGAACAAGATGTTAACAGAGGTCAGAACTATGAGAGGACGTCAAGAACATCTAGATTCTAGATTGGGCGCAATGAAAAGAGAAAATGAGGCTCTCTGGCGTGAACTCGCAATGCTGAGACAGAAACACCTGAAGCAACAACAAATTGTCAACAAACTCATTCATTTCTTGGTCACCCTGGTTCAGCCATCGAGAGGAGGTGGACTTTCTGTAAAGAGACGATATCCCCTCATGATAGATGATTCTAATCGTCAACGTAATAAGCAAGCTAAACTCTCTAAGGTACTTAGCAAATCGAATTACTATTTTTTCCGTATTATCTTACATACCACTGACAAACTCCCCTCAAAAATTTATTTCATTCGCATCCGTAATTAACATTGTCAATATTTCAGCCACAAACATCACCAACTGGTCCTGTAATCCATGAATTGGATGCGTCAGAACCTGACTTAGATTCCGAATATATTGTAGCTGAGTGAGTAATATCTTTTTTCTTTTTTCATATTCTCTAAACCGCCTTAAAAAGTAGAATTAGCTTGGTGTTTTAAAGTCATTACAACTCATTCATTTTATTATTCAACAACGACAACTTCCTCTACATACAATTTATATTTTATACAGAATGCTCGAAAATCATGAGAGTCCCGCTGTCGAGAGTCCAGAACATAACGGATCATTAGTTATGGACGACGGGACTTTGGAAACCCTTCATTTGGTCAATAATGCAGTCCAATTGCCAGAGGGCATCCAATTGATCGCACCCGAGGAACTGGAATCTACTACAAAGAAGCGCGCACCAAAAGGAAAGAAAAAGTAAGTAAAGTGCAAACGCCCAGACAGCGTTTACACGGATAAAATGAAATGGCGTGGTACTGAAGATACTTTGTAATATAATAGTAATGACGTTTTAATTTTGAGTCGGCATTTCGAATAGGTCTAAAAAGACGCTAGTATAACTCTTATATATCTTGAAATGTTGAAATTGTTTGGCTTCAATGATGTTTATACAATTAACATAATATCGATTCTCGAGAATCAGTATACACCAACGGTCGTTCTACGTGTCAGTCCAGATTATTTTTTCATATCCATTGCATTCTTTGTTGCATCGTAATAGAATATCATACACTTAATGGTACGTTGTGTCAAGAGAGAGCCAAAAGTAGTGTTTTTCTTTTTTCGATTTTTCCACGAGTGTCTCTGTATAACATTTAGCACCATTTTAATACATCCCTTTCACGCTGTCCTCATTCACACGTCGTATCACGACGTTTTGCATCCTACCAGGAGGAAAAACAAGGTGCCAGTCAAAATTCTGATCCCGTCGACAGAAGACGGCGAAGAACCCAGGTTAACACAATTTTCTCTTGTAACCGTTTGGGTGTTGGGTGTCTTGAGAATTATTCTTTGCCTGTAAACATATCCTTAGTATATTGAGAACATATATACATAAATACATACATGCTCTCTCGTTTCTTTTTCAACGTTCTTCGGTCGTCATATATGTTTACGTTGCTTTGCGTCACACCGTTACTGTTTTCCTTCTCTTTTTTTGCACGGACGCTCGGCAAAAGTCGGAAAGCCATTTATAAGCTGACCGGATCTAATAGTAAAATCTATTAATATTATACGAGTATTGGATCTTGTTTGCATTGGCAAGTATTAGAAATTATATTGTAAACGTTGCTTTCTAACTTTTTCCGATTGGCACTATTCTTTTTTCCTCTCTTTGACTTTCAATTGATACTGCGAAATTCCTTATTGTTTTCCCCATTGGTACGTAGTTGATAGACCATATGCTGGCTTTACTGTGACAAAACGCTTGTCGTAGCTCGTGTTGTCTACTTTTTTTTTGTATTAGACAAAAAAAGGATATACAATATTCTCGTACTGCATAGTTCCTTTTTTTGCTGTCGATATCTTCGTGTAGTTGGGATTAGTCAACCATCTTAATAGGAGCAAAAATTATACATTTTTACGACAGATTTTTGTATGGATGGCCAATTTATTTTCTAGCTACAAAATTAGTTATATCTCAAGTCATTCGATACTTTCATTGGAACTTCGTAGCCGACGGTTCTGCTTATTAATGTCTTCGAGTGGACCATAACGAGTTCGCTCGATATCTTAATACAAAGTCGTGTGTTGATGCTGGATGCTTCAAAAATTTATGGACTTACACGCGTGGTCGGAACGATGGCTATTTTATATTTTTCTAAATAATTAACGCGAATATTGTTTTCCAATTAAAGTAATTAATAGCCGTAGATATTATTGAAATGGAAATCGTTTCGACTACGGATGCTACCTTTCAGTAGAAAGCTGCATGGTAACAATTATTTGTATAATAATCGTGGGATGGCCGTAAATGAGTTTTTTTAGTATGAAAGTTACGGTCATGCCCGAAAGACTATGGAAAAGAATTGAAGGCGGATACAGTGAATACGTTGGTAGAAGCTCAAGACTGGCACGAGCCTCTCCTGATTTTAGGGAAGAAACGTTCATGCTTCAAGTCCCCTACGAAGACTCTTCGGTGGACAATGTCGAGCTCCTGGAGCACAAGGTGGCCAAGTCGAAACCAGTACCGCTTGCTACTATGAGAAGTTCGAAACTCGCTGCAATGGCCGCCAACATGAATAAAGCTAATGAGTTTGAATTGGACCTGGATCTTGAGTCGGCTGCTGCTGATGCTGATGCCGATGCTGAGGAGGATCCAAAGGATATCGATCAACCTGGTCTAGTGAAGCTCGAAGATATCTTGATTATTCCAGATAACGTACAGGAGGCGAATGACGACAGGGATACCCAGGGTATCATCGATGAAGGTCAAAAGATTAATGACGCTCAGAGAGACGACTCTGATGGGGGTGATAACTATGTGGACTTCGAGAATGGATCCTTTGGGAATCTTAATGGGATTATTGAGGGTTTGACGTCGGAGAAGAGCCCTAAGAGTAATGGGGCCAGTACTAGCACTTCTCCAAAAGATTTGTCATTGAGTTGCGTCAATCCTTCGGGCATGACTGATGCTGTTTACAGGTTAGGACCGATGTAAGTTTAAAGCAGATCGTGGATAACGAGTAAAAACATTTTCTGTTGTAAGTACAGAGTATTGATTATAGGATGAACGTTAGAAGATGGTAACCCGTTACAGTTTATTTCTATTATACTGGAATAGATGGGTCGATTCAGTCAAAATATCGGTTATATATACATATATATATATATGTATATATATTTGTCGTTAAGGGATATTTTGGGGATGATTTCATTTACGAAGTCGCTATTTTGAGGATAGGTGGCTGTTTTGGGGTCCGTCCTCAGAGATTTTCCAGCGTAATAATTCGTTTGAGAACCATAAAGCGGACTGTCACGCCAAATTTGCTTATATTTTTCCAATGTTAGCCATTCAGTATTTGTGATGAGCTTAGCAATGTTTCGTTAGGTTAGATTAGGTCAGAACTTCAATGCTGTGATGTTCCAAGGTAGTATTTTTTTTTTAAACATTAGCTTGCTATCCTGAGCGCCCTTAATTTTCTGCGTCCCCAAAATATCTCTTTGACAAACGTGTATATATATGAGTTTTAACATTTCGTGGTATATTTGGCTTTCTCTGACGAATGTATCTATAGATATAACTGATACTCTCGCTCTGTCTAATAAAATTAACGTTTTACTGAGTAGGAATGGACATTGAGATATGTTACAATTTAAAACTTTGTCTTCCTATCTATTAGTACAGTTCTTCCATCGCTGTATTATAATTTTAATCGCAATGTCCTGTGTCCTGTGTCCTGTTTAATTTCTCCAGCAGTATCATTAAAGTTTTTGACTGTCTATAGGGAGGAGGTTGATACGCACCTTGAAAGTATGCAGACAGAGCTCGATAACTTGCGTGAGATTTTGAGAGGTGAAGGATACAGTATCGATGCCAACACTTTACTTGGAGTATGTATGCTTATGAAGATTTTATATATTTTTTCTATGCCACACTCATTATATGTAACTTCACTGTGGTAACTTTAACTCTATATTCTTATTCGTGTTTAACGTCTATAAGCTACTTCTAAAATCCTATTACTATATTATTGCAGTAAATCAAATATATTCTTATAAGAATATTATATCAAACTTGCAATTATTAATAGTATGAAATCTATTGTTTATAGCTTTTTGGTGCAGATGATCCAATGTCTTTTGGTATCCCAATGAATCCCGAATTGGATCCACACTCCAACCGCGAGAAGGATGAGGAGGATCAGACGAATGGTAAGTGGAATTTATTGGTAAGATATTACGTTTGTTAACGATTTTTTACCGTACAACAACAATTCTTTTATCGAGACATTAACTTGAAGCTTGTTGTTGCTGTTGTTTTTAAGATCTATGAAAATCTAGTAGACTTGGAACAGGATTATATGGCATGAGCTCACCACGTCCTGTCGATCCACCCGTTGAGTCTGGAATAATAATAATAATAATAACAAAAACAACAACAACAACAACAACAGCAGCAGCAGCAGCAGCAGCAGCAACAACAGCAACTTTTAATTGTTGGGTGTGAAGTGTCGTCTTTTAAGTGACCAATATTAATTTTTCAATCTTGTTAGAGATTGTTAGGCTAGGACTCGGGTGGGAGTCACTCAGCAGCCTAGGAATAGACGAAACGAATTTTTTAGGCATCGTAAAAAAATTCTGCCACAGCCCGAATTTGAGGAGTTGTTCCCTGGAGTTGTTTCCACTCCAGGGGAACCCCTGGAGTTCCCGGTTCAAATCCGGGCTGTGGCAGAATTTTTTCACGATCTCTAAAAAATTCGTTTCGTCTATTCCTAAGCTGCTGAGTGACTTCCACCCGAGTCCTAGCCTAACAATCTCTAACAAGATTGAAAAATTAATATTGGTCACTTAAAAGACGACACTTCACACCCAACAATTAAAAGTTGCTGTTGTTGCTGCTGCTGCTGCTGCTGCTGCTGTTGTTGTTGTTGTTGTTGTTTTTGTTATTATTATTATTATTATTCCAGACTCAACGGGTGGATCGACAGGACGTGGTGAGCTCATGCCATATAATCCTGTTCCAAGTCTACTAGATTTTGATGACGACATTTTTATGAATGCAACGACATCATCACCTGGTACTGGTGCGGGTTCAAACACAGACGTTGATTTCGCCACCGATCCTCTGGATCTTGAGGATAGTAAAGCTTCGCTGCTCGACTCATTGGTTGCGGGAAACGACGTGAATAGAACTTCGTAAATTTTCTTTCACCTGGTAAGCCGGCCTCCATTACACATTAATCGTATTGATACGTATCCACATAATGACAGTCCCCCTGTCCATGTGTCTCACAGAATCACCACTTTCTTTATGCATATACAATTTTGACTTTTTTCATGGGCTGTAACGTAATTTTTTCTTTTAGCGAAGTCAGTATTTCTTTTCGTCGCATCACATGCATTACACGTTAATATATACAAGATAAATTATTCCTGCTGTGAGCGATGCAATAAGTGATTCTTTCACGTTTTAATTGTAACCAATTGCCTTAAGATCATTTTCTCTTTCTTCGTAATACCAATCATAAATGAATTTTTAACAATGACGTTACGTTAGCCACTTTTAATGAGACGTGTCAGATTCTTGTATAGCTTTTTAATTGGTTGATAATATTTTATATTTTTTAATAGAAAAGTAATAGATTAGCCACAGCCGTGCTATCGTTCATTTAATTTTTTCTGTCTCACACGGTAAAACACGGTATATGCGCATCATCATTACACACTATTCTAATCGTTAGTGACTAAAGACCTAAAAAAGGAAACAAATTTTTATAAATCAAACGAAGAAAGCTCTGATCTAAGGGCACACTTTTTTGCAGGTCCGATTCTCCGATTCGTGTTGCAAATACTTTGATTTCGGTATCTTATAATCCAATGGATTGGTTATGTATGTATGTACATAACACTCGATTACCAGGTGCATATATACTTACATACTACACACGTACCCACACACATACACACACGCGCGCACGCACCCGCACGCACGCACGCACACACACACACACACACACGCACACACACACACACACACACAAATGACGGAGTGACGAAACAAAAGTAAAAACAGATTGACGAATAACTACCGTTTTACTGGTCTACACGGAAAAGTACCTTATCTCCAACCGGTCTGTAGATCTCATTCAGCTCTGTGATGCGAGAATCTAATATCTGGGAAAAGGTAATATATACAGAAATGGGTAAAGCCAATTTGAATTAAAATGAATCTACCGGTGCATAAGCACTTACAGCTATCGGAATCAATGCTTCGTTATTAATTCTGGTATCAAATAGTCACTCTGGATCTTTATCCCCATAATTGATATGACCAAGTCATGTACACTTATGGTTTTTTAATTTCTTTTTTTTTATTCCACGTTGTTCCTAATTTCTATTGCCTATTTTTATAATCGATGATTAATATTTCATTCTACTCGAGCATTCTGTTGCTTCGCTTCAATTTGTCAACAGTATTGTTTTCTATATTGTCTCGATATTATATACGTTTTAACTATACATATTAGAAGCTTGAGGAATGATAAAACTAAAGAAAAGCTCACGCAGTCGAACACTGTACAGTAATCGTACCAGAAGATTTTGTATTTTTGAAAAAGCTTTTCTACGTATTGATTACTTCACGAGTCATGTTTTTTATTGGTCGAAGTGTTAATTTAAATTTTCAGGTCACGTGTTCAATGACTGTATGTAAATAATGTGACCTGTAAGTCGATTTTTCACGACCATATTCAAATGAAATGGTGCATCTTTTAGTGATACAAGTGCTTTTAACGTTATAATTAGCGAGTAATGGTTTAAGTTCTTGTTTCGCTGTTCAGGCGATCAGACTGATTAGTATTAGAGTTATTACTTTGGAAGTGAAAGAAAGAAAAAGAATCTGTATATTTTCAGTGATTGTTTTGTATAATTATGAGAAGAAAAAGGGGATAAGAAAAATTATACAAAATTTATTTTTCCCTACGAGGTTGCTTCGTTTGGTATCTGTCACTTATTTCGAGGAAAGAAGTTCGCGAGAAAAATGCAATTTCTCTTCAACACTGTATTCAGTATGTCTCGTTGTAACGTGTAACCAAGTAGCAACGTTTTTTTTTTTTTTTTCAAATTTATTTGTTATCGCCAAGATATATGAAATGTGCTTGTTCAATTTTTTTATTTATTAAAAGTAAGATGCTCGTCCCAGTCATCGACCATTTTACCAGTAATTGAAAGTTGTGTCATAATACTGTAGATTTTTATACCGTCAGAGCATATACTGTTGATTACTGGTATCCCGGTTGATAAGTGGAACATCTAACTTATTTAGTTCAACAGTTCAGTAGCAATTCGATGAACTGGGAAATCATTTTTTTTAATTTTATTAATGCCACAGATTTACTTGGCGTTCAAGATACGACTGTATCAGTCGCTTTTGTTTTGTGTTGTAATAAGCGATTACTCGACTTTAAATCTCACAAGTTGATATTTTTGTATAGCTGTTACTATTAAACGAGTATACATTATACGAATTATAGTAATATATTATTACAAAATCATACCTAATGAGTTGTTACCCATTTTTTGTATGGATTAAAATTAAAAAGAGGAAATGAGGTTGGAGACGATGTATAATAATTGTGTAATTGTCAACAGATACAGAGTTTTGTCTCTTTTGACGTGGCCGGTCGGTCAGTTGGTTTCGCCTTGCTGTTCCGTTCTAGGTTTCGCGCCATGCCCACCAATGAGTACGAATTATATTTTTCTAAAGATATCTTTTATAATCAAATACAATATATCAATTGCTAGACGCACTTATCCCATCGTACATTGTCATTGAAACTATAGCTTTGTTTATCTAAAGGGTGGTTTATAATGATAGTGATAAATGTATAAATTAATGAGCGTGAAAGGGTTATTGTAATTGTCAAGATATTCATTTTTGTTTCAAATATTCATTTGTACGATGCAAAGAAAATTTGTATCTTTAATATATAATTTACATAGTGTATTTCAACCCTTAGATGGCCGGAAGACAATATATAGTGTCTCCAAATCGGCTCAATACTTTCACGCAACTTATTCATCAGGCGTGCCTGTAACTTTGTGCTATTAAATTTACAAGATTTCGTTAAAAGATACACCGGCCCTCTAAGGGTTTTACGATGGATGGTAAATGCGTCTCTGATTCGTGTCACTGTATATCTGCACATTAAAAGATTTCGTAGATACGTCGTGTCTGTTTGTTTTTAATTCTTAAAAGTGTGCTCTGATTGTCAGTCACTTTTATTGTAGCGTTGACGTGGGGAAGATGGATATAAATTGTAATTATTTTATTCTAACAGTCTAATTGACTCATGTTCTAATTTATTTACATTAAATAGTAGTTGTAACAAGAATGTATTATAGTATTATATTAGTCGGAATTCATATACGGCTTGCAAAGTGAAGTGTAAATTAAAATTTCTTTTTCTATTTTAGCCTCGGAGGAAAGACTATGGGTATCCTAACTAGGCAATTGGTAAAGTCTTCATTTAAATTTACAAAAAAAAAATACAACATGGTAATAAACCTTATATTATATACGAAGCTAATCAGTAACGTAATTATATATTGTATAATACGAAGCAAAGTATATCGATGAGGAAAACGCTGAAAATAGTAATTGATTTCGGAAAAGAAAAGGTGGGAAGCAGCAACGCCATTTTTTCATAGTGAATACATTGGATTACTGTTTTTTTTAAAAACAATATCATGACTATTATTATAAAGCATATCAAAACAATTGATATACAACGTATTGACTTGCTCTCAAAATTTACTCACGTAATCCAGACGTTCACTGTGTCACTAATTCATTCCATAACACCGTTTAATTGTACAATTGTTTATAACTAATTAACGAAGAAACTTTTAGCTTTTCCCATTTTTTGAAAATTAGAAGAACGTACACGCATACCAACTCTAGTATTGTCGTTAAGGGTTTAAATACGTCACTATTGTTTAGAGGTAGGTAAATTCCTATTGTACGTTTGCAAAGCTAAATTTTCTATGTTACGTAATTTATTCTGAACGTAATGTATCAGGTGTAAGGCTTTTCTCTGTTACAGTGCAATGGGCAATTACTAAAATGTCATTATAAAATAATAAATATAAAACAAGAATTTTTCTAATCAGCCCTGTCGTAATACTAGTTTATCGGCTAAAGACTATGTAAATCATATCTTTACGTAACACAAGGTAATTCTTCTCGCCTGTAATTGTCCATGCGCTGTACACGGCGTCACACGGTTTACATAATTAATAATAAAGTTCAGTAAGTAAACTTTTTTCTACTATGGTTTCTTACGAGTTCTTCACGGGTAATGGATCAATGAAATCTATGTTATACAATATGAACAATAGAAATTGTTATTCACGAATTAAAGGTTTTAGATAAACTTAACCTCAATCTTTTGAACTTATCCAGTTTTATATAGCGGGCGTTCATCTAGTTTTTTCACTTTTACTACACGTAGATAGGTAATGACAGGCAAGGTGTTCACGGCGTACAACTTAAGTAAGCCATTTGAGACAAGATTGTCGGACTAATCGAGGGTTAAAGTAATATGTAACGAGAGAAGAGAATATTATTGGAAGCGTAATCGATGTCATCGATTAGATTGTAGGTTATACATTAAAACGTGAAACTGATTATCATTGTTCATGCATAAAGAATCTATTGAGATTGCTTTACGTGTTTTGAAGATCGGACATGGAAATTAATAAAATCGTATAAGAGGGATAATTTGGCGTGTAATTAACAAGAGGATGGTCTGAATTTCACATTTATTTAATTGGAGTAATTATCGATGCGATTATATAAGAATCGCAAAAGTGTTTATATATTGCATATATTATACGTACACAATAAATACAGGGTGAGTTGTCTTAGATTCCGGATTTGGGAGGAGCCTCCGTATGTATTAGATGCAGCTATTCTCCAAACAGATTATCCGCATGTACAAGCAAAACTGTCATGCGAGATCAGTAGCCTGGACATGCTTACAATACGATATCAAAAACGTCTTGGCTGTAGATGCGGGTAATTTGTTTGGAGAATAGTGCACCTAATACATACGAAGGCTTCTCCCAGATTCAGAGTCTATAGGATAACTCCCTCTGTATATGTATACATATATGCTTAGTAGACTTTATACTAAGATTTGCCTTAATATTGTGCCACACGATCTAAGAACTGATATTTTATTTACCCCTCTTCCCCAAATCGTGCTGTGAGTAAACTGCGCACTATGTATTCAGTTCAATTTAAATTCGGTTCCCTCACTGAACATTGATGCATTGTACGTTTTAATTCTGTCTCTAAATTTAACAAAATATAAACAGTTATCATAATTTTGTATAATCAATCTGTATAAATCGTTACTTCGTTGCTATATATATACAGTAAGCATTTTATAACTGTAAGGTGATTGCAGATAATCATTTGTAGACGTCCCAAAAGTACGACGAGGATTGAGTTACACGTTTATGTATTCATTTATTAGAATTAATACCGCTCGAAGGTAGAAATAAACAAATTATATTATTTCTTATATTCTACGATGTTAAGGGCAAAAGGATTTTAATAAGTAGTTCAGTTTCACGATAAGAGATCACAATATTATCTATGCACGAAGAATATTTATTTTCTGTACGTATGTAGGAAACACGAAAATGAAACTTGTACTGTATTTTTAAGTTTGTCGTACATGTTTATGCTTTAACAATCTGCCTACGGATGCTGTTAGGAGAGCAAACAATGATCTATAAATAAGATAAGTTTGAGTCATTAAATTTCAGGGAATGTCAGTGGTCATTACTGGAAAATACAATGATCTTTCAATTACCTCTAAGGATTGTTTACTTAAAAAAAGGACAGTCCACGGAAATATCATTATCATAAGTCAAACGGTATTTTGATACGTTTTTAAAGGAACATGCAAAAAATTAAGTTATCATGCAATAAAGAGTTTAAGTAATATTGTTTTACAAAATTGTATGGAAAAAAAAAACAGAAACTTGTCTAAGCGATTTTTCGATTTGTAATGAGGGTCGGTATACACAGGTGTTAATTATAAAATTATTATATGTACTAGCATTTGCGTTCTTAACGTGTATCAATGCAATGTCCTGGCTAATATAATAATGGCAGCAAAGAAAAGCATTGCGTGATAGTTTCATGGTTACAGTTAGCATAGTGGTTTTGTATATATTTAATAGTTTGATATATCTGTAGCAGCTGTACAATATGTTTATCCATATGTAAACGAAAATAAAGTTAGCATGTGTTAGAAGTGTAGTCTTGCTCGTTCCTATCGGCGTTATAAATGAAGGAATAAAAATACATTGTTTAAATATAATAAGTATTTATTTATCATGGTTCTACCATAAGAACTTCTAGAAATCAAATAGAATCATCTTCAAGTGGTCCAATAGTTTAGAATAATCCTGTATAGTGAGTTGTGTGTTCAACATAAACCCTTCTTTATCGCAGGTGTTCTCTTTGCGTGTCCTATGTTTCTTATTTGATTTACATGTAAGACAATAATTTTATACGTTAACAATTAAATTTATTATTGTAAACTTTATGGAATTAAAAAAAAACAATTTTTATTAGATACAGTCAGTAACCAAAAGTATTCATCCACCGAACCTCTCATAAATGAATGAAGATAACTTGAGAGTATTAAGAGGAATGTAAATTAGTTTATACATAGAAAGCTTTATTTATAAGCAACAAAATATTAAAACCGCAAATCAATCATTGGAGAAGCAATGAAATAAGATGAAGAACAATGAATTATGACACGAAAAATAGGTAACAAAAGTATTCATCTATTATTTATAAAGTTGTCTATTGTACTGCCACAGTCACTGCTAATATTTTGTTGGGTGTAACTTGGTCTTAATTATTGGCTGCAATCGCCTAGGCATAGACTCGACGAGTTTTGACGTAACCTTGGATGAAATATTATTACATTGCTCCGTAATCCGATCTTTGAGATTTTCTTTATTTTTAATGGGAGTTTTTCGTAAATTTTGCTTCAGTTCTGCCCATAGATGTTCTATTGGGTTAATATCTGGAGATCGTGGTGGCGGATCAAGGACGTGAGGTACTCGTTCATGTTCTGGTATCGTCATTTCTTTTTTTTTTCCTACCATGACGATAATTTCAGCAAAGTAGATGTTGCACATTCAGAAGCCGATCCGCGTTTATTACATGTTTCACTATAAGATGCAATACAGCAATTCAGGGAAGCGCAATTCATTGTTCTTCATCTTATTTCATTGCTTCTCAAATGATTGATTTGCAGTTTTAATATTTTGTTGCTTATAAATAAAGGTTTCTTTCTATGTATAAACTAAGTTACATTCCTCTTAGTACTCTCAAGTTATCTTCATCATTTACGAAAGAGGTTCGATGGATGAATACTTTCGGTTACTGACTGTATTTTGCAATGATTTTGTACTATATGAAATAGAGTTCTAAGGACCTAGAATGGAATTGATGTATGTATAGTTTACACTGCGAGATGTGAAATGAAAATTTGATAGTCTTATAATTTGTTTAAAAATATTTGTCGACTCCTTAAAGGAGTCACAATGAAAACAAACGTGCAGATCATTCACTGTTGCCTTCGTTGAGTTGTCTTATTTTTTTTCTATTTTACAATTCTACTTTACAATTGCAATTCCATTCCTGAGAGTCGTATACAAAATATTAATTTGAGATGATAGAAAAGCGTATTTATAAAGTACGAGCATGTAAATATAGAGTATTAGAATAGAATACGTTAAGGAGAGGAAATTATTTACAAAAGCATTAATTTATTAAAATATGTAGTTATTAAATAAAAAATAATGACGCAACAAAAATTGTCAAATACTGTATGCCACTGGTATCGGTCTAATTTTTCCTATTGTAGTAACTCTTTTTCTTCTAATTTCCTTGTGGTGTCATTAAATGTCAAATGCAAACTATTATATAAGGACATCGATAAGGACTATGCATTTCAGGAATTTAATCTCTATGGTCATAAGACATCTACTTTCCCTGTTGTTTTAAAACTTGACAATATTCATGTGGCAAGTACTAATAATCTGCATATGAGTATTTGCTAATACTCAAAGTAACTTAACGGTTCCGGCCACATATTTTTAACCGGAACAGTCGAGTTATTGGCTATCTGCGAATGGGCGGCGCAGGTGGTGGCACTTTGTTATGCATTATGACATCTGAATGTTTCGTATACTCCACATGTAAGTGACACAGATTTTCTATCCCAGCCATAGACATTCCTTGACAGCAACGAACATCCAAGTATTTTAAGGAGTTGCAATACAATTTTATGGAGTCCAAGCTATGGTCCGTTAACCGTGAGCAGCTCTGTATATTAAAATTAATAAAAGAAGTATTAATTGAAATATAAAATTCTAGCCCATTAAGAGTTGCAAGATGTGAAGCTTACCTGAAGATGAACACGTTTGAGTCTACGTAGCCTTTTTGCTACATAGGAAATACCAGTATCTGTCAGATTGTGACACTGAGATAGATTCAAATCTTCAATTGCTGGATTATTTTTTGTAAGAAAATCTAATCCAACATGTGTTACCTGATATTGAATATTTAGTAATATTGAAGTGATGATTTCTAACAGTTTTTTAAAAGTTATAATTATAACTAACCTGTTGACACATGCTCAGATCTAATATCCTGAGTTCCGGAAATGTAAATGCGTACTTCAAACTAACATCGGTTATTCTGTTACATCCAGCAAGATTCAATTCTGTTAGTCCTCTGAGTCTCGTTAAAGAGAATCCTGAGCAATGTTCATCATCCAATGAAGTAATGAGGTCGCCACACATCTGCATCACTTCGTTCTTCCTCTTAGCATCTCGTACTATTTCTTCCTCAGCTCTGGACCGTAAGCTTATTCTGAGGTTTGACCGTGGAACTTGTTGTGTGTTTACAATCATTACCTTCTTGATATTTTCTTTGTTGCCAGCTCCCATACCAGTAAGACCTAAATCACTAACTTTATCACAGCGACTTATCTTCAAGGACCTTAACAGTATCAGCTTTTCAAATATTGTCTGTAATAGAAGAATTGTTATTCTCTTACCTTTGTAAACTCTGAGTATTCATTTAGAATTATTACCTGTATGGTCTTATCTGTAACTGCACTAAAACAATATCCAACACCCAGTAGCCGTAGCTTGGGAAAGCTCATTGCAATAAGTTCAATAGACTTCTCATCTAGATTTAACGCGTTTGCAGAAAATCTCTCTAAGTTCCTATTAAGCGGTTGTTTATTATCACTAAAATTACTTGTTACATTAAATGAATTTGGATTGACATTTTCAGAATCTTCATTGGGATCACTATTGCCACTATCAGTATCTATTTTTATGGAGCACAAACCATCAGTAATACATTCCCCAGTGAGTTGTTCGCATTCAGATATATCCAATTCTTTTAATTTCTCTAGATTACGTATTTCCCGAATACCATGTGCAGTAACGGCACGACACCGTCGGATATTCAGAACTTCCAGGTTCTTCAAGGATTTACAGATACAAATTAAACTGATATCTGTCACTCGTGTACAGAAACTAACATCCAGTACTCTTAAAGTGGTTTGATGTTCCAAAAGAGTACGGATCCCCGTGTAAGTCAGTTGTTCGCAGGCGTGAAGCTTCAAGGATTCTAATTTCAAATCTTTTAACGTTGACAAGGATGCCAATGCTGTTCCGTCTATCAAAGTGCAACCAAAATTCAAATGTTTCAGGCGTTTGCTCTGCTGCGTTATATAACGAAGAACATTAGGGAATGTGAGGACAGATTCAGATGCTTGTATCCGAAATCCATTATCAGGATAGAATTTCTTATATAGACCAACGTGAAATGAAATCTGACATCCCATTAAACTGAGCGAATCTAAATTTGGACAGATGGCGACGAGCCTATTGAACAGAGCATCGCTCAGGTATCTATTAGATGCAAGACTAAGCTCGTGTAGACTTTGGAACTTCGACGAGAGCTCTTTAACGTCGTTCTCGTCATCCAGCAGTCGACCTGACATTAGACATTCACGACAAGCATTGATATGAAGCTTCCTCAAGCTCTCACAATAGTTCAGGATAGCAACGAGTGTCCTTTCGCTGAGGTCACAGCATACCTGTGGATTATTTATTTCATCTGTAATATATATTATCAAGAGATAAAAGTGGTAGATTGAGATGCATATGTGACTACCAGGATTAAGCTACGCATATCCGGTCCATATTGCTCCCAGAAAGGCATCGTTCGGCGTAGCTCCATTTCATTGAAGATGAAGTGATAAAACGGTCTGACGGAATTTTGCAGAATATTGAGGACTTCTTGTAAGTTATCAGCAGCACCTTGTCGGTTCAGTATTACGGCTTGCTTGTCGACAAATCGACTGTCGAGAGAAGCTTCATGCCAATGTTGATTGACCAAACCTGCCGACATCCTGTCGGACACTGATAAGTACGACATTATGTGTACGATGACCTAAAATTAAAGAAATTGGCACCTAGAGCTTTTACTTTTAATCTTTTATTACTCTGTATCCAAATTCACAAAGGATAATTGCTTCCATAGATATGGACAGGACTATCATATCAAAGTATATTGCTGAGTATATATTCAGTGTAGATATGTGGAGTGTGTGTGTGTGCCTGTGTGTATGCGTGTGGTTTAAGTTAGGTTAGGTTGTGTGTAAGATACTAATTAAACAAGATATGTAATCGAAAACTAAGTATATTATTTGAAGTTTTACTGGAACTTTAATTCTTTTGCGTTATAATTTAATTGATTTTGATGTTCAATAGGTTAATGTCGAATGAATGCGATTACGAGCTGTGTGCGTCACTGGTGAAAAATGAAAAATTCAGAATTGTTGCAAATATCTTTGACCTTGTTAAATTGAGTTAATCTGCTTTGTCCTCAAGTGGTACCACGACACAGATTACAATGTCACCTGTCATTGCTATAATTAGACAGTTCGCTGTACGACGCATATATACAAAGATCTCATTCATGGAGAACCTTTGTTCTTAAAACAATACACCTTTGTTCATTTTCTTAATATTGTAAAATAAAAGCATATATGCATACGTATGCACCTATGTAACCGTACTAAATGAAGTATTCTAATTATCATAAGCAAATCATTACCTGATTTATGCCCGTTTCCTCCGATGTTAATCGAACTTAAGACTCCGATCACCCCATCTTAATTAAAACTATATTTAAAAAATTGAACCAGGCTTAAACCACGTCGGAGGAAACGGGCATTAGTCTAACGATATCATGGTTTATTACTAAGGAAAAAAGGAAAACGTTAAAGTTCATATAAGTTAATAAAATGACTAACTAAAATTCATATAGATAATCCTAATGGTTCGAAAAATTATAAGTTTTTAAATAAATGCCCAGATTTCTGACAATAGAATCTGCATACATTTTATCGGAACGGTTCATCATGAAAGTTTCCCTAGACGTAACAAATTTATTAAATAATTTTATAATATTCTTTACATCCGGAAGTGGAATACATAATTGTCAAGGTCGCCGTATGACAGATGGATGTGAACTATTAGAATTATTCTTATTTTAATCATGAAAGGCTCACCTCAATTGGCAACACAGGTATGTCAGAATCCGCAGCATTTCCAATAAGAATGTTATGGTCACTCGAAATCTCCATTTCTCTGTTACAACACTCTGTTTGTACGAACACTCGCGAGATTCTTGTAAAAAATAGTAGTTTGTCGTTTATGGCAACGATCAGCTGACTGTCTTGCAGCAGACTGCGTCGTCTGCGCATATGCCAGGACCGTATCATATGGGTACCAGGTGCCCTCTACATTTACTCGAATAGCATATAGAGTATGAAAAACAATAGTTCAAGATATTTTTTTTTGTAGAATCTTATAAAAGTTCGATGAAATTTTACCGTAGAAAGCAACGTGAAGGTAGTTAGGATTTTTGAGTATAAATCGCGTTGTTTTGCAAAACTATGTATAATATTGTTTTTGTTATTTAACTTCAAAATGTTAACTGAATCAACAGATTGTGTTAAAAAAAATCTATTTTCTTCTCTGTACACTGAAGATTAGTCTAAGAAATACGTATTTTTCATTACTGGTTATTTATTATTTGTAATCTTTGAGTCGCTCTTGAGCTCCATTTTTTCTCATCCTTATTCTTGGTGTATGTTGATATGGATTTAATGATGCTCGTGCCTGATAACGAATCACAGGTATCCATTGATAGTTTCATATGAGAATGTACAAGATGTCGATTTTTTGGTTGATTCTAATTATTTTTATATTGAAATTTTGATTTTTCAGAGTACTCCTCGATTAGAACATGTGTGCGAAGTACCTGAAGAGGAGGATGAATTACTTGAGCTTATTGCAGGGAATACATTGATACCCAGATTTCGACGATGGGTCGTTAGACAATGTATGTTGTCAATAAATCATCCTGGTACACGTGCTTGTATGAAGAGTACAGCATCAATTAATTATGAGAAAAGTAGACACATCAGATCTTATCCGTATATGATACATCCTTTCAGCCAATTTAGGTTATCAATGAAAATACCTTATTACTTAATTATTTATTGACAGTTCCAAAAGTATGTATTACATCATGAGGCATGTTTGATTTGCCAAACATATTTTATTGTATTACAGATGTCACTGGGAAACGATAATATTTGTTTTTACGTTACTTGTTCTCTCCGTAATACCGGGTTTGGCCACGTTTTATTTCGAAGAACATGAAAAATTAATCTTCGGATCATTAATCATTGACGCTGTTTTTCTGATAGACATCGTCTTGAGGTTTTTAACAGGACACTACGATTATTCGACAAAGGTTATTGTCCTGGATCCAAGAATGGTGGCTCAGTAAGTCTTACAATGGACTTTATTTTAGGATAATGTAATATAATATTGCTTGTTATCATTTTAGAAAGTATTTCAAAGGTTTCTTTATAGTGGATCTTTTATCGGCTATCCCTTTGGAAATATTAGCAATCTTTATAGCCAGACGGCAAAAAAATGAGTGGTACTACAATTGCTTGTATCTCATTAAAATTGCGAGACTCCGAGTAATCCTCGTTTACGGAAAACGACTTTGTTACGTTAGTAAATAATTGGAATTATGGAGCTTTTGACTTTTATTTTGTAATAATTTAATAACGGATATTTTAGAATTATCGTGTCTCGTTTCAAATGCATAAGAGTCTTGAAACTATTATAATTTCTATGTTAATTATTCATTGGAGTGCCTGTCTCGAATATTATTTACCATTGATGGTATTGAGAATACCAGGTACAAATGAAATTGGAGAGTAAGTATATGGTTCGATAAGTTAGCTAATTTTTAAAATGAAGTTCAAAATATCGGATTTTCTTTCAGTTCGTGGATCTTGTCTGATTACATGAAGAAGAAAAATAGTGGAATAAGAAAGTATATACAGAGTCTTAATCGTGCCGCCATTGCTCTTACTAGTTCTGCACATTTTCTTACCGTGAAAACACCAGAAGATGTTATTTTAAACGTAATTTTAACAGTAATCGGTAAAATTGGCTTAATCTATATACTAGGTAATTTTTAATTTTATTAAGTTTATCTAGTTCATCCCAAAAATTATGATTTACTATGCTGCTTATTGTAATGGTATTAATGCAGTATGATTAATCTACTAGGACAAGTTTTGCAATTAATAACTACACTCCGCTCGCGCAGTAAAGGGTATTCCAAGTTGCTTCAACAATTGCACGAGTACATGAGATACAAGGAATTGCCATTGACAATTCAGCGACGAATTCTTGCCTATTTCGATTATACCAGTAAAAAGAGCTTCGAAAGAGAAAAGTATATAATGACGCAAGTTTCGTCGCAATTACGTGAAGTAAATTTTGTCTGCTCCGTTTCACAGCTATGAAATAAGTTTCCTAACCCTTTAAATTTTTCGTCAGGAATTATTATTTCATAATTACAACAAATTCGTTGAGAATATTAAATTATTTCGACATTTACCGCCTCAAGCTATTACACACATAATAACGTCATTACGTTCTGAAGTCTTTTTAACTAATGACGTTATAATTAAAGCCGGTACACCGGGCGATGCATTATTTTTCATAGTTTCCGGTACAGTGGCTATATACACAAGCGCAGGAAAGGAGGTGAATTAATTTACATTTTTTTTATAAATCTCATGCGGTTTCATTTATCTGAATATATATAATTTATCTTTAGATTTGCCATTTGGAGAACGGAGCACATTTTGGCGAAGTTGCACTGGTTATGGAAAACGAACATCGTATTGCCACTGTCGTTGCTATCGAGACTTGTGAACTTTACGTTATAACGCGTGACGATTTTCAAAAGGCCATTGCGGATTTTCCTAATCTTTTGAGCAAACTGCAAAGATTAGCTCTTGAAATTCTTGATAAAGCACCGGTTTTAGAGGAGGCATTTGGCCGAGATCATTCTATGCCCTCCAATATTAATATAAGTAATATTATTTATAAGAGGAAGGAATAGAATATATATATATGCTATATGTACCATATGTATTATTGCTGTCAGTTGTGATATTCACTAAAGATTATACGTTCGTTTTAACAATTTTAAAGACTATTTTCTTGCTTTAAAAGTCTAAACAGATAATTCAACAATTAAACAATATATATTATTCAACTGGAATAATCATTAACAACAAGAAATATCTCAATGATTAGCAGCTGCTAATCTTGAAATAAATAATATAGTAGAATTTAATATATCAGAAACATCGTTAAAAATAATTAAGTTCAAATAAAATTCTATATTAAATGAATATATCCAAATAGATCAGTGATTGTAATTAAGCATCATTCTTTGTTGCTTATAAGGATTTCTATAAGATTGTTGATAAACAGACATGAGTCTCCAATGTTCAGGATAATCAGCATCCCTACATCCTTTAACTATACTAAAAGGTGGCGTCAGTGTATCAATACAAAACGATCGTTTCGCATATGGTGTTCTTGGTCTTGGAACATTCACACTGTTTGGTAGTCCGTTACGAGAGTTTTGAGCTCTTTGAGATTTACTAGCTGACTGAATTAATCGGCGTCTATTTTTTTTAAGGCTTTTCTGCGCATTAAAGTTACAGGCAGCACAATGTCGAAGAAAATCTGCATGCTGCGGCCTGGCACGAATTCCTGTATTAGTTTTGTCAATATCTTCTAACAGACAATCATTCCCAGTGACTTGTAGATCATTCATTTTTTTACAGAGGTCATGCTCAGAACGTTCCTGATAATATAAAAAATGATTATCATCCTTATGACTATTAGTGTTTACCTTATTACTAATGCAGGTACACTGTACCTCGAGTTTGGCGAGTTCCTTTTCACCTGAATTATACTGAGGTACCTCAGACTTACGATTTTCACAGCATCTACAGGAGGAATAACACTGTCTTGGTATTTCCTGTTTATTCTTAGCTTTGTCTACCCTGGTTGATCTCAGGTATTCATTGTCATGTATATTGCTCCCGCGTTGTACAAGTGTAAAAATGGCTGGTGCTGATCCACCATCCGAGCCATCGATATGAACTGGTCGGTGAGGTTCGTAATCAGGATTAATCGGAGCATCCCAACAAATAGCAAGATCCATATACGTTGATGGTTTCTTGCAACCCAACTCAGGACCATAAAGACATCTTGGGTAGTGAGTAACAATTTCTGAATGCTGTTTGGTACATGGAGATTTGTCATGATTTCTTTTACAGGATGATAAAGAGCCCGAGGATTTTGCACGTCTAAAGTTCGCAAAGACATTATCGTCCACCTTGTCCGGTAATGGTTGATGCTGTAGATTTTCCGTATGAAATTTCTTAGCGATAGCAAAATTGTCGTAGCAGGAGGAGAAACGCATTTCTCTCTCTTTCTTTGGTTTTCCCCGCAGTCTCTCTTCGCGTTCCTGGTTATTCCGTACGGCACCACTTAGGGAAGAAAATTTCAATGTTCCTGAGGCGTACTTTGGAACGTTACATACGTGTTCCCGAGGATCCTTCGACCGGGCTAGATTTCCTGGACAATAGGCACAGCATCTTTGCCAGGAAGTCATATCTTTGTAACATTTTGTTGTATTTTTCTTTAATTTACCTGCAAAAAGCGTTAAAAGATTATTTTACACAAATTTAAATGACAATTATCATATTTATTAACAATGCAAATATATTAACTTTTTTGTAGATTCCTATTTATTTAATGGACCAACTTTTTAAAAACTTTTCTTTAATTTATAAATTTTTCCATCATTTAGATAGTCTCTTCAGCACTACTGTGCTTTACATGGGTATGGATACGTTTGTCGACTGTCTTACTTTAACATTACGCATTGATTGTCTTACCTGTACTATATAGGAAGGCCCGCATTAGGAGGCCGAAAACTTTGCGTTACTCACGTAGTGTTTATTTGCTTGACAACGAAATAGTTCAATATCTGAAGGTATGCGAAGAAGGAGAATAAAGCAGCAGAAACTGTACACTACATGATTATCCTTTAGGATCCTTGAACTCATAGTACTGCGAGAGTTTATCTAATGCTGAGAAATCTATTGCTATAAGGTCATATATACTTCGGAAGACAGAATAATTGTGAATACTTTTACTTTATTACATATCTATTAATATATTAAATAAGAAAATAACACACATATCTTTTAATATATCAACAATTGCACTATTGCACGTTTAAATATTTCTCCAAATCTATCCTTCGGCGTTTATTTGGAATTTGTAATTGAATATATTTTAATAAGGTGGTTTTTTAATTGTTATAAAAAAGCCATATAGCCATCATTAAGTTTTACAAGACTACAAATACAATTATCATTTGCGTGATTATCACGGCATTTGATTAAGTTCTTTTTTTTCAATATATAACAACAATTCAATTATATATTTCCCTTGTGATAACTTCGTTATGAAACATGATATTACATATATAATATAGGTATACTTGCGTATAACCTATTTGAACATGGAGGGTTTTCAAGGTGGCAAACCGCGACGCTTTATTGTAAATGGAAATAACCGTCGTCAGTTGCAGGTGCGCCGAATGATGCACCGTCATGGCGACGTTACCTCCGCGCAAAAATCCGACACCGACAAAGATCTCGAAAGAGCATTTAACACCGTTGCAAATATTGTTGCAGTTGGGTTTTCCAGAGCACAGAGCGTGAGTCTTCCATATTTGTCCTATTACCTTAGTCATATAAAGCATCCTCCATTTATTTCTCTCAATTGCACTTGAAGCTTACTCAATGCTCTGCATTAATCGCCATTGTAAACAAACAGCTGTCAAATTTGGCCTTCGTACGTTAGCTTGTTATTTAATTTTTGTCTAAATAATTCTTCATTATTACACGTGCTCAATGAAATTATTATTGTTTGTCCTGAAATTCACTCAGTTCTTAGTCATGATCACTGATTACTATGAGTTGAATGATTAGTGAATTGTGATGATTCATTATGTTTCATTACACTAGGGAAATGAAGATTAATGTAGTAATAATTATAAATGATGTTATTTGCTTCTATGCTTTGTTTATCTCTTGACAGAGTGAAGGCACTTGCAGCCACTGGACATCGGGGTGTACAATTGGCATCAGATTGGCTTCTGACACATGTAAGAGATCCTACTTTGAATTCTCATGAACCAAGAGAGTATGTCTTGTATGCCTGTCCAACGGGAGTTCTGGCTGAAAAGTTACTTACGTTCTGGAATGAAAGTAGAGAGCTAGGATGGAACGGAGCACTGAACTTCATGCCACATATTACATTGGTGTCATTCTTCAGAGCACCGGATGAATCTGCTGAACAAATAGCCAGTGCCTTGGAGAGTATAGTTGACTGCAATGAATACCCTGATTCCATTGGGTTGGAAACATATGTGTCTCAAAACTTTATGGGATTATTTGTCAAAGATAAGCACGCCGAATGGCTTACGTCCATTGCTATGCGTTATGTGAACAAACTAGCAAATCTTATGATCACTGCGGAAGCACATACAAATTCGTTACATCTCTCTCTAGCGTATCAATTTCCTAATTCCCTCTTTGTACCTCTAAATAACATGGTAGAACAATTAGGATCAAATGTGCCAGCTAACTGGGAACTCAGGTTATACTCTCGAGATTCCAGATTGCGAAATGCACATGTCCATAAAGTGACACATGCACACGTTCCCAGGGAACATGATGAGCTTGAGTTAAGACCCGGAGATTATATTTATTTACCTGAAGGAGCTTGTGACGCTTCTATCGACGGATGGGTCGAGGGTATTTCCTGGTTAACGGGAACTTCGGGATACTTACCATTGAATCATACAAAACGAACAGCGGAATCAGATGCATGGACACTTCATTGTACTATACAGATCACCGATCACAGACCGCAAGTCGGTGGAGAAGTCCCCAGAAGTAGAAAGCCTCCGGTACTCTCCTCGAATGAATCTCTAGACACTCCGGATGGGGTTCCAGCAGATAATGAACCGGTAAGTATCTATTCTCTCAGTATACAAACTAATATTTGATCAATTATGTAAAGTATTATTTTTTTTAATTGACAGATAGAAGCTACACAACCACCTACAATACCGTCACGACAAATTTTTATCTGCCGCCATGGCGAACGTATAGATTTTACATTTGGCACTTGGATTCCATACTGTTTCGAACCTAATGGCTGTTACATTCGTCGAGACTTGAACATGCCTAAAGAAATTCCACCTAGGAACATACAAGATTTCCAAAATGACAGTCCCTTGACGACTTTAGGCGAAATGCAAGCAACTCTAGTCGGAGGAGCCATGAGGTCTTCTAATGTCAAGATAGATGTTGCTTTTACATCGCCCTCGTTACGCTGTGTCCAGACTCTGTCCCAGATATTAAAAGGACTGGGGTCCGATGTTTCCATGAAAGTGGAACCAGGTCTAATAGAATGGTTAGCTTGGTATCCAAACGGTTTACCAACATGGATGAGTCCAGATGAGTTAGTCAAAGCTGGTTTCAACGTGGACACAAATTACGAGCCCATAGTCAAGACCAAGGAACTTCCCCAGAGAGAAAACGCTGCCCAGTATTACGAGAGGAGTTTTGAGTTAATCAAGAAAATCATCGAGAACACGGTAGGTAATATATTAATTGTCGCGCATGCAGCATCCTTAGCAGCTTGTACCAGGCAGCTTACCGGTCGTAGAATACCACCAGCTGCCGAAGTCACACGATTGGTCCAAAGAGTTCCATATCTTGCGTGTTTAACGGCTCATGAAAGTCTGGACGGATGGCAACTTCATCCGCCACCTTTTCCGCCAATCACGCACACGAGTAACAGTCGATTTGACTGGAAGATCCTAACGTAAAATATTTATAATAATACAGCGCCTCGATTAAATACAGCGAATTTATCGTTTTCGTATTAAGATTTTTATTGAGAAATGATGCAAAGACTGTTACGATGCAATGAATTTCATTACAAGGCCTAGACGGGTGGTGATCCTTCAGGTCATAGAGATAAAAGATACGCGATAGTCAATAGCCCTTTATTCTGCTATACAAAACGACTACGTGTATTCTAAGGAAAATATGGACCATTTGAATGATTAAGATTACGAATGAATTATTATATTCGAAGAAAGATGGAAAAATCCCGAGAAGATTGTGTATTTGGAAACGAGCTAGAAAGACGTACGCTTTTTTTTGTGTGATCGATTTTGCAGTCTACTATTTCTTCGCTTTCTTTTTTTTCTTCTTTTTTTTCGCGAGGATTAAATAGTTTGGTAAAATATGAAATTACGGGTATTCGCATTCCATTCAATAAAATCGTGTTGTTCAAAGATTTTAGTCACAATCAAGTGTTTCGAAATTTTAATATTACTATTGTGAATGTACTTAAGTGTTATGCTTATGCAAATCTTGAAAATGTTTATACTTGAATTTAATTATTAGAAATACAGTTTCGATGTTACTAAATCATTTTAATTCACGATACGTCATCTCAGCAAACTACATTATATTGTTATGATCATTACGTATGATCTAAGTTATGAACTTTTAGATCACTTTGTCAATTATTCGTGACTTCGAATTTTGAAATCTTTACGTATTTTGAATATAGTATATTAAATGAGAGGTTACGAGGAGCTATTTAGATTGTAATTATCGCAGTGTTATCTTTTGTGGAATATTGTATTATTCACTTGATCCGTACCGTTAAGTTTACCAAAGAGAATATATCTGTATATGAGAGTATTTTAATAAAAAATATTAGGCAAACTGTCAAATAATTTTGTTTATACGTACAGTACAAATTTATTAAAATCTACAATATACACCAATTTTATTATCTCTGGCCATGTACAAAAATATTATTTCATTCTACCTATTTTCTTGACACATATGTAATTAACTTTACAAACGTCATTATTTATTTTTTGTTGACCATTTCATTACCTTTTTTTTCGAGAAGAGCTCTGTTACCGAATACGTTAAATATGGCCACTTTCTTTTAATTTAGCTATCAAGGTGTCAACGTCAGGCACAATAGAGCCAGCCTGTCTAGCTGGTGGTTCCTCGACAGAGACAATCTCTATCTTGGGGGCTGTGTTTACGCCAAGATCTTTGGGAGTAAATTTTTTGATTGGCTTTTTTTTGGCTTTCATGATATTAGGCAGAGTAGCGTAACGTGGCTCATTAAGCCGCAAATCAGCACTAATTACTGCTGGTAACTTCACTTTGATGACTTCCAATCCTCCGTCCACTTCCCGAGTGACTGTTAGGCTACCTGATCCTGGTTCTACCTAAAAAAATAAATTGCAAAGTTATTTATAAAATTTTTAATGAAGTATGTCTTTTAAATCGCTTGTCAACAATGTTTTAGTTGCAAGGCTCAGTGTCAGTCTTATCAGTTTTGTTGATTTTAGTTGACTAATATGAGTGGGGTTGTTGCATAATAATGATCTAGATATGTTTCTTTCCTTTTTCGGAGAGTGTAAAGATGTTTTGTTGTTCAATTGTATTAGAATAAGAATAGTTTATCTCTTATAATATTATGTTATACCTTGCTGGCAAAAGTTGCAGCTGGCCAATCCAAAACACCAGCAAGCATCTGCGCTGTTTGGTTATTATCATCATCGATTGCTTGTTTTCCAAGAATTACCAAATCGACCTTTTCATCCTGAGCAATTTTAGCAAGTATTTTAGATACATGGTAAGGCTGTAGTGTTTCGTACTCTGAACCAGAGACTTCTACATGAATACCACGATCAGCACCCATTGCCAAAGCAGTCCTCAAGGTTTCTTGAGCTTGTGCTGGGCCACAGCTCACAGCAATGACTTCTTGTACTATTTTCTTCTCTTTCATGCGAACTGCTTCCTCAACAGCAATTTCATCGAATGGATTCATAGAGTGTTTCACTCCATCTGTGACAACTCCACTTTTATCCGGTTTGACCCTGATCTAAGGAACCATATAGAGTTTTAAAATTTCTTATACAATTATATTAAACAGTTGACTAGTTTATATATAGCTACATTCACTTTTCATTCTCATTCTGTAGTTAAATACTTGGAAAACAAAGACATGAATCTCACATAAATTGATCAGAGTTTTATACTGCACATGTATAAGTTCAGAAATATGGGGTAGAATAAAAAATAAATTTAAGCAACAAGTTTAGCGTGAAAAGTCTGCTTGTTAAAAAGTTTTGTTTTTCACGTTTCACTTTGACCTGATGTATCTATAGATCATAAAGTTGGGTCTGGTATTTTATAAATTACCTTGACTGCATAATCAATTACTCTCTTAACGCCAACAAGTACACGAGACATGATTCGTAAATGATAATATTATAAATAAATAATATTTAATTGATTCTGATGAATTCAACAAGAAGTACAGTAGATACGGGACAAGATCCAACAAGATCCGTGCTCTAATCAATGGCTATACACAGCTGCGCTAATGAGTGGGGCTGTGTAGTTCAGTGTAGTTCAGTGTAGTTACATCACATCAATGATAACAGCCGCGAACACAAATTTTAATTAAATTACGAATTATAAATTAATAAGGAATATATGCATTAAAAGCTTCTCGTTGTCTTGTATTATTATATCAGAAAAAAATAATACAATATTATAAAAATATAATATATTTCCTCGAGTTCAAATTCCACTTTTCTTGAAAAAAAAAATGGCGGAAACTTTAATTCAAAGTACAAGTACTTGATAACCCAATTAATGAAATACTGTGTCGATAATCAATAAATAGTGTGAAACACAAAGACTGATAAAAATTTCATAGATCTTTTAATATTATTGAAAATTAACAATAGCTGAAAATTACACAGGTATATTGATTTTTTCAATTTAACAGTTGGATAAATATAAAAATTTGCCTGAACAGAACTTGCTGCGTGTAAATATTAATTATTTTTATATTAATATTTAACAAAATCATAATAATCCTCAAAATTTGTGCTATCCAACAAGGTAGTAAACGAGAGGCTGTCAAATAAAATATATGTAAAGTTTAATTGATTACATGAATATTTTGATCAAGCTTGACGTTCGACAAATAAGAGCGCTTCCATCGCGCAATCCACTCCTTTCAAGTGACGTGGCTCGAATGACGGGCACACGTCTTGTGGATTTTTTAATATAAGGTAGTGCCGCATGTGAAGTTAATAAAATAATGATTTAACTGTGTCGAGTAGAAAGTGAAAATTATCATAATTTTTACTATATAGTTTCCAGTGTCTCTGAAGTAGAAGAATCACTTTTTTGGGTATGTTCACAGACGTTCAGTATGTAACCTAAGACCATTTGCTATGATAGATTTGCTTAATACTGTAAAATAATTGTTTTTCAATGCAAGGTTTGTACAGTATAATGAAATCTAATTTACTTACAGCGTTATGACGACTTACGAAGAATTTATACAGCAAAATGAGGATAGGGATGGAGTTCGTTTCACATGGAATGTGTGGCCCTCCTCTCGGATTGAAGCTACTAGGCTCGTTGTTCCTCTAGGAACACTTTACCAGCCTATCAAGGAACGTCTTGATCTTCCTTCTATACAATATGATCCTGTTCTGTGTACAAGGCCTGTGTGTAGAGCTATATTAAATCCACTTTGTCAGGTTGATTATCGTGCTAAGTTATGGGTCTGCAACTTCTGTTTTCAACGAAATCCTGTATGTATTCTGTTTATTATTATATTAAAGTATATTATAATGTGTTTTATTTATAACAAGCTTATGTTGGTGTTGTAGTTTCCACCACAGTATGCAGCCATTTCAGAACAGCATCAACCTGCTGAATTAATTCCAATGTTCTCAACGATAGAGTACACTATTACGGTATGATAATACTTTTGTACTTATTTGCTTTCTCAGTATCCTTATAAATGTTATTCATGGTCTTCTTAATATAGAGAGCACAGTGTCTACCACCAATCTTTCTACTAGTTGTGGATACATGTATGGATGAAGAGGAACTCGGTGCCCTGAAGGATTCCCTTCAGATGTCTCTATCACTTCTTCCTCCTAATGCTCTCATCGGCCTCATAACATTTGGAAAAATGGTTCAAGTTCATGAATTAGGTTGCGAAGGATGTAGTAAGAGTTATGTATTTCGTGGAACTAAGGATCTTCAACCAAAACAAGTTCAAGACATGTTAGGTATGTAACTATTTCGATGATACTTTCAAGAAAGATCATTATTCTCACTGATGTTGATTTAGGTATTGGTAGGCCAGTGCCTGGACAAAATCCCAATCAACAGAGAGGTCCTGGTGGACAACCTCTGCCTCCGGCCAACCGGTTCCTTCAACCAGTTCACAAATGTGACATGAGTTTAACGGATTTATTAGGCGAATTACAACGTGATCCGTGGCCAGTTGCTCCCGGAAAGCGACCGCTGAGATCAACCGGAGTTGCACTAGCTGTCGCGACTGGTCTTCTGGAAGCCAGTTATGCTAACACCGGAGCCAGGTACAAGCATCAAATATATATTTCACTTAAAAAATTAAAAAAACTTTTATAACTTAACATCTTTCTAGAATCATGCTGTTCGTCGGTGGACCATGTTCTCAAGGTCCCGGTCAGGTTGTCACAGATGATCTCCGTCAGCCTATAAGGTCTCACCACGACATCCACAAGGACAATGCTAAGCATATGAAAAAAGCTACTAAACATTACGACAGTCTAGCTTCACGAGCTGCTGTGAATGGTCACATAGTTGATATCTACTCCTGCGCTCTAGACCAGACTGGTCTCCTAGAAATGCGTCAGTGCTGCAACTCGACCGGTGGCCACATGGTCATGGGTGATTCCTTCAATTCATCCCTCTTCAAACAGACGTTCCAGCGTGTCTTCACGAAGGATCCTAAGGGCGATTTGAAGATGGCCTTCAACGCAACACTGGAGGTTAAAACCTCACGGGAAATCAAGGTTTCTGGAGCTATAGGTCCTTGTGTATCGCATGGTGTCAAAGGACCAAGTGTTGGCGAACAGGAAGTTGGTCTTGGTGGCACCTGCCAATGGAAATTCTGTTCTCTGACACCCTCAACCACAACAGCACTCTTCTTCGAGGTTGTCAATCAGCATGCAGCACCCATTCCTCAGGGTGGTCGAGGATGTATTCAGTTCATCACTCAGTATCAGCACAGCAGTGGTCAACGAAGAATCAGAGTTACTACAGTGGCGAGAAAGTATGTTTCTATCTGTACAAATATTATTAAACAAAATATTTCTATTATATATTCATATCATTCATCTATCGAATCATTACTAATAGCTGGGCCGATGCATCTACATCCCTGCACCATGTAAGTGCAGGATTCGATCAGGAAGCAGCTGCAGTTTTGATGTCACGTATGGCAGTATTCAGAGCAGAAAGTGACGATGGTCCAGACGTCCTGAGATGGGTAGACAGAATGCTCATACGACTTGTAAGTATAATTAAAAACTACAAATATTTAATTTCCTGTTATAAACATGGTAGAGAATATAACAATTGTACCTCTTACAGTGTCAAAAGTTTGGCGAGTATGCAAAGGATGATCCCAATAGTTTTAGACTGGCAGAGAATTTCTCTTTATACCCACAGTTCATGTATCACCTTCGGAGATCACAATTCTTGCAAGTTTTCAATAACTCGCCGGATGAGACAAGTTTCTACAGGTATATATGCTACTTTTGATTTTTTTTTAGCAAAACATTGAAAGTGAACGAACAATTTCCAATGTCATTAAATAACGTTACTTCAACTCTCACCAGGCATATGCTAATGCGAGAGGATCTAACAAACTCATTGATAATGGTGCAGCCAATTCTATACAGTTATGGATTTGGTGGACCACCAGAACCAGTACTACTGGATACATCGTCCATCCAACCGGATAGAATTTTACTAATGGACACGTTCTTCCAGATACTCATTTTCCACGGAGAGGTAATCTAACCTACTTTCGACTTTGAATTCAATGTAAACAAAAATTACTTGTTTCCTACATAAAATTTTTCTTTTACAAAAGACAATAGCTCAGTGGCGTAAGCTAAAATACCAAGAACTTCCGGAATATGAAAACTTCCGTCAACTACTAGCTGCTCCTGTCGACGATGCTGCTGAGATTCTCGCGGGCCGATTTCCGGCTCCGAGATATATTGATACTGAGCAAGGCGGTTCACAAGCCAGATTTCTTTTGAGCAAAGTCAATCCAAGTCAGACGCACAATAATATGTATGCCTACGGAGCGGTAAGTGTTGGAAAATTTTTATTACTTATTATGATATAACCTGTATTCATAACTTATGTGGCGCCACATTCTTTACGGTTGTGGTAATTAGTTGTATCATAAGCCGTGGTCTTTGATTATGGACCGTACAATTACGTGTAAGCTAATGTGACACGTTACGTTACGCAAATCATACGTAACTAATCATTTTTTATGTCGCCGTGATCCTGCGAACCAGGGAATGCCGATGCCCAGTGGGGTGTGTCTTTATTTTTATTTGATTTTATACATTTTTTAAAATCTTTATCTGCTACTTCTGCTTTATTCTTTCATGGTGATGGAAAGGGCTCTGGGTGGATAAATTCTAAATTGGACGTATGTCTATTACTAATCGTAAGATGCTTCTTTTAGGTCACTGTACATATAAAATACATAACTTGTTAATTAGAATTATTTTAGTAGTTCTATATTACTTATATAAATATTTTTTAACTGTACATACTATAGAAAAAGTTAGCTCTGTCTGATATTGCGAAATTTATTCTTTTCAAGAAGTCCCGGTGCATTTATTTTCACTAACACCGTTTTTATAGTTACTGTAGATTAAGCATAGATTACTTTAAAAACTATTTTTTTGAAATTACTAATATGATTTATGGGATTCAGCATAAAATTCAATCTTTATAAACAATTCTGGTGCCGGTTTCAATCTGAATTTTTATTATTGCTATGAACTAGGGATATCAAATTTTCATTATGCAACAGTTAATTTATTTTATTTGTGATTTAGGAGAGCGGAGCACCTGTCCTGACTGATGACGTCAGTCTTCAGGTATTCATGGAGCATCTGAAGAAATTGGCTGTATCATCAACAGCTTAGAATCTTAAGTAATTAGGAATAACGTATAACAATATTATCCCTTTTATATATTATACAAATACAGATTGTAATTAATAACTGTAGGAAAGTGCGTGTATTATGTATATTTAATCAGGGCAATGAGACAGCTCTACTGATTGCAATGTACCACAATGCATTTTTTTTTCGTCGACGTTGAGCACGAGCTCAGCACGAACAAAATATAAATTGGTTATGAAGAATTATAAAGATTCTCTGGATTAGGTGGGTATGGTTATAGCACAACCTCCTATATTCCACTAGTAATACGTGAACTTAGGGAACAAGAAAAAGTGATGGGAACGTTAAAAATAAATAGTAAAAGAAAACTTGGATATCATCAGCTTTGTTTTCTTTTTATGTTTAATATTTTCACAAACAATGATTTACAAGAATATACAATAATTGTATATCAATCTATTGCATCTACAAACAGTCAAAGATACTAGAGAGCAAGTGGCGTATTGCGCTTACTATTAACTTGTAACCTGATTTTTGAAAAGGATTAGAGAGAAAGAAAAATTGTCATCGGTGAAGTACGTATATTCATTTCGAGCACCAACTGCCTTGCATATACTAACACATCACTGAATTGTTGCTATTTTACAGCAAAAAGTTGAGCGCTACAATTTTTCCATTTTCTTTCACCTCAATAATTACAGCTCTATATCTAGAAAAATTTATGAGACGAGTCGCATTTGCATAAAAATTTCACTTTCTATCAAGGTATTGTCCATTGAATATTATCCTAATATAATTTCTAAGAGAAAGTGAGTATATAGAGCTTTTCTCAATGGTTTGCCCTTACATTATTTTGCTCAATTTGCATCATACTAAACTTACAGCATTCTATATCTATAAATTTCAAATCATCTTGACCCAACGTTCACAACAAAACTTTGCTGTAGCTATTGTGGGACACTCTTAGCTAAGAAATCGTATGGACATTTTTTGTTCTACATCTGTTCGCTCCAAAGCTTTGCAAAACTCCTCAAAGGAAATCATACCATCTCCATTTTCATCTGCTTCAACTATTGTTCTTTCTGCAATGCTTGTTAATTGTTCTTCACTAAAGAAATGTATGAATTAGAAATTAATGTTGAAAGTTAATAATATATATGTGTTATTGCTACAAGCTTACCTAATATTGGCACCAACCATCATGTGTAAGATAGCTAATAGCTCATCCTTAGAGATCAAGTCATCGTTATCCAGATCATACATTTTGAAAGCAACTACAAGAAATTCAACACTATATTTCCTCTGCGATTAGAATTTCTCAAAACTAACTTACATTTCAATTTTTCTTGTCTAGAATTCAATCTATTAGGATTGTTTTTCTTAACAGGCCGAAAGTGAGCAAGTACTTGCATAAATTGCAAGAAATTGACTCGATCATTGCCACTCTCCTCAAAGAAAGCATTGACAATCCTTTCCCCTAAGGGATTGATGGCAAGCTCAGGAATTCTAAGAAAGTCTTCACGGCTTAATGTACCGCAGTCACCTCGATCCAAACTTGTGAATCGACTGTATAAACGTTCGATTTGATTTGGAGTGACTAAAAGACAACAAAAATGATAAGCACATAAAAACATAAGAAAACTCAAGTATCAATAGAAACCAGGAATAATTGAAAACTTATACATCTAATTCTCCACACCTCGCAAAATGCCTAATATACAGCATCTTCTACAACCTTTTACGACATAAAACTATGAAAATGACTTACAGCCAGTAGCTTCCTGAATTTGTGCGATTTCCTCCTCACGTAACAGTAGACTCGATCTGTTTCCCATTTTTAATTACTTCTCTAAGTTCTTGGCGGTGACTGAACTGATAAAACAATAATCGACGACTTTAAAGCCACTGATTATATCGTCATTGATGTAATTCTACCTCAAAACAGGTCAAAGTGCAGTTGATACCTGACAGCTGTTAGGTTAGGTTAGGTTTAATATTCAAATAGTGCGCACCAATCAACGTAGAACTAAGGTCCCTCTAGTCAGAGTCCGGCCAACGGTGGGCCTCTTATTGATTGGCTCCGCCATTTTAAGGGCTCTTTCCGGAATAGGATGACGTGTGTGAATACGTATATGGGAGAGATTCGCATTTTGTAGTGTGGGTAGTGTTAAACCCTGTACGGCGGGTTGCCTGTACTTGGAGCGAGACTCGACCGAGTCTCTTAATGGTAAAGATTGATAGTTTGAAAATCCGTGCGCAATGTCATGGCGGCGCCAAACGAGCCCAAAACATGGCGTCCCTTCCGAAAGTTGGCCGGAATCACGGTCTTACATACAGGTCTTGCAACTCGCCCAATTTTCAGCGGTGGGGGTAGACGTGGTTTTGAAGCACGGCACATTTTAAATTTTAGTCACAAGCGTCGCTGTGATCGAGTGACCCCTTATCTATCTCACTTTACAATCGGCTGTGGGAAAGAGAAATAGGAACGGATCGCTTGATCGCAACGCCTCTTGTGGTCATGAAGCGAAATGAAAAATGCTTCTAAAAGAAGACTACCCCCTCCAAGGGAGTTGCAAGACCTGTATGTACGACCGTGGCCGGAATCTGACTAGAGAAACTACGTAGAACGAGCATGCCTCTTCTCTCTTCTTTGGAATGCGGAACTCCTTGTGCAATTTTGACACGTACCTTGCAAATTTTGTTTGTACATAACGTTCTCTTGAAAAAAACCATGACAAGTTTCTTTTATCTAGTGCACACTTATGCATACCTTTTGCCAATAAACTATAATGTATCTAATTACGAAAAGTTAAGTATTGCATTTTGAAGCCACGTAGAATAAAACCACTGAAACACGTGAACAAAACAACAAAATTTACACGTAATAAAGTCGAAAATGTGACTAAAATTAATTTATCTTAAAAACCACAGGTCTTTTTATCTAGAATGAAATGGTAGAAGTAACGATACTCCACTATTACGTATAACAATTTAGACGGAAGATCTATAAAAAATTATATATATACCCGAGAGATACTAGTAAGAAGGCTAATTGTATGAGACTTTGTATCTTACGAGCAGTGAGCACGGGAGCACACGGGAGATATAATGAAACTACCACAGAAGCTCTGGAGGGGATTGAACTGCCATATACATATGTAGCTTACTTTAGACACTTCAAACATCGAATAGACGGGGGGCTAATCCTCTTTACCAATATCTCCTTGGTGCGAGGAATACATTACGATAAAGAAATATTGCCATAGAATATAAGTGCTTGCGCATTTTTTCTTTATTATCTTGTATATCACTTATAGTTATACATAATTAGTTAAAAGGATCGCAGTCATATTCGTACGTACCGTGATATAAATCGTATGTGTGATTGAAAATTAATACTTTGAGCGGAACTGCGAGACCATTATTATGTCGAGACCATAGTTCTTTTGTGAAAATTAAATTGGTTGAAGGCATATAATTAACAGCAAAACGGTAGTCGACGGCAAAGAAAAAAAACGAAAGAAGTTCTTAATCAGATTTTTCACTTTGTCTCACGCTACAACACACGTATACATAACCATATCTAATGTCTTCGTAATCAAAACAGTATCCTTAATATACTCTGTACTAACTACAGTCATTATACATATCGCTATGAAGATCCCTACGATTAATTAATCATTAAACAAGAAAAAACTATAAAAGTGCTTGATATAAGATTGCCGTGAATTTAAATAAGAGAGGTGCTCCAAGTGATTAAAAAAAAGCGTCAGTTTCCCGGTCCATTGTTACAAGCAAGTGGGAGAGAAACGAAAAAGAAAAGCAGACCAAAAACAGTAGAAGAAATCGTAACAATAAAATTAACTGCTATACAAAGTTAATCAGTACAAATTGGAATTAGGGCCTCATTATATAAAGTTCCAGTTTCTCATTCCGGCGCGATAGTATAAATCGTACTTCAGTTTCAACCTGAGCCTCTAGTACATTAAAAGAGGTGATTATTATGCATCAATTAACAAGACTGATCGATTATTAACGGTCAATAAAGAGTGAAAACTCGTTATCAACGAACACAGAAGTCGTCGCAGTAGCATTTCGAAGCCATTGATGAATATTGCTAGCGTATATTAAAGAAATCGTATGAAAATACATTCAATCGAAGATCATCTCTTTATGAGGCTTCGGCATTCGATTTTTTGGTGCGCGTCCTGGTATGTATTCTAAAAAATCTTCCCCTCATCGATGCTCAAATCCGCTGAGAAGATTGTAAGTAAGGGCTGAATGATCTCATGTAATTCCTCCAAAGAGAGGAAATTTGTAATCGTATTTATGCGAGCAGCGAAAAAACGTAAAAGAAGAGAAGCTTTCTGTATGGACGATAGAGAAAAAATGGCGTCACTCGTGCGAAGCTTTAATTAGGCGATAAAGCAGTTAGAAAGAAAAATTACGAAGGATAATGAAGACGAACGAAAATTCCCGATAAAAGTAATTACAACTTGTAATTTAAATTAATTAGGTGCTATCAACCCTCGCAATAATGTCCGTAACATTTTTCACAATAAATCTTAGTGTCTTGACTAAATCGAAATGTTTATTGTTATATTATTAAATTACAATAGTGAAGTAGGGGAATCCCCGTGCAGGCGCCTCGGTAGAGCCAAACATTAATTTTTGAATTAAGAAAAAGAACAAAAAAAGCTGATGACAGAGTAGTAGTGTATATGCTTGTGTTGTACATGGACAATGCATGGAATGAGATTTTTTGTTGAACTTTTGGAATCTAGTGGGGGATGGATGAGGAGTAGGGAGGAGAAAGGCCTTATACTGGACCACAAGTATCTATCTATACATATTACAATTAGGCTAAAAAATAAAGGTGCTTATTTTTATAATAATCGTACACAATTGTTATTTAATAAACTTGAATTGCCAGTACCGCGCTTTCGCGTTCCATCGACGTTTACGAGACTAATGCAACAAACCTCTTTTTGTTATTTTTTTTTCATTCCTTCCTACGATTGATCGTAATGCCACTTATACATGTGAAAAATGTATGTTAAGATTTCTTTCTTTTCTTTTTTTTTTTTAATGTAAAACAAAGAAATTAATACAACTTAGGTTCGCGCGAAGTTGATGGTCCGTGGATGGCATTGTTTCGTATTTCCCTTCTTTCTTTCTTTTTTGTTATATCAAATGAAGACACCCACAATTGCTGTGTTTCTAGTTGTTTTTAGTTTCCCCACAAAAGGTTGCACTGTAACGTTGCACAGCGACACTGCTCTGAAAGAAAGAAAAGTAATCTGTACGGTGTTATGTACAAACTCGTGTATTACAATTGGAATTTGATAGGAAGGCTTCGCAACTAGACGAACCCACTAATATAATGTACGTACACGATAAGGGACACAAACACGATGCCACAATAAAAACAATGCTGTATCGAGAAAAATAACTTTCTTTGCGAGATACATATGTACTAATGTTGTTCAATTTAATTCAGAGTCGTAGAAAGAAATTATAAATAACCACCAGAAGATTTATCAAACATACGGAGAGTATACATAGCGGAGGAGTAATTTCTATGGGAGAATCTTGAAAAGTACAGTCCATATAAGATGTAAAACAAAAACACAGAGAGAGGGGAAATAAAAATTACAGGTATCATTAAGAGCGAAGTGGATAAGATTTTAATACAACAAAAATTCACTCACTCGTTTTGGCAGAGTATAGAATTAAACGTTTCAGCAACATCCGGACTTTGAAGTCTCAATAGGACGTCCTTGGTCAATCTGCACCTTGTTGGCTGGGTCGCTAGCTGCACTTGATGGAGGTCCCACTCTTAACTTGATTTCAGAGGCCATCGTCATAAAAGCCTGCTCTACATTATTCGCATTCTTTGCTGATGTCTCCAGGAACGGGATACCCAATTGATCCGCATATTCCTGGTTAGAATAGATTATTACATTTTTCTTCATCTTAGATCAAAACAGAAATGATCTTGAAGCCTTGTCTTTATCCTTACAAGGCATTAAGAAATGAAAAATTGAATGGAACGCGTTCTTAGCTAAGATAAAGCTAATCAATTAGTAGAGAATATTTGTGTACCTTTGCTGTTGTGTAGTCAACAACTTTCTTCATGTGGAGATCACTTTTGTTGCCGACCAACAGCTTATTGACATTATCACAGGCATAGCGGTCGATTTCCTCAAGCCATTGTTTAACATTACTGAAAGACTCCAGGTCTGTACAATCGTAAACGACGATGATACCATGCGCACCGCGATAGTATGAACTTGTAATCGTCCTAAATCGTTCCTGTCCTGCAGTATCCCATATTTGCAATTTTATAGTCTTCCCATCTAGATCAATTGTTCTGATTTTGAAATCCACACCAATAGTACTGATGTAACTTTCGGTGTAGGTGTCATCAGCAAAGCGCAGCAGAAGGCACGACTTTCCAACTCCAGAATCGCCGATCAGGAGCAGTTTGAACAAATAGTCGCTGCAATTCAATAAAAAAAAAAACAAATTATTTACAAAAGAATCTTATTATATCCATTCATCGAGCCATGTATGCATTTCAATGTTTTAAAGAATTATCATTAGTCGTATTATGAAATTGAACTAAACAAGACCCATCCAACTAGCACTGTCAGAACTTTTCTTAACCTATTTTTGTAAATTTCAATAATTATTCCCTTATAAAAGAAAAAAAATGCAAAGTCTAATGTAATATTCTAAACAGCATACAATGTAAATATAAAATTGTATAATTGTCAAAAAAAACTACTACAATCGACGTGGACATAATTATAAAAAAAAAACCTAGATAGACAAGGTGCAACGGCACAAAATGTAAAAACAAGAACAGCTGGTTGTGACTAACATGCGGGAAGGACAGAGAAAGCATCGAGGTTTGAGCACGAAAGAGGTGCGGCACGAGGGGAAGACTAGAGTATGAGAAGGGGTGGCAAGGGGACCAGGAGGAAAGATAGGTAGACAGAAGAGGAGCGACGGGAGGAAAATGGAAAAGGCAGAGAGAGAGAGGGAGAGAGAGAGAGATAGTAGGACAAGTAACACAAAAGAAACATGCCCAAAGGAGAGCAGAACAAAGATAAAAGATGTTAGTCATACATGAAATCAAAAGGACAATCTGTCAGTGATGATTAGCGTTAAATCAATTTTTCCTGGAATTCGAAAGCAGAATAAAAGGGCCATTGACAGGGGTATACAGTCCACGGTAAGCAGCAAGATCGAGGTAGCAGCTTTTACAATGTTACTCTACGAATTGAATAGCCGATGAGTAAGTGAAGATTATTAAATTCAAAAGATATGCGACGCATGACGCGTGTCGTGGGAGTTCAAGACGGTACGTATATGCCTGCGCAAAAAGTATCTCCGTTTACTTACTATTCGGGATTCATTGTGGACATGCTACGCTGCGAACTCTTGGCTCTTGGGTGTCGGGCGCGATACGCTTGTTGATAAGCGAAGGTTCACCCGGGAACTCGATTAAATCCTGAAGTAGGTCTTCCTCGATACTACGATGATACACCTCCTCCCAAAATACGAAGGCGCTGAAACAATGGCGGCCACGGCACCTCCTCCCAAGCGAGCGAGCAAACGAACGAACGAACGAGCGAACAAGATCTCCACAATTGACGTAATGCCAGAATGGCAGTAAATGCTGTTTCACTCCCACTGAGAGGAGACGGGACACCAGACGTTCTGGCAAAACATTTTCAATGCGCATGATCAACGTGTTCTTGGTCCACGATGAGCGTCGCTTGTTGTAAATCACCTTTGTGTTGTTGTTCGCGATACTAATGCTACGCATCTTGAAGGATTTACGTCGATTTGTATATGTTTTTTGGCTTTTAGTTTTTTCTGGTTGTTGTGGTACCCGTTTGTTGTTCTTCACTTCGTTGAAACGTTTTTTTTCAAGGAGTTTTTCAATACTCCGATTTTAGTGTGTGCCATGTCTTAGGTTATGTTTTATTGTGGAATTAGATACTTTTTATGCTTTAATCCTCGTATAAGGATTCTACTATAATTTGCTTCTCTAGAGAAATTCTATGGTCTGACCATGTTAGAAATTGGACAGAGATATAAAATAAACTCGTATTAATCAAAAAAAGAGAGGGAAGAGAACGTGTCTTTATTGATAAGGTATCAGATTTTTTAGATATAGTAAAAAGGTCACATAATTGAAGAGATATCGTGGCTACGAGTTGTTTGAATTTCAGTGATTTGTTTCGACTGATTAGTCTTCATATCAGCTGAAAATTTAAGAAGCAAGTGTGTCAGTTAACTTAGCTTGAAGATGGGCGTCCAAGTTTTAATTGTAGATTGGAAAAGATTGGAATATAATACCGGTCTCAGACCGTTTTCCTGAATTAGTTTGATACGGATTCGAGAATACACCTCTAGTGTTGTTGCATGTTCCAAGAAGATGGAATAGAACGATTAGAGTAAATCTGTATTCTGGTGAAAATTATATTCTTCATTGCAATTAAATCGATCTACGACATTTTATGTTTAAAAAATTTTACATGTAAGGGAGGTGGTGGCCCTTGTAATTTATTATTAATGACGTCCAACGGAGTGCACCACGAAGAAGTTTCTTCAAATCCAGTAAGATCGTTCAGAGGAGCGAATGGAAATAAGATAGCACTTCAAGAAAAAAAAACACCAACATCTAATACTGAAAGCAATGGCGTTATAGAATTTGAACTCTATAATGACAGTCCCTGTGAAACTTTTTTAAATTTATTGCTCTTGTGCTTGACACTGCTTTTTTGGTGTACCATTAATAACCCAATACCAACTTTTGCTTCTTTGATTGCACTTGCATTACAGTGTCATCGTCTTGTTACATCTGTTACAGTAGGTAGGTGGTTTTAGTTGGTCTATTTTATAGTTTTCAATCTTCCAAAGCTATTTTGCAATATAATGATTTTGTTATTCAGATACTGTATTGGTAATTGAATCAGTTGGTGTGCAGATAATAGGCAAACGCAAGTGCACTACTTTTAATTCTAGCCAGTTTTTACCCTGGAATACAGTGCATGATATATTTATCAACGAAGTTATCATTGGGGTATGTATAATACCTGTAGTTTCATTTGATGAATTATATGATTACCTATTTCTAAACTTTGATTTCAGCAAAAAGTACTTTACTACCTGACGTTTATGGTGAAGGAGTCTATAGGTGGCAAGGAGAAAGTTCGATTGGTTCCTCTTTTCCAAGAACTAGTACCCGAAAGAAAATGCCTGGAATACATGTACGTTCGCTTGGCCGGTTTAATCGGACACAAGAAGACAGAGAATGTATATTGACTGTGCCTGGTTCTTATTGGCTTTGCCATAAGAATAAGATCTACAAATTTTCATTCAAATGTCATAATTTCCCGAGGTTTGTATTAGTATTTATACCATTTTCTGTATTCAATATTCAACTATATAAAAATATCTTTTAGAGATGCCAAAGACTTTCCGTATGAGAAGGAACTAATGAACATAATAAGGCGAGTGATTAAGTGTCTTCCGTGTCAAGGACAACAATTTAGTACACGTCATCTTCTCGTCACGTTTAGTATCCTTTATATACTTCTTATATAGGACAAATTTGCTGCACCTTATTCTCTAATCAATATTAATTTGTACTGTATAATACATCCTTAATCAAGCCCTTCTAAGATCACACATTCTGGACATCACAGGACAAAATGTATGCAATGCATAAATTTCGTGATAAACCTATTGCAGCACCATCACCTCGTGCTTTTGTTCTAACAATTAATATCACAATGTCACATACAAATATTAACCCTGTTGATGTTAAGGACAAGCGTAGTTCTCTTCGTTTAAGAAATAAGAATCTGGAAAGTCAAGTTCTCCAATGTGCATCAGTAACAAAAGTTTCATCGAAGAATGTAAGATTAAACACAAATTGTACTGTAGTGGTCGTTGACGACGACGATAATGATGATAGCAGGCCAAACTGTGAAACAAACACAATATCTAAATCACTTGGGAATGACGGCGCAAACAGCAATGATATTTTTGCCAAATCAGACGCATTACCTATTTCTCAAGAACTACTGCCTATTACTCCGAACATGAAATCTGAAGATCATACGTCGAAAAATAATACTGTTCCTATAGATACCAAGACCAAGGATACTGATGTTGAATTAGAGGTTGATAGTATGGATGTTGATTCTAATTCCAAAGAGTCTTTAAACACCGCAGAAGGTTCTGAACAAAGTCCTTTGGATACCATGAAAGAATCTGCAATAGAATCTACTAATTTATTGAATCGACACCCTAATGATAAGGATAATAGCTATTGCAGTCATTCTTCATTAATATCTAATAGTCCAATGAAGTTAGATTCGCGAATTGCGATACGGGAAAACACTCCATTGTCATCCAATGTTGTAAATCATCTAGCTTTCGCAGAAGAGGAGGAAGACGAGGACTTTGAATTAAAAGTCGATCCAGCCGACGCTGCACCACGTTCAGCTGACATTACCGATTTAGTTATGGAAGGTGTCATGTTCACTATTAGGCAAGATCGCGACAGTGTCACTGTTATGGAACAAAAGACAAAGTTAGAGATGGATGAAGTTTTAGAAAATTCTGAAAAAGTCGAGAATCGGGAAGGCGAAAAATGTCTTCTGAATTCGAGTTTACTCAAACTCGAAAATTTAATAACTAAGATTGAAATGCCTGTGAGTGAAGAACAAAGAGAAGTTGGTTGGACAGGATTCACTCAATGTTCTCCTGCAATAAGAAGAGTTGATATTCCAAGCAAAGGAACAAACTTACCAATTGATTATGGCCATAACAGAAAACACTACTCGACTAGTAGAATGTTTGAAAATATGGACGTTGATTCAAATAAATCGACCACGGGCACTTCGGCAAGTGAGGAATCAGAAACTGAATCAACGGATGATGGGACAGATGATACAGAGATACACAAAGACGATGAACATGATTCTATTACGTCTGAAGAGGACTCAGTGCTACCTTCGATAACATTAAATGAAAGAGGAATAGGAACAGCAGAAATTATACAGTTAAAGGCTACAAAAAAAAGCGGTCATTCTTTTTTGAAAAGAAGTGATGAGTTTGATTTTTCATATCACAATAGAACAGCATCTGAGAAAATAATTTCGAAATCACCAATGATAAATAATGGCATGGCATATACTCCAGTAGCAAACCAATTTTTTGTCAATTCGCAAAAGAACCTTTACACCAACTCTTTTTCAAATCGAGACTCTCAATTGTCTGATCAAAAACCACACAGACTTATCAATTTAATAACTAGTAATGAAAACAAATGTCTTTCTAATAAGGTATTCTCTGGTCCACGAATGATCTCCAATACAGTTTTAACGAACGAACAGATCCCTCCTAGTTTACGAAATGTTATTAGGAAAAAAACTGAAAAGCAGGAAGGAAATAAAAGCTTAAGTGCTGAGATGACGAATACAAAAAACTCAGAAGACACTTGGGAAAATTCCCCTTCATCTACAGATAATGATTTGTCAAATCACAAATTACACAGCTCTAATGTCAATAATGCTGTTCAAAGGACTGATAAAGATACTGAAGAAGCAATGCAGACCAGTGTTCTAGAAGATCAGTTAAAAACCACAATAACAACTCCAGTTACAGACTCCACAACATCGTCAAGAGAATTACAAATTGACATAGAAGCGCTGGTGAATAAAATATCAGGAACAATGCATCCTGTTAATATTAGAACCAATGTGAACTGTGGAAAAAGAAATACTAATTCTCTCAGTAAAAGAAGTCTACGACAACGAGAGTGTCCCATGAAATCATCACGTATCAATGCAAGTGATAATCGTGAATTTTTTATAGACATGAGGAAACTAGTGCAGGACATAACAAGAGGCGTTAAAGTAGTTGTCAATCGAATACCTATAACTGACAAGACAGTTTACAAAAAATGTACTTCAGAGCAAAAGTCTTAACAGTGATAATTTTTAGGAATACATTATATAAAAAGAGGTGCAATAATAGATGTCACAACATATATTACATCATAATTTTGTCAGTTTTACTTTTAAACTAGTCTCAATAAGTTATAGTAAGGAATTAGGAGTATTTATTTTGATGAAGAGATAATAACACATTTACAAAAAAAGAAAATATGTATAAGCACAATTGTAAGGAAGTTACTTAATTAACCTGTTTATTTCACTAAACTTGTCTTTCTCGATTTGTTCCAAAACAGCCTTAAGATTATTCATTTTTTCTAACAGTTTTTGTAGCTTTTCATCTTGTATTTGCTGACAGCTATAAGTTTTCCATTCAACATTAACTGCACGATGTCTGTCATCCTGTGCTTTTGACAGCTTCAATACATTAAGAGGTTTTGTAGATTTTAGATTAATAGTTCCAGTCTACAAAAATACGATTAACATAATAAACTACTTAACGAACCTAGTAATACAATACACAATGGATCATTACATTTATTTCAGTTTCGAGTTCAATGCATTTAGCAAGTTCTTGGGCACATTTAGAAGGATATCGTTCTCTGGCATCGCACACTTCAAAAACTGCATTCTCGCATTGTTCTTCAAGCTCTGTAAAAAAAGAAAGTCCGTAATGAATTCAATCTGAAAACCACTAATAACAATGTTTACTGTGGTGTTGGCAGAAATGCGGCAACCCGTTGTTTTCTATACCTTACGGTATGTCATCGTCTAGACAAAATAATGTTGTATTTACGTACCCATTTAATGATCGAGGTCTCAGAGAGAGAGAAACTTCTTCTCCAGGTATTCGGCTTTAGTTCTTTATTAGGAACAATTACCAGAGATGGAAGAACTGTAAACCGGAAACCGTTAATTTGATTGGTTTCCGTTCGCGTGGCAACAGTCTGTAGCTGTGAGGTCACCGAAAACTGTTTTTATCTCTCTTTAGCCAATGCTATTGCTGGTAATTCATCTTCGCGGTTAGAGTCCATAACCCCACTTATATTAGACTTTTTCAGTGACATAAGTTCTACAACCAGTGATCGCGTGTTTAACGTTTCGTGAATCTGTAAAGTCACCGCGCATTTAGGTTAAATTTCGACTCAATTTCAATTCGTCGTTTCACGGAATACATTTCATTGTGTGTCAGTTACTTTTAATTTCTCTTCAAAGGTGTAGGATTCGGTATCTAATTTTTTAAAAAGAAATGGGGTACTTAAAACGCGTCGGGACGTTTTTCATATATGTTGCCGTTTTTTTTGCTATTTTGGCCTTTGTACCAGGTATCCCACCGAATATACAATTTTCTGAATACAGGTATGTAAATTCGTCTTTTTTTCTTTTAAATCCATTCCATTATATTCCGTTATTGTGTGTTCATATGAAACTTGTTTCTTGGATTTCTATAGTGTAGTTCCATCTAAGGCAGTAAATCCAGGTTTAGCAATCAACGACAGGCTAAATTCAGCTGAGAGGTTATTTGAAGGGAGGTTGAAGGGACCTGAGTGTTTTGACAGTTATAATGGTGAATTGTATACTGGATTACATTTTGGTCATGTCGTAAAAATTGTGGGAGATGAGATTGTTCCTATTGTCAAGTTTGGAAAACCTTGTAGTAAGTTCATTTGAAGATGTTACGTTTGACAAAATCTTCAAAGCATTGAATTTATGTTTATAACTTTCTATAACTAGATGGTATATGGGAAGAAAGCAAGTGTGGAAGACCACTTGGCTTACGATTTGATAAGAAAGGAACTCTGTATGTGGCGGATGCCTATTATGGAATATTTAAAGTTGACGTAAAAACTGGCAAATATGAAACAGTTGTCGATGCTTCTGAAGAAATCAAAGGAAAGCGGCCAAGAGTTTTTAATAGTTTGGATGTGGCAAGTAATGGGGATATATACTGGACTGATTCAAGTTATAATTTTGGAATTGAAGATGGATTATTTGCAATACTAGATAATCCAACTGGAAGGTAAAGATAATCATATATTTACTTCTGACAAGCTAAAGGGTAATATGTCTAAACATTAATGTTAATACATTGCACTGTTTCAGACTGATTCGTTACAATGCTGCGACAAAGAAGAATGAAGTGCTTTTACATGATTTGGTATTTGCTAATGGCATTCGTCTCAGTTCAGATGAAAGTTATCTCGTTGTAGTAGAATCTATCGCATCACGTATTATTCGATACAATTTGAAGGGACCCAAGGCTAACCAGGCTGAAGTGTTTATTGAAGGTATTCCAGGAGTGCCTGACAATATCTACCATGATGGTCAAGGTGGATTCCTAGTACCACTTATTGATTCCTCGGATGCTGAACATCCACAATTAATAAAATCTTTAATTCCTCATCCGAACATTCGGAAGGTGATAGTCAGATTGTTGACACTGATAGAGAAACCGTTCAAAATGTTAGACGAAGTTTATCCCAACGAGTTTCTAAAGAAAATTGTACACGGGATAGGTTCTTTTGAATATACGCCGATTTTTAACGACTTGGTAACCATTCTTAGAATCGATGCAAATGGAAAAATCATAGACGCAGCGTATTGCACGTCGGGCAAAATTCGTGGAATTAGTGCGACGTTTATTCATGATAATTATCTATGGATTGGTTCTCCAATGGCTGAATACTTGGCAAGAATTCCACTTAAAGATGCTTTCCCAAGTCTAGCTGTTACTGCAAAGAAGGTCAAAGCTTCTGAATCAACTGCTCCAGCTGCGCCACATACGACTGCTAAACCAGCTACTACCACACCAGCACCGACAACACCTAAGCCGACCACTACTACCCCTAAGCCAACTACTACTACTACCCCTCAGCCAAGTACTACTACTCCTAAACCAACTACTACTACTCCTAAACCAACTACTACTACCCCTCAGCCAAGTACTACTACTCCTAAACCAACTACTACTAAGCCAATTACTACCACTTCTAAACCAACTACTACTACAACAACCCCTAAACCAAAAACTACAACTCCAGCACCAGCTACAACTTCAAAACCAGACACAACAACAACAACAACGACTCCTAAGCCAAGGACTACGACTCCCACGACTGCAAAACCATCTACTACCCAACTACCAAAAGCAACAACTACGACTTCTAAACCGGCTGATACAACAAAGCCTACGTCAAAGACTGTCAAACCTGCAGAAGCTCCTGAAACAAAATCTCAAACGCAGAAACCTGATAAAGTTAAGTCATCTACTGGTACGCAATAGGCAGCTTTTCCGAAACACACCACAAGTAGCAATAATCTTGCTAGTATTTTTACGAAACCGTAAAGCATTCCATTTTCGTTTATTTCCATTGACTTACTATACGCGGATTCGAGAGTGGTAATCTCCTTGGAGGACGTTTATTTGTTTGACTTGAAAGTATTTCCTTATTTTGTTAATGGGAATACGATACGACTGAGTTGTCATGCTATTTTTGGTTTAAATGGAAATATTTAATGTTATACAAATGTTTTATTTAATATCCAATGTTTCTTCAATTGTTCTATTTTTATTTGTTTATGTTAACGGGATATAGGTACAGCTTTTAATTGAAGATGCTCTGTTTTTTTTTCTTATCTTTTTATAATAAGCTGCTTCATTTCTATATGAGCCACTCAGTGCACACATCGATTAACTCCACTTTTTGAAAAATCTTAAATTTAAGTGTCAAAGCACTTGGTATAGTCATAACTTTTTATATTTATAATGACTTTCCTGAATAATAAAGATTAGCACCATTAAACGGCACAATTTTTTTGGCCATTGAATAATAAGTAATTTACAATATACGTTACTTCATCGCATTTCTCAACTTTTTGTTTTATGGAGTTAATCGATGTGTGCACTGAACGGCTCATATGATAGTAATTAGTTATATAATCCTTTCCTTTTTCACAGACTTATCAAAATGTAAAAATTCCAAGAAATATTTAATAGAAATAATGTGGTTTATGTTTGTACATATGAAAAAAGGTACGACTGTTCAACTTTTCTACTCAACATACATTAAATATTTTATTGATTTTTACTTTATCTTGTTATATCGTATTACTATATTATGATAGATTTGGAATATCACATTTGCTACAATTCATAGGACGAATTCAGAAATAAAGATGTTGCGTTTTATAGACTAAAAATGTTATTTCGCTATGATTGATATGTTTATCTAAAACAAGCATGGCAGGCTTAATCAATATACGTAAATTTTTCAGGGTGGTATTAAAATATCATGCATATATTATTTCATTTGTCCTATTAGTTATAACAATGGATATATCCATTGGGTAATCATTATTCTAATGTAATTGTTACTCATTATCAACGGTGGTTCGAATTTTCAATAGGAATCAGATAGGGGACCACAATTAGTGATCTGTAAAGGTTGATGAGAAAATGGCGATTAAAAATACAAATAATTTTTATATATAAACTTTATTTAATCCTATATCATTTGACGGGCATACATCGCATTCTCTCGTGATCACTTGCACTGCGTATCATTTGTTTTCAGCCACACGAATAACAAAAAAATACCGTATTTCACCTTGCATGCTCTGAATTCTTTGTACAAGAGGCACATTTTGCAAGTGGGCAAATATTCATGTTAGCGGTAAATACCGCAATCATCGAAGCCTGTTCGATATAAGATAATGGCGCGTATCAAAATATTTTCATGAATTGAAGAAATATTTTCAGTGTATGAAAAACATGCCAAAATTAAAATAAGACGAAGGATTAATGAGTTGGTTCAATTAAGCTCAATATTCACTGAATAGTAAACTATGAATAGAAGCAATCACAGTGAAGGAAATAGTCAACAAGTGATTAGTACTGATTCAAATATTAAATTGCTTGACAATGACAGTAGGCAATATGGAACTCAATTTTTGATTGACTGCATTTTTTATCTGCCATATTAAGGTTGGCTGTTTTATGAATTGCCAGTATCCATTTCTTCGGCGTTGAGCCCATTTTTGAGCAATAAGCAATGACTTCTGGTATGACGAAACTTCCTTGTTCTTCAAAAGATCTGCTGGTAATTGACGCACCGTACCAAACCCCAATGCTACCAATTGTCGACCGATCTGCAGGGACTCCTAATTTCAAACTCATGAAAATTCTATATGCCATTTCCAGGTAATACAGAACTTATGCATTATTGTTAAAAGAGTTAGGGAACTGAGAAAGCTATATAAAAGAAGCCTTGCTATACCTGATCCTTTTGCAAGAGTGCCACTGTGCATTCCAGCCAGTTCTTGTCTTTTAATAATGGTGTGAATACAACTTCGTTATTATTGACAACTGTCTGCAGCCAACTGATTCCTATAAATTTATTGTATTTGTAATTAATGATATGTTATCTAACATAATATTGTAAATAATACTTGCCATTACTATTTACGTCAACTCCTGCAATTTTTACTGGTAACTGTTTACTTTTTCCTAATCGAGGTAGAGGAATCAATGGTTTGTGATCAACCATAATAAGAGGTCCATTGTCAATTTGTATTTGTACCACCTTACCCTTCAGAGGCACTTTTGATTTGAGGAAGTATTGTGGCACATCAAAGGGTTTTGTAAACTTAGCAAACTGTAAATCAACAATTTTACTTTTAGGAATCTTCTAAACAATTATACAATATTAAAATATAGACTTACAGGTCTTATTTTATAAAGTGCGGTTAGCAATCCAATGCTGGCTACTCCATAAGTCATAATCTGAGAAAAATTGCATTATGGAGTAAAAATTAGTCTTTACAATACACAGGTGTCTGTTAAATCTTCAACAAAATCTTCGAGTACCTCGACTCCACGGGTATTACCCTCCATGTAAAGAGCAAAGCGCTCAAAAATATTCGTCATTTTCTCACTGCTCATTTTTTTATTAGTTTGCTTTACGTTTTAGTCGATCGAATCTTCTTCGTAACGTCGTCGTGTACCGTGTCGTAACGTTTTCACCAGTTTTTACTTTCGTCCTATCTAAAATAAGATCTTACGCTACTGGATTGATACGTGCTGTCGCGTTCGACCATTTTTGTGTGTATCCAACACAGTGTTACCATTTTCTAAAAACGATGGATCAAACTCCAAAAGTCTTAAGAAATTGAACCAACATGCTAACGTGTTTATTCCTTTAATCATAAATTAAATATTAACCATATAACAGAAAACAACCATGACCAAATACATTGCCCACAAAAGGATCAACAAGAAATTGATAAAGTTGTGCTCCAAAAATTATGCAATTGATGAATTGGAGTTCATAAGATTTTCAATTATTCTTATTATATGTCTAGATTAAGTTATAATTTCAATAAAGGACTTATTAAATCAATATTTTTATCCTAGCAACCATTGTGCCATATATATCAGGTTAACCGTAGTATAAAAGCTTCAAAAGAACTTCGTGCAAAAATTTCCAAACATGTGTCTCTGTCTTGGACCCCCAAAATCTGGTAAGACTTTTCTCCTCAAACGTTTACATGGAGACAGCATTGACGTTGCAACTCCTACTGTACCCACAAACGGAATGAATCTCTTCACAATCAAAAATTCTGACGGTCATTTCGACATGATCGTGAGAGAGCTTGGTGGCAGCATGGCACCAATTTGGAAGCATTACTTCGACAGGGTAGTAAACGATTTAATAACACAAAATTCAAATATTTCGCAAACCAACAATGAGTTCTAAATGTCCTAAAATATAAATATATCAAACAGGTGGGCAAAATTATCTACGTAATCGATGCCAGCAATCTCTGTCAGATTAGTGCTGCTGGTGTTTTATTGTACTCATTACTGGTTGAACCGCGACTTCAGAATGTGAAAATTGCCTTGGTTCTCAACAAAATGGACCTTTCCTATCGGCAAATGAGAAACGAAGCTCTGTTAATGCTACATTTTACTCGTTTGCAAAAAGAGATCCCGCAGAAGATACGTATTATCGAGACGAGCGGAATGACTGGCGAAGGCGTTGAGGAATTACGCGAATGGATGTTCGATCCGGATACTCTGAAAGCAGCAACAATTGCTGCCGCCAACAAGTAGTACAAAACTTCAAACCGTTTATGTGAAACGTTAAATAAGCTTCCTTCATTGATACTTCGCTTTATTTACACTTCAACTTATAACTGTATAATATATATAGTTACTACAGATCGGAGTTCAAACGCATCTTGGACAGAGATAATGCTTCATATGCAAGGACGTTGTTACATATGGTTACTGAATTTGTTATACTCATTCATATTAAAAAAGAAAACGGGTAACGCACGATGATGAAGGTGTGAGTTACATGTGATCATGAAAAACAAAGTGAACATTTTTATTTTAACACTGCGCCAATGTTTTAGAATCAATAATACTTTTGTTAAGTATTATCGTTTTTCGTGACCAAGTAAGCTAGTCGAATGTTTAAATTTTAATACTAGTTTCCAATAATTTGACGTTCTTGCTATTTGTATAAAACTCTGGAACATTTTCATCTCAAATCTCCAAGGAGGACGATCGAATCGTTAGGAATTTTAAAGGAACCCTCCCTTCTTTGTACAGGGATGTATTGTTCGCCACTGCGCATTCATTGACAACTTTATCATCCTGTTTTTGTTAATAAATCATTGTAATTGTAATCATTCTAAATCATTTGCTCACTCACATCCACACACGCATCCGTAATCAGACGTACATATATTAACAATTCCTTGCTTTCTCTCGCAGTCTCTATTCTACCATGTTAATCGTAGAATTTAAAATTCACATAAAAACTATTCTTTCTCAGCCTAATGTATCCTTGTCAAATCTTCAACGATTTTTACCAAATCGTCTACCGTGGCTTCTTTTTTCATACCGCTGCCGTCGTCAATCTGAAATAATAATTGACATTTTTATATGTGGACTCAAAGAAGACAATCCTGTTAGTCTTACCAAAAGTCCAGCAGCAACCTCTGTCATTTTATCATGACTCAAGTCTAGAAAACTCTCAATCAAATCTCCATCTATGAATCCTTCGCATTGTTCGATTTTTAAATCAGTATTGAAGCTCCTCCAGAAATTGTGCTCAATCTTTCCTACGCTTTTAATAACGGAAGTTAGCCTGTCTTCGAGGTTGCGCAGGAACTCATAAAAACCGGATGGAATTTGCGTAACCAGGCCAATGGCACCACCAACTGTTCCAAATAAAACGCAACCCTGGGTTGGTGTACTTGATTCACCCAGGTGTTGCATCACCAACGATCCATGCCTGAAGACGTTTACCATGTCTCCTAAGTGAAACTGTCCAACTTCCTGCATTTGTTGTCTTTCTTCCTCCGACGTAGCAGCACTGTAAAGAAGTATATGTATTGGTTGATGATAAATGTAAAGATTTATTAAAATCTTGGCTTGTTTAAATACTAACCTATCTTTCTGACAGACAAACAAATTGAAACAATTCTCGGCACCCAGGAAGGTGTCATCATCAAGGATCTCTATAGCTGTCATCCAGTTAGGATTGTAATCTCTTGCTATCTCTTCAAAGCTACCTTCCATGGTTTTGTATTGTAAGAGGGTCTGTGATCTCATGAGATCACCAACTAGTACGAAGTCCCCTTTGGTTTTAAGAAACAGTGCAATTATGTTATTGAAATGGCTGCACTCGAGCCGAAGCTCCTTCTCTGCAGTCCATTCAAAGAGACGTACTGTACTGTTAATGCTGGCAAGTAGTTTCCCATTAAATTCAACCAGCGAATAACATGCACCCTTGATCTCCTTCTCAGCTATTTGGGTAAGTTTTCCGTCTGCCCAGTGATATAATAGGATTCTACCCATTTTCGACTCGGTTTCATCTGGATTGACGAGAGCTGTACCAACAACAAAGTATGAAGTAGGATCTTCTCCTAGTTTTGTTGAGATCAAGGACATGGCGTACTCAGAAGGCATCAGGGTATGAGCATGGAGTACTTCAAAGGTGTGTTGATCAATTATTAAGAGGTTATGAACCTCAATTTCTTGGCCAATGTCACTGGTTGTATGTCCTGGTTTACTATGCGAAGAGATGTGACTACTGCTGGAAGTTGAAGCTGCTTGTGTTGAAGCAGATGGTCTGACAATACTGACACCACTAGTCTCCTGCATGTCAATGCGCATTGTTATTACTCCAAATGTCTGAGAACTCTCCTGATAAGCTATTCGCCGTGGAGATTCACCAAGTGGTACCGTCCTAATGTGGAGTTTCTGTATTTCGTCAATTGTTCCAATAGTGACAGTACTATCCGTTGCCAGTGCGAGACTGTCAGGATATGATTCCGCATTTAGGGAACACATGTGATTCACTTCCTTAAGATTGACATTACTAAATACAAGCTTATGATTAGAAGAATATATAACAGTAGGTCTGTCGGAGCAAGCAAAGACATTTGTTGTGGAGAGTGATCTAAAGGTACGTAGTACGGTAGGTTGAGTTCCAAGGGTAACTTTTTTCTTGTCGGAAAGTAAACCATTCTGTTTGTGAAGTGTAAAGTAGTACATACTCCCGTCCCCAAGAGCACAGAGCAAATAAGTGTTCCCTTCGAAACAAGTCATCAGAATAGACCTCGGTATTATCTCACCACCTAGTAATTCCTTGTTAATTTCCTCCAGAGCCGGCAGAGTCAATATTCTTACAGATATGTCTGTCCAAAGGCCGACGGCGACGATGTGTGCTTCGCTATTACCATCCAACGGCGAAATATCAAGACATGCAACCTCGTGCTGAAGAGTCGTAAATCCTTTGGGTACTATTTTACCATTACTTATTTCCATGTAGAAGAGGTCGTTTCCAGTTGCGCAAAGTACCTGGGTACCATTACATGCTACAACACTGATCGTCCTTTTGTTTTCCGGTTGCCATTCCGATACGACAGTCGAGGTTTCATTTGAAATAAGTCTAGCAGACGTGGGTGTGATTTGTATGAATAGATCATTTGTAACATTTCCAGTATGGAAGGTTTGTTCATCAGCTACAAATCCAGGTATATCAGTCTCCTCAACCTCTTCTCCATTGAGTGTCAAGATTCTCGTTTGTCCGACGAACGACAGCACCAGGGTATTGTCAAAATTACCACCACCTACTTTTAGCGCCCACATACCCTTGATACCAGGTAAATCGATACTAGCATGTTCCTGGATACCAATGCCATTTCTTATGATCCTCAATGAACCCTCTTTGAATGCTCCAGAGCAGGTAACCATCTGACCCTGACCTTGCCGCTCTAAGTCCACAACGGCCATGTCGACTATGGGTGCTAGATTTGTGAAGGTTTCCATGGGTACACAATAGGAACCATTTTCGTCCGCTTTTGTATTTAGTTTAATCAATTGAGAATCACCCAGTCGACTACCAATGAATATAACACCGTTATCCAAGTATGTAATACATTCTGGAATACTAACTTCACCCAAAAGTTCAACCTTCAGGTCTTTTACTACCATAGAACCATCTGCCTTCTTCTCCTGTTCCAGAAATAGCATGAACAAATGGCCTGCCATATCTCCTAAGAGATATCGAAGCCCCTGGTTGTCAACTTTAGCATAACATGTAATAGTACTCTGCTTAATAATAGGAGGAACAACCGCGACATAGGTGGTACCATCGTGGTACAAAATACTCTCTTGTCCTATGATGATTGCGCCACAAATTGGCGAAGGCACTGGAATTACCATCATGGCTTCACGTTCAACATTATCCTGCCTCCACGGAATTTTGACAAATTCTTTATCTCTCAAGGAGATTTCATGTGTCTTGACATGTCTCCCATTAATATCTTGATGAATTAGTATTAGCGTTGGATTAGCACATCCGTGAAGAAAGTTCACATCCTGTACTTGTTGTTCATCCATTCTGATTGAGGAGGCCTTTAATTCAGGATTATCCTTATCCAATGGAATTATCTTGAAGAGACCATCGTACAGTCTGAGACCAATAACACGTGCCTTGGGATCAATGACTGCTTTAATGCCTGTTTCAGATGCTTTTCCAATGCGATCTGCCACATTTCCATGTGCCTTTGTTATAATTTCAATATCTTCTCCTTCACCGATACACTCCAAAATCATTGCATTATAGCGCGTGGTTAAAAGAAAGAGCAGGTCTTTCTTTTCGTGCTGTAAAGCATAAACAAAAACCTTTAATCGACTATAAAAAGAATGAAGCACATAATTCAACCACTTGTCAATCAAGCAAAATAATGGAAGAGAATGTGTACCTAATGAAAATAAATTGATGCTGATACTTTAAGTGAAATAGAATATTTTCTAAAGAGTTTAGATGACTGTCAATTTTTTAAGGATAACAAATGAGAAATGGCGCTATCTAAGATATGGTATATCCACAGATAACCTTACCGGTGGTCTGAAGAATTTGACTACTGCAATCTTTCCATAAATGCCAACTTCCTTAAGCGGTCTAAGTCCCTCGGGTGTAACAAGATAAATCTCAAGGCGCATATTTTTCGCCAAAATTAGATTGAGATCAGAAGGTGATGTGAAGTTACCTTCATATGGAAAAAGAAGAAGCGTGTTGAAAAATCATCACAATAAAGTTTACAGGGAATTCATAAAGTTTCCTGTATATCTTACCGGTTACACATGCAGTGACTGCTGTAGGCTTGTGGGCCGTCACTACATAGTGATGGGCCATGGCTTTCATAATATCTTTTGTTAACGTAACGCTTGAAAATCTCTTTAAAGAACGTTCCTGCTCACTGTCCCTCAAATACTTTTCCAAACCCTGCGTGTTTTTCAATTTCTCGCGTCCCGAAGTTAGCAACGCTCTGAATGTTCTCAAGAAAGAACGAGAACTCGCAACTTTTGTCGCGCCAACTATTCATGATCATAGACGCATGAGAGACATCATGATGAACTCGAAACTTCATAAGTGAAAGTAATTACCTGCGGAATACGTTATACGGTAATCACAACCTCACCTGCCGGATACGCTTTGATATAAAAGGTGTAGAAGAAAACAATTTCGAAGAAAACTTTATTTACCTTTCCTTGAAATTTAAACTTTTTTTCCACCACTGCGCAACTCTAATCCAAGCTATCTGAAAATAGTCACCACCAATGTACTTGATTTCCTGTGGGATAACTGTAAATTTAAACGTCTGATAAAAAATCAAATTCATTTTAAATAGCGTTTCTCTCTATCTCTCTAAATATTACTTTTCAAACAAACGTCCACTTAAAAAATCTTATCTGATAAATTCCTACATGAAATAAGTGTTAAATGTACAGCCGACATGCGCACATATGTGAAATTAGTATACGATGGACGTATAACACTATTTATTACGTTTTATCATGCAATCATACAAGGTTTTAGGTATCACAATGAATAATGATTAAAATCAATGGGATTTATTGAACGTTTGCTCGAAAACTATACATTATAATAGTGTTAATGCATTCGTAAAAGTGGGTACTCACACAAGGAATTCAAAATCCGTCGAGAACATTCACTTACGAACGATCGCCACGTTGACCAAATTCGCGCAGAACTACTGGAGGATTGATGATAATAAAAACAACAGGACTTTCTTCAATGGAAGTAGCATTAACTACATAGGATTACGCCGGAATAATTCCCCAAAGTGTCTTTTATTGTATGTTAGTTGTCATCACGTTGAGCATCCACGTGGCTCCATTATGAAAATCTGAAAACGTCCGACAGTGTCGTTACGATTTCATTAACCTTTTGGTTTACGTTAAAAAAACGAATAGTAAAACATTAATAATATCTCATAATCCCGATTCTTAATTTCATATTTTTCATCTCTCTCGTCTCCATCGATTTATCCTTAATATCTAATATCGGTCTACTCACTTCCTCTTATATTCATCCTATCCCTTGTGTTCCGTTCAATCGCATAAAATAACGTGTGGTGCGTGTACAAATACACTGTTTGTAAATAGAAAAAATCTTTTATTCAAAATCAAATATTTCCTTCGACTTTTCGATTAAGAGGAGCACATACATTTCATACATATCGGCCGCTTCGTTTCGCGCTTTATTCTCACTGTCAAACGATAATTCTCTTTCCATTTCATTTAGCCATCAATTCTCTACGAGGATAAACGACGTGGAATAAATTAAAAGAAAAATGACGGTATCGTATGATTTTTAAAGATCTACAATCAAAGACCTTTGACGACTACCGTCAGGCCTGTCGCAATGTAGAAAAAAAAAGAAACACTTTAAGAATAAAAGACAGTTCAACGACACTGTATCCGACAGATGGGAATTCATTTACGAAAAGAAAATGTAGATATGATAAATTCGTATGACTATTGAGAATCTGCTAATCCGGAAGCTAAGATTTTTGTGTAATTTTTGTGCCCGTTTGACTCTCCTCTGGCTCAGATAAGCCACGCAGTAATAAAAATGAGACTTTAATTATGCACGTGTGTGCTTTCTCACGCATACTACCACCCTCCCCACACACACACGCATACTTTCTTTCTCTCTCTCTCCCTCCTTTCTACGCGGCATGTAGTACAAGATGCAGAATAAGAACGAATTGCAATAATTATTAGAAGCGCAAGAAAAGCATTTCGCAGCGGCATTTTCTCTCGTATACTGCGTCAGGCAGAACAGTGCACAGTTCTAAGAGCATATACTAATTAGCAGTGGTTCAAGAGATTGCCTTAAAATCTAGGTATAAGCATAAAAGAAAAGTACAAAGAATATACATACAACAAAGAGGAGGGTGAACTTTAGACACACGTTCAGGCACATTGCACGAGACGGCGAACCTTCCTAACCGTGTATTTTTGTCATTAGAGGAAAAAATGAATTGGATATAATGATATTACGGTAATGTCCAGGAAAGAATTCGACTTATTTATAGCACTGTCAAAGAGGATTTGACATGTCGCGCTTTCATCTAACGACATACAGAAAGTATGTTCAGAAGAGTAAATAAAGTCAGTCTATGTACTTCATCCAACGATAGAAACTCAATGCGAGTTAATTTGACGACGCCTCATCGAGGGACGAGCCACAACGCAAAAGACATCTTTGAAATTGAATTCGCGTTTATATAGCAAAAGGGATTGTTCTCTTTTCATATTTCTCTCTTTTTCTCTCTCTCATTCTATGTCTTTATCCGAACGCGAATTTATCAAAGTCTTTGGTAAAAGTCCTATGCGAAATAAATGGCGGCCTTGTCGTAGCATAACAACAATGTGCGAGCCCTCTTTTTATATCTCTCTCCCGTATTACATGCCGCGGCGATAAAAGCACTCCTCGAAAGCATCTGACTAACTGTTCAAAAGTAGTCTTAAGTGTTCTTCAATTGTAACTGCACGATCACTTGGAGATTAACGATCGTCTTCTCCAGCATCTCGAGCCAAGAGACGTTAGTCAGGCTACAGCGCAGTTGATTTGCGCAACTTCCTGTAGTCGTAGCTGCGACGAGCGTCGGGGATATCGACGCGGTGCCGCTCGCGTCCATCGCCTTCGTCGCCTTGATACCATCTTCAGCTTCTTCGCCAGCTGATTCAGTTGACTTCGAGTCACTCTTCTCACCCTTCGTCTTCTCTTCTATTTCCATTTGAGAGCATTGCTTCTCCTCCTCGGATTCCTCAGGCTGTGGTAATAAATTCTTCTCGTCTTGCTCGATTTCTTCCGTGGTATTGAACTTTCGTTTCTTTGAAGGCGCTTCTATTTCCTGCTGAGAAGATTCCTTCAGTCTAGCGGTTCTTGTCCGAGAGAGGAGAGTATCTAGAGCTGCTTGAAGAGTTGCAGGTGGCTTCAATCGTGTACCGCTGCTGTAGACAAGGGTCAGGGCTCTTAGATTACCCGTTAACCTATGAGCACCGGCTTGAATGTCCACGACGTCTACCATGCCGGTTAACGAGTTCACAAGGTTGTCAATTAACGAGCACGTCTGTTCCGTGAGGACGTGACTCGCCAACTTGGGGAAGAATGTCTTGAGAAAGGCGTGAATTGCAGGAACACCTAAAGACGACCTCTCGTCCAAGAGTACGGCGTCGACATAATCTACTGTGTACGAAGAGCACAGTAGGGCAGCTATGTGTTTCCTATCGATGTGCGTAGCAGCGTGAACATCCAACCAGAGTCTTGGAAACAGCGCCAGATGTAAAGGGACGCCTGTATAATTACAATTACGTAATATTATACATAATCAATAATTAACGAATTATGATTATTCAATAAATATAAAGCCTATTAATGATAATCACCTTCAAACCCTAGCATGGCACTTAGGTTGACCAGCGTGTCAGTCATACAATCGTTATTGATAGCTAATCGACACATGACGTCTATTAATTCGTGATAAGGCAAATAAAATTCAAGAAGAGCACTATCGTACTCGGGGTCAATGCCCTTCGATGCTTCCAGTTGAGAATGTGGAACAGCCATCTGTACCATAGGTCTGGCAGGTCTGGAAGCCATTTTCCCTGGAGGCGTAGAACGTCTTGGGAGATATGGTCCAGGTGGAACGGCCGCGTGAGATTCTTGAAGAGCCGCGTGGCAGTGTGATAATAACGGCGCTAAGATGAGTATCGCCTCGGCAGGTACTAGCATCACCAGTTCCTTTAAGAGGTCTATAGCCAAATTGCGCATATCCGGTGGGTTATAGGTGTTCAAGAGAGTTGCTAATTTACGTAAGACATCCGGCCATTCTTTGCACTGGGCCAGAATGTTCCTAGCGTCTGGACCATCTCGAGCTGTTCTAATACAGCGCACTAGTTCCACGATAATGGCTATCAATTCTGCTAGGTCTCCTGCTACGTGACACGCAGTCGCTTCATGATACATTATGTGCAACATATGAAATGCCTCTAACGCCATGCTCAAGCCGCCATTGTAGACTACATATAGTCGATCGTCATCTGATTCAATAAGAATTCTGAAAGAAAAATCATACTTGAATACAAATCATCGCACAGAAGATCATAGGGAATCTACTAGGATTACTGTTACCTGAAGGCGGATATAAGGGTGGCCCAACAAGAACGTCCATCTAGTCCTTGCAAATAAGATGAGAGAGTTCCTCTCCTGAAGGATGCAATTTCTGCTTCATCCTCTGCCGTCTGATCAGGGTGTCTTGCAACTAATAGTTGCATCAGTTTAAAGAGCTCGTCGACAGCCTAAAGTAAAACAGAGTTAATAAATTGAACATTGGATATACTACATAGTCGTGTGCATCCTTAAGTTCCAGTATGGAAAACCTACAGTCGAATATTGAGTAGGATGCGGTGTAATATTTTTGAAAGCCCACTGAATGTTCTGATGTCCAGCTAATTGTCTGGTAAATGTACGTGATTGTTGACAGCAAAGTCTCAAGAGGCCATAATATGCCGGTAGCATAACTCTGTTAAAGAGTACGACGTCCTGGTCCTCGTGATCAGCTCTAGTACAGAATAAGTGATTATAGAATCGGCGAGACGTTCCAAAAAAACGTTGGACTAATCACACGATAGGATCTACTCACAGTATGTAATTAAATGCTATATTCTTGGTTATATGTGAATTGTGAAGTATCATTGCTACATTCTCAGGACAGTCCGAGCAGACGTGATACCAAAAGAGCAAAACAGCCTGCTTATTGTGATGAACCGGGATACTCGGTTCTGATAATTTTGGATGGAAAAGTGTCCAAAGATCGTTCAAATATTGTCCGAACTAAAAAAGAATAGTAATATGTATCATAAAGTACGATAAATCTTGCCTTATAGTTTATTTTCATATCAGCAGGATACTCACCATGAGTTTTTCAGTCTTGGAAATGACGCAGTAAGTAAGCAACGCAAAGTAGGCAGTAAGTTTCATCGTACCATGCGTCTGAATGTCTATATAATGTCTCGCAGGTTGCAAGAGCCTCAATAGAGCCGTATATACCTGATGCAATATCAAGGTAGCTTCAGGCGAAAGTTGTAATTCTCTAGAAGAGTTACATCCTAGTCCCAATCTATGTGCACTACGATAACCCTGTCGGAAGTGGGTCGAAGGAACTAAGGATACTAAAAGAAAAGCAGCAGCGGAACGAACTCTCTGATTGGAGTGTTCAAGAAGGAAGTGTTGGAGCCATGTGTCGAGTCCTTGAAGAACCCAAGCATGCGCGAGCTTGCTTCTAGTAACGGCTAAGGCCAACCATTCTAAGGCTCCGTGTGGTGCTACCCTTGCTGCCTCCCAGACACGGCCAAGAACTAATTGTGTCATACAGGGTAATCCACTAGGACCTGAACCTTCGGTGAGTAAGGTCAGGAGCTTGAAGAATGCCTGGCATACATCTGTGTGCTTCGTGATCGCTTGGAATATCATAGTCACAATGTGTACGGCAAGCCTATCATTCCAACGGCAAAGACTCTGAATGAGATTGCGAGTTTGATTTAAGTTTATAACGTCTCTGGTTTGCTGATAAAGGAACGGGAATCCTTTGCCACCGGCAACAGCATTTAGATCGGCTGGTGATAGAGTCAATCTAAAATTTCATAAGAATATTAATGAAATCGTAACTTGAGAGATCATTGTGATCCTTGTTGATATTGTTTTCAACTGACTAACCTGTGATCAGGACCTCTGCTTCGTTCAACGAGGGTAGCTATTAAGGTAATCATTTTATCCAAGGATGCAGGTCTTAATTTCTCCGTAGCCACAGCCAGGACCTCTTCCTCTTCCTCCTCTTCACTGACTGCATCGACAAACTCATGAGTTTTGTGACCTAGGTAAAAGTTCACCATAGTCGATATGGCTTGGACTTGAATCAGGAAAAGAGTCTCCTCTTCTCCCATCTTACTGAACTCATACAGGAAGCTGAAGTATTCGGTGAGGTGTTTAAGGTGCTGCTTAGCATGCTCCATCAGCGATAATAACATTCTGACGAATCTCGTGACACAGGATTGAGTGCCAACGGTACTGAGGTCATTTTCCGGATCGCATACTAGGTAAAGTGGAGCTTGAGTAGCTCGCAATCTCTGTATCACGTGAATACACAGTCTCTGAAACATTTGTCTAACCATCTGATTCGGACATTTGACTAGAATTTGTATTGGCCACCAGGAGTCACCAGCCATTCTCTCCAGGAACCTAGCACAGGCACCTGCAGATCCATTGAATTGTTTTGTCAAAAGTTCAACCCACTGCACCATAGTTGGCTTTTCCTTAGCGTGAATGAAAGTTTCCATAAAAAAGGAAGTTGAAAGTTCTGCAGACATTTCTGTAATATCCGGTTGCATAGACAGAAGCGTCTGTGGGATGTATCCACAAATCTGCCACATGAAACTAAAGTACGTATGCTCAAATATATTCTTGTCCTGCAGGAAATGCATGTTGTCCTGCCATATCCAATCTTCAAGTTCTTTATTCAGTTCCAAAGGTGGTAGCTTATTGGCCATCTGATGTGACTGTAGACTGTGTGTTCTTGTAGGATCCATAAGACTGGATACTGTCGCTTCCTCCTCCTTGGGCTGATCGCCGGGATCAGCGCACCACTCATAGAAGAGCATGTATGCCGAGTTTGTTTTTTCAAAACTGAAGTCCATAAATTTATCAGTAACCGAGTCATAGGTCTTACTAGTCATTTCGCCACCAAAACATTCAGCTGCTATTTGATTAGGGTCAAAAGGCTTGACCTCCGCATCATTGAAGAGGAACCATTTGTCCTTGTTAGGTGAAGTGCGGTCCCTAATGAAGCTGTAGTAATGTCCGCCATCAGCTGTTCCTGTATGCACTGTCACTCCAATTAAATCATACTGATAATGCTCCATTTCTTCTCTGTCGTCCATTGAAAAGCTACGGGAACTCGAAGTACCTTGAGAACCTTCTCCTTCAGACTTCCTCCTCTCCGAGGCTTTCTTCTCTTCTTGGTAATGTTGAGGCATTAATTTCTTCTCGACGTAGCCAGACATATCGAGTCGCAATGGGAAACTAAAGTGCGTGTTAACTTTCTCCTTGAGCATGGTCACCATATTAAAAGTATATCGCATTGTGTTGAAGCATAAAATATGTGGCAGTTTTTTAAAGCAAGCCCGCTTCTCGGCCCTGGCTTTCTTACCACACTGTGAACAGGTGTACATGTTATCGCCTTCCAGGGTATCCTTGACGGTAACTTCATCAAGACTTTCGTACAAATTGCGCATGTCGGCCACTTGACAACGCACCGTGTAAAATTCCTCCAGGGTTCTACTGACGTGTTCGCAATCTAATGACACGACGTTGTTTGATATTACACCGCAGAAGAGGGTCTTCACGAGATTCTTCAGGTCACTCGTCATCTCTTCGAGTTTGGACACTAGGTCGATGAAGAATTCAGCCATGTCCTTCTGTTCGCCAGTATTCAAAGGTTCGTGGTCCATTGTGTATACACGACAAAAGCTTCGTGGATTGTAAGCTTTCCTCTCGGATTCCAGGAGGTAGGCGAACATCCTCTGGAGCTCACGTAATGTCAGCTGATGCTTATTCGCACCGTTGCAGTCTGCACCCAGGATTGAGATTCGCGCTTGGGGCATCATGTAAAGATGTTGCATGCAACTAGCCATGTAGCATGTTGCACCAAGATTTGTGAGGCCGACATAACCACAATCAGAGCGACCATCTTCGTGAGGCCAGTAATCCCAGGGATAAGGAGAATGTGGACCGGGTCTGTGCTGAGACAATAGCTTCTCGTGCAGAATCCTATAGTTATCAGGAGCAGATTTAACCAGCTCGACAAGAAGATCAAATGCAGCTGATCTGGATACTTGACTCTTACACTTTGGAACATGTTTCATTCTTGGGTTTGGCAGTGCAAAGAGAAAATCGAAGACCTCCAGAAGAAGATTCTGACCGATCTTGCTCTGCTTACAAGGAGGATTATGCGTCATAATGTTACATGTTAAATTAAGCAATCCAACAAGTCCATCATCTTCAACGGTATTATGTCGTGTCTCCAAGTGTTGTCTGCTCAGCACAGATTCTATTACTCTAATGGCAAGTGCTTCAAGGTCTATCGTAGACCCTGAGGCCTCTTCTAAGCCTTCCTTGATCACGTCTTCAGGAAGAGAATCAACGAGTCGACATACAAGCCAAAAGTAATCTCGACAAGCTGGTCCATAAGGTTCTTTACCTTCTTCTAGTGCTGGATGTAGATGTAACGGAAGGTCAGGTTTATGATGCGAAGGTTGCATAGCTTCAGCGACGACGAGATCCTCCAGGAGAGTATTGAGCATTGGTACGATCAAGCTTGAAGTATCAGAGGAAGGATCATCGGGTCCAGTACTTCCTAGACATAGTCTGTAAAGTGCAGTACAGACTTCTCTTCGGACTGCTGGTTCTGGATCCTCCAGGACAAGTCTGCGAAGCCAAGTTTTTCCAAAGGGTTCCGAAGATGAGAAAAGAGATTGTCTAGCAGCCAGGTCGCTATGGACCCAACAAACAAGAAGCGCCATGGCATAGTGTATCACCTGTGACCTTCCAAAGAGGCCAGTCTTATAATGATTTGGATCTCGTGGCAGCGAAGCCTTATTCAAAATACTGGTGATTCGAGGCATAACAGTGTCTACATCCATCATGGCGAGCATCGCTTCACTCAGCCGCGGAACCAGAAGCTTATCAGCTTTATTCCTCTTCCTTTCTTCCTTAACAACACCTAGGTGGCAGAGTTGTTTCAAAAGACTAGCAAGGCAATCCTGCTGCCATTCACTACCATCTCCACGTTCAAGACAACCTGACATGAAGATGTCAAAGAGATGACGCAGTCCACCATGTTGAACAAAGAGAGTGGACCAGGGTACTTCTTTTTCTTTATCCTCGTGATTGTCTTCAGCATCCCCACCACCTTCGTGAACAGGAGTAATGGTTACGGAACTCGTTGATGTCACCTGAGTAGAGGATGTTCGTCTGCTGAGAGATTCTACTATGTAAAGGGAGTACATAAGCTTTTGGGGACTAGCAGGGTCTAGTAATTCCGGAAGTGATGCTTCGCCAAGCTTTTGGAAGCCCCTGAGCAGCGTAGGGCTGGTGGGAAGTAATGTGAGCGTATCCCATACTCTACGAGAGAGTACCTGAGCCTTTGTATGTGGTATCTCCTGACCACCTTTAACAGTAGTCTTCATGGCACTAAGAGTTCTCATCAGGGTGAATAGCTGCTCAAAGTATTGTGGTCTTAGGAGTAGGAGAGTCGGTAAGGACTCCCTCGGTGGTGGAGGTAGTAGAGACGGCGAATCTATGTCTCGTTTGCCACAACGACTTCCGCTTCCACCACCGGCGCTTCCTCTTCCTGCACCCAGAGAGATGAACACCAGTTGACTATCCTTGAAACCCATCTCTTGAAGAGTCTTCTCATCGAAGTCTATTGTTAGCTCTTGTCCTTGAGTGATCATTCTAATTGGTCCATCACTTAGCAAGGATCCTAAAACTGAGCCTCCGTTGCTACCGGATGTAACAGAGCCCCCGGAAGCCTTCTCTTGATTGTTTTGCCTATCATCCCACCACTTAGCTACTTCAGCACGTAGATCAGCTATGTAATCAGTGCTGAATAAAGTAAAACTAGTCTTCTCAGGAATTCCTGCTGGTTGTACAAGTATCCTCAACTGTTGTCCCTTTTCGGAAGTATTCATAGCTACGTGACTTCCGGCTCCTCTACCTTCCAACGCCCACCTTCGCAAATGGTACGCGTAACGTTTTCGAAAAGCTTCGAGATGCGTCCGCAATAGGAGCAAAGCTCGTTGTATACAGCGTAAACTAGCCTCTTCGTTGTTCTCCAGATCAGCACTTGCAGCTGCCAAGTGAGTCATACATTGCGAAACAAATTCCGCTTCCTGTGTCAATTGTCTTGACATGTAATATCCATTTAAATATTGTATTGCTGCCATACTGACATCTGTACTTTTTGCTCTTAGAGCAATCCTCCAGAGAAAATCCATGCCAACTGTGTCTACATCTCGAAGTGGTCTGTCAAGATGAGCTGCAGCTAACCTCGCCAGATTACACAACTGCTGGAAAAGACTGAGTCCTGTCATACTTATTGTTTCTGGTGGTAGACTTGGTAACTTTCGCATGCAAAGATGCTTCAAGGTGTCCATTCCTAAAGCATGTTGCTCTGTAGATTTAGCCTGGCTTAGTAACCAGCTGAAAAGTTCATCGGCACAGGTAGAATCCTGAGATAAACATTGCCACAAGATATCAACTTGTTCCAAGCTTAATCGAAAGCAGTCAGGTGAGCCCAGAGGAGAGAATATTGAAGATAGAAATTGTAGTCTAACTTGTACTTCGGTTTGATGCGAATACAAATTTGTCCTAGGTCCAGTATTTGCATATGTCTTGAGATTATTGAAGAAGTGCTTCATCATTCCTCGTTCACGATCAGCCCAGGTTGTTATAGTGTGCGCATCCATTGCACCAAATTGCTGAAAACTAGCCAGCAATTTTGGAAGAAGTCTCAAGGACACCACTACAGATCTATTTGCTGCTAAATTTTCTAAACAGCCTTCGATGAACTTCATGGGAATTAACCTATCGATATTGAAACAGAGAAGATTGCACAATGCCTTTTCTGCTTCGAGAGCTAATCCTTCGCTGAGTTGACCAATTTTCTCATCTTGAAGAAGGTCCCATAGTAAGGTGTTTCCTGGCTTACAGACAGTTTCTAGATTGAATTGAGACGTAAGTCTAGCCACTGTCTGTCTAATACTTCTGACCTGTGGAGGTCGACATACTGACCTCCTGATAGTCATTGCAGGGTGTGAATGATGAGAATGATAAGTCTGCATCTGTATGGCGGTAAGATGACGTGCTGCTAATTGAGCTAACTCTTCCTCACAGCCACTTTCCTCTCCGTCGAAGTCTGCCATGTTCTTTTCACTTTTATTTGATATTCTGCTGCTATAGGAGCCTTCCTCGTCGGAGAGCATCTCGTCGAGAACAGATGGTAAGAATGGTGGTCTGCTTACGTGTGCTAACCCGGCAAACTCAGACATAACAGTACCGGTACTTTCAGCAGTCGCCAGGACGCCCGCTGTGACGTCACTGTCATCCTCATCATGAGAACTGTCTGCAGAATCTGGAGTGCGCTCGACGTTGTGCCCGACGAGAGAGGTGTATTTACTCTTGCTAGCTCTTCTCAAGAGGGCGGCTGTTGTAGGAACCTGCTGATCACTAGGTTCCATGGCCATTGCTTGCTGTTTTACTTGATCCAAGGTGTCTACTATTTTCTGAGCTTCAAAACTAGTGTCAAGAGCTACAGGTTCTAGGATGTTCTCGGATACGTTTTCAGGTCTGTTTTTTTTGTCGTTTGGTAATTCCTTTAGCTTGCCTTTGCCGTCCTCTCTCACTAAGTTATTCAGGGTTTTCTCACTAGAGACAGGCGAACGTTTTTGAGGCTTTTTTCGTTTTCTCAGGACTTTCCGCTTCTTCTTCTCTCGCGCCACTGGTTCCTCAGTGTTCGACTTCTCCGTATCCGCTTCCGCATCGGAACAGCTTTGTTGTTTCTCTTTCTCATCAACCGCTTTAGCTTCAGATTTTGATTCGGGTTTTATCGTCCCAGGCTCCTCCATACATTTTCCCGTGGGACTTTTGAGAACGTCGTTATTGCGGTCGGTCTTCACCAAGACGAGATCATCTATCTCGGTGACATTCGACTCGACTGGTATGCTCGCCATACTTTCCACTTTGAAATTTCCTAAACCAAATGAAATTTGCTGCGTTCCTAAGGTAACTTCCCAATAAAAGTATTTGCTAAAAATACAATTAAAGAACTACATACCTTCGCAATCGCTGCTATCTCCTCTCGCCTGCTTCCTGGGTGATGGACCTTCGGACGGAGCTGGACTTGGTTCTTCCTCGTCCTCATCAGGGCTGCTGCCATCCATTCCGCTTGGGTCACTACTACTGCTCCCACCTACGCCAGTAGCTCCTCTGAGGATCTCCCTATTTTTTATAACTAATCCACCAGGATACCCCGAGCCACCCGAAGACCAAATGAACTTGATTAAAGCCGAAGCGAGGAAGAGACTCTGCTCGGTATGATCCTTGGGCTCAAGCTTTCCCAGCAATGAGTACAGATGCAAAACGGGTGTAGGTGCCAGATGTTTAACCAAAGGAGCCAGAAGATCGTATACCGGACGACCGCAGTGTTTTAATTGAGCTGCTTGCCACATGGTGTCCATGTCTGACGGTGTGATTCTACCTTCCATGGCGAGAAAGCTCAGGACAATGTGGCTCTGCTTGATGACCTCAACGTGCAAGTTAGGACCAAATATGTGAGCGATAATGTTGTTCTCCGTCAGCCAAGCAGCCAGGGCGTGGCCCACTTGCTCGACCTCAGCAACGGTTTCGCTGTTGCACAACTCATTGAACGCAGTAATGTGGGCATTTATTTGAGCGACGCCTGCGAGTCGCATAGTCAATGTAGTACTGGTAAAGTATTTAAACGCTAGATCCAATCCATCACGATCGAATGTTGGGAGAACTGCGTCTATTGGATCCTTTACTGCGCTCCACATAAAATCTACGGAAACGCAAGCATAAAGATTCCGATTCCAAGGGAATCGGACTCAATAGATTCTGCAGGAAGAGTAAACGAACCTGCCATTGTCCTGACAGCTGGAGTACGCAGTTCTTTATCTGCCAGCCGACACATATACTTCATAACACGGCTCCGCAGCGGTACGAAGAGTTGAATGACACTGCCATAGTTCAACCATAGCTTTAAGTTGCATATCACTGCAACCATCGAATGAGCAAGACCGACGGGAAGTGTTTCCTCCATATCAAAACAAGCAGACATCAAGTTGAATCCACCTTGATGACAGAATACAGACACTGCACGGATCAACGGTGCCGGAACTTCTGGATCGTGAGGCTCACAATATCCTCCTTCGTCCTGTCAATGAAAGGTTACAGAAAACAGATGAATTAACAAAGCACTACTGCCTGGTCGTATATTATTTTAATAAAAAAAGAATTCTCAAAGCTGTAAGAGGTCAAGGTTTCAAGAGATTTATTGTTACCTTCACAGGAGCTAAAGGATTAATGGCACCGCCATGTTTCATCGCGATGTAAAGTGGAAAATTCAGTAAAAATATCTTCGAGAGAAGATGAAATAACTTTTCTCGATCTTGCAAGGACCAATGGTGACCCTTTGGGGATTCCGGATGTGAACAACTTGTCCCTTCGTCAGCCTTTTTTTCCTCTTCCGTCCCGGACGCGATCGTCGTTTTAGTCGTAGACATCGTAGTCGTTGCTGCTGCCGTTGATTTGTCATTTCCGACATTCTTACTACCATCCTCTCCATCCTCGGATACTTTATCATTTTGCTGGAGAACTTGCAACTGTTGTAATGTACAGAGTACGACACTCTGGGTCAGCCGTGTGAATCGGTCAAAGTTCTTAATGTCCCGATAACAGCACATGCATTGTCTAGAAATTTAAATACGTCAAATCTACAATCATTCTAAAATCAAATGATTATATACTTGAGTACAAAAAACAGTGGCCACAATCATTTCTTTTCTGTTCAAGCCATTGTTCAAGCCTGTGACAATAATTCTCCGAGTAAAATAGACCGAATTAATATTTACCTTTGCACCCACTGATTCACATAATGGAGTATGGTGTCTACATCTCCTATGCAAAGGGCGGCCAGGTCATCTTGCTCCTTCGAGGCACGTTCCTCGTCTGCATTTAATACAAAATTGGCTGAATATTACGATTTTCATATGATTATTAAAGTTACGGAAGACGATAAATAAAAATGATTTCGAAAAATGGTAAAGACGCAGATCAGTACTTTTTGGAAGTTGAAAAAAAAATTCGATGTTTTTTAAGAGCCATTAGTGTATCCATTATAGAGCATCAATTTTTTAAAACGTATCAAGGACAAAGGTTAATACTTGCAACGATTTCAAGCATATTTAAATATTGCATTGTAAAACTTGTCTTAATATAAACATGCACACTTTTTTGGCAAAAATATAATTGAACATTATTCACAATAAAACCAATTTGTGAAACGAAAAGAAAAATTCGAAAAGAAATAGTACAAATAAAAAAAGTGCAACCCACGCTGCTGGATAAAGAATACGACACAAATCGTCCATAGCAAACAGATAATCGATTTTTGTGCGTGTCAAAAATTCAAATATTTAAATTAACATAGTCAGGAACATCAGGATGCATTAAGTGAAAGGCTTTAAGGTTATCCAACGGATACAAATAGTAGAGAAAAATATATGTATATTGCAACAAAAGAAATAATACGCAAGATTCAATAAGTCATAGGAGCTTAAAATAATGTAATCTACAGAGAATGTTGTAATGTCTAGCGATACCACTGTCGTACATAAACGAAGATGATAGACGAGGATAGGTTAAGGTGAATAAAAGTTGTATTTGGCTTACAAGAGAGCAGAAGGTCGTGAAAGTCAGCACACACATCGCACATGGTTCCCCCTGTATCTATCCCCAAAACGCCACGCGATCACCTAAAGTCCATCACTCGATTTCACCACCCCCTGGCATTTCCGATACGAAAATTAACCCCAATATTATCAAACATTTCTTTCTATTATCCCTAACGATCGTCAACAGTTGATCAATCTATCAGTCACCATATTGGTTTATGATGAGGCTGCGTTTATACGCAGCCTACTTCAAGCCACGTCACGCGAAACCTTAGAGATTTCACTTTTTTCCACGTTCCAATGACCCAAGGAGGACTCCAGGCTCGATTGGCACTTATAACGTATTTTCATAACACCCAGGTAACTGCGAGAAGGGACATCCAGAAGTTATGAATATCCACAAGAGCTTTAACGCAGAAGTAAAGTGTCATTTTGACAGAACACAGCTGACTGCCACCATCTTGCCTTTATGTAGCATCAAGCTACTTTCACTCACGGCATCTTCCTCAATCATTCACACGATATTAACGTTTCATGCCTTTGCTTATTGCGACATTGTACGCGAGTACATTGGTCTGCCAGGAATCCGTTATCGCACGACTTTTAAAGACGCCGAGGTCAAAGCTGGAAAGATTTTGTCGGAGCGTCTAAGCTAAAGAATGGTTTACGAGCAACTGGCTTTTGTCCCTAACTGCACGACGCCTTGCGCATCTACGGTCGCGCGTCCCGTAATTCTTCTTCTCAATGTTCTTCATAAGTACTATAGAAGAAGGTAAAGATATTACTTCATCTATGCACATGGTTTAGACTTTATCCTGGCAATGGTTTTACTTGTAGAGACAATATGGATTTGAATTATTGAGACGCTTTGGCAGCTGCATCACGAAGCATTGGTTTTAATGATTCCTGTAGTTCCGTGATCCTAGGAAGGGTGCGGACAGCTGTCAGAAATTTTTTAGGGATGCGTTTATTCGTTTCGAGTATCCTAAGAGTTCTCAGTTTCATGACATTTTTAAGATATAAAATTCAGAATATTTCTAGATGCTGACATTGAACGCGACTTTTCGTTCCACTTTAAAATGTTTTTATTTCGAACTCTTATTCTTTTAGATGTCAGGATTTGCAGTTTTGCTGGGATATAATCAAATGAGATGAACTCCGTGATCATAGTAAATTATTTGACAGATGACAGCTGAGCAGTTTCGGCAGGGTCAGTGGTAGTCAGCATATTGGAACTGATTGTAATATAGAATTTGCGATATCAGAGTCGTTCATGTAGGAACTCGTATATGAATCTTTCGCCCTTATACTTTCTTTAAAAATAGATATACGGTCGACACTGTCACGTTTCCCAAGTGCTAAATATAGACAAACAAATTCTTGTCTTTCCTTCTCCACATCTTAGATTAACAGCTATATCGCTCAATCCAATAGAAATTGAATCCTTTGTAAATGCACATAGTCTTTTTTAAGGATTTTATCAATTCATTGTTAGCTACATTGAGTAATTCAGCTTTGTATATAATTCATCACCCTTAAAATGTTATTAACAAAAACTTAATTTATGATCCTTAATAATATTCTGAATAAGTAGCTCATATTTAACAGTATTTAATTAGTATCAGTTCATTAGACTATAGTCTACCATTTATTTGGTGAAATTATGTTTCATCAATATTGTTTCTAGCAGTTTTGAAGTAACGCCGTACAAAGTGTATAAGAAGTATAAAAAAAGAACGAATTATACTGAAAAATTAATGTAATATAAATCAGAAGGTAATATGATTTTTGATTGATTTTCCAATATAAAGAATAGTTGCAAAGTAGAGATTACTAATAGTATGATAAACATTTAAACTGGATTCGAGTAAAATTATGCAGAATGAATACGGCCCTGAGGGAAACAGTGCCCCCTGCGCCAGCCGTGAAAAGCCCCAATAAACAACAAACCCGTGAGTCCTAAGCTCTCAAGGGAAAAGTAAAATATTGAAGGCTTCCCAAAGTGTTAAACTTAAAAAGTGTAACAAAAGGGAAAATCATCGAAAGTCAAGTGTTGGGACCGTACAAAAAAAGCTATTTATAATGGGCAGTACAGATAAGGCCGTAATCACGGGCTTCATATGCAGGCTCTGCAGCAAGATGAACCGATTCGTGATCCACATATACGGAGAGGAAGGCGAAAGGATGAGACTTGCGGAGAAGATAAACGCATATTTACCAATCACGGTATAAGATTATTCTCAGCTTTATTGAACTTGCGATATTTGTTGAATTTTTATTTGTTTAAGTCAACTCTTGACGCAGTGCTCCACTGTACATCTGTTGTCTGTCATTTTTATAGCCTGAAGTTGCATGAAGTTTGAGTTACATTGTTCAGCAAGGGATAATAGTATCATATAGGATTTTTAATACAAATAATTTATTTATTTTTCATTCAAAATATTCTAATGTGTTTTATGATTGTATGACAGGTAAAGATGAACGATCCTTTGCCAAAGACAGCCTGTTTGCATTGCATTGAACGATTAGAGGCACACCATGAACTGATGGAGCAGTTTATGTTTGCCAGACGAAAATTGACTAATGAAAACAAGGCAACATCAGTAGCATCGTCTTCGAGCACAACTGTCGATGCAACACCTGCCCCAAATTCTCCTCCTTGTTGACCCATTTAGCCATCGAGATGTCTTCGCGCTCATCGACGTTAAATATGTCTCGTTTTCTAAATCTTGTCCCTGTTCTGTCTATTGCCACATTGCCAATACGACTCACGCCGTTTTGTGGTAAAAAGATAGCTGGAAGCTAGTTCTAATTTATGAACATCTATTTTAAAAACATAGATGCAAATTCCATTTTGATAGACATTAGACTTAATCCATGTCACGTAAGCTCATAATGCGCACAGTTAAATATTTTGGTACTCCTAAATCATATATATAGCATAATCTCAAGAATACCTGCAGATATGAGGAAGAAACGAAAGACTTCCACTAATTTCCAAGTCTCTCGCAGCGGCACATCTATCCTTATGCTTACATAAACTCTAATCCTTGGAGAATATAAACCATCTCGAAAGAATATGTCCCCTATCATCATCAACACTGCGTTCGTAATTAGACATTATTTTGCACAGGACAGAGCAAGGTCGAGACGAACAACGAGAGTTACTGATTTTTTTTTACCAGATGCAATGAGATTGTGGTACAAGTAAAAATTGCCATATTGATTCACTTGTTGGCCATAGAAACTTACATATATGCCTTTTGACAAAGTAAACGTGACGTTCTGGATGAAGAGAAAATATACAGTGAACAATTTCTTTGGATGGTGTCACACAATAATATTCGGACGCTCAATAATGTAATCCGTCATACCTTCTGTATCCAAGAGAATCAAGAGAATGGACATAGAGTCGATATTGCGAATGATTTGTGTACATACAATACACACCATGATCAAAGAGAGAGACCACGAAGCTTGCATTAACAGCCTCTTCTTCAAAGGATTCTTTTGTCCTAATGCAAAATAGTTTGGATCAAGAGTTGGAATTCACGAACTTCCGTCCAAGTGTCTCTTTCCAGGATCACGTGTCTAAGGCGATCACCAGATATTCCAGACGATTAATCCCACCGTAGAGAAACGACAGCTTGCTAAGGACCAGCAAACCGCGTCTGTTCTCTCGATGATCATCTAATTGATTAACGCGTTCTTATCTAATTGGGCATATAAGTGAATCAAAAGGCCATGCAAGTATATATATACATATACATATATATATAATCAAAAAATTATATATAAATATATATGTATGCATATCGAATTATTATCATATAGAACGACTATTGTACACTATGTTATTTAGTCACATCGATCATTCAGAATCAGTAGATATATATGAAATAGATAGGTGCCGAATAATTATAATATGTATATATATATATGGACAACATATGTCTTGTGTACATATAATATACAAACCATATATTGTGTATACCATATAGTATACAAGACAAGAGACAGATACTATACACAGACACTATAAATATATACTGTACGATTTGAATATATTTGTAAAATTATTATATATATATATATATATATATATATATATATATATATGTATATATATGTATGTATTTTTGTGTAAGGCGCATTGAGAAGCGTGGATAGCCAATCTTCTCTCTACGCTGAATTATAATAAACTCTCTGTATAAAATAACGTAAATTCCAATTAATTGTTTATGAATATAACGATATTAATAAGATAAGACAAACTGGAAATGCTCTATGGAAATATAATCGGCGTTATTAATTTCTCACTAATTATTATAATACATCGGTATTCACGATAGTTCATTAATGAGATTACGAATTCGTGACGTATTGTAATTTATTTCTATAGGATATATTTGTCTAACATATAAATGTTTACTTAGAGCAATATTATTACATTTCGGTGACAATGAAAAATTGCAATCAATTATATTATAATCTAACGATGCGTTATTTTTCGCTGCCACAAGCAAATGGCACGGTTATTATTTGCAACAGGTCTTACTTCTATGTAGGCCTCCTGCTCTTCCCCTTCTCTACAACAAGTTCATTGTAGCTCATTGTACGACCAATACAAAACTTGATTCTGCTTCTGAATCAGCATCACACACTGCATCCATTAGATCCAGACTCAGATACCTTATTATGCCTATATCTTTTTTGGCACAATATCGTTTACATCAATTTTTAATAAGTAGTACTTTAATGACTTAATAGAATTTATAAATAATTAACATTCGATCATGGACTGATAATAGGATCCCTATGATGTATATTATATTACATTAAAATTTTTTTTAATTTCAGACAAAGATGTTCACGTGTAAGTACGATTCAACCATGTACGCTAATTATTAATTTCGAGAATGAGATTTTTAATGGGTGCAAGATGACATCTTGATAACGAGTAACACTGAATGTTTTATTAGATGTTATATTGACAGTTAATGCAGTAATTTTTATCAGTCAAAAGATGACATAGGCTCTTATAACAATTATTAATTTAATAGAATTATATTTTTTATATGTTCCTTGTTTGAATGTGGATACAGAATAGGGATTATGGACATAACCAGTGTGCTGGTACATATCGCCTTACTAGAGATGCTGTAGATCCATTAATCTGGTGCAACGTGCAATTATGCATTCCTGTTTGGATCTTATGAATCAGAAGAAATTTTAAAGTGGAAGTAGGTGTCTCTATAAAGTTTTCATATCGATGACGATTTTATTACAGAGAGAGAAGGAGAGGAGAGTCGCGAGCGTGCGTATTAACGTGCGCGTAATCGAGTTATCAATTCTGGACTTTTACCCCCTTATAAATTGTATGCTATGTAAAATATGTACAGTTTCAAGACAGTCCGACTCCCTGGATTTTTTTGAGTTGGCGCCTGCGCAATTGCGACTTCCTTCTTTCCTAAAAAAAAGCGCGCGGTTGTAGCTCACCACTTATAAAAATATATGTAATTATATTTATATAGATTTATATATATGTATATGTATACGTATGTACGTTATAATTATTTATATATATGTATATATATACGTGTCTGCGTGTCCTTTTATATAAAATTTCACTCTTATCTCATCTAACATTTCTGTTAAAATATAAATTCAATTTACTTTCGAATTATTTTTACCATTAATTTTTCTTATGCATTCTGTCTCGCTTTATTCTCCTGTATATCAATATACTTATCCTTTTCATTCTGAGATATGCTGAGAAATTTTTTAACAGTAGATACACAAATACATTATTGAAGATTTGATTAACGAATGGAGTAAAAGTACGAGACTAATTATTTTGCATTAGATATCCGAGATGTAGTTAGAGGATTGAGACTCCTTATAGTATTGGACTCCCTCTCTCGTTCTCTTATGTCTTTTTGATTGCTTTACAATGCGTCCTCTCTTCTTTTGTATGTACAAGGGAATAGTAAGTGGAACTACCAAAGAGATATTGGTAAAGAGGGCGAGCCCCTGTCTGTTGTCTTTAAAACCAACTATACGGTATTTCAACCCCGACCAGAACTTCTCTTCTAGTTCCAGCATATCTGCCATGCTCACCTGTGCCCACTAGGCGTCAGACACAAAGTCCTATAAGGCTGGCCCTCTTTACCAGCAACTCCTCGGTGCTGGAACGCATGGATAAATAATCAAAAGAATCCCAAAACAAAACAAAGGAAACGTGATTATTACATTCTAAAGATAACAAACAAAATATACAAGACCTCTTGTTTATTACGTGAGCGTTATTTTAAATTTTTGTTATTCCTAAAAAAGAAACAAGTGATTCTAAGTCAACGGTATGCTGAAATTAGTATGGTTATTTTGTGTGATTAATTAATGCTTTCAATACTGTTAGCTGAGTTAGCCTGATGATGATAGTTTAGGAGAAATTAGAGCGTTCGGCATTGAGTAATTTATTGTGAAGACACGTGGGTCGATTAAACAAAATAAATAACAATCAAATCGACTTGGTCGTTCGAAATGATAAAATTTAATAGTACGCAAAAGATTTGGGATGGTCTCGTGATACATATATACAATTGTCGTACATTCGAAAATGCACTCTCTTATGTGAACCATACATCAGGAAGCTTTTCTGGTTACCCCAAAAGCGGCTCGATCTTGGAACGAGCGAAATAAAAGTGATTATGCACGCCAACAGAAAAGACAAAGGAAAAATTCGCAAAAAAGTGTGACGAGTGATCAATGATCGTTTTTCGGTAATATTAGATAATTTGTTCCCAAGTTTTATCATAATTCATTTTTCATTGTCTTATTGGCCATAACACACCCGCTGTTTCCGTCTTCTTTATAATAACGGATTAAAACTCATGAGAATTAAGAAAAGAATGACGGCCGTCTGATTCAATAATTTGTACTTTAACGTCGCTGAGCAATCGAGAGACGTTGAATTGCGAAGAATACAATGAAAACCTAATGGCGGCATCGTGTATCTCATGAAAAGGACAAATATACAATAGCACAACTTAATCATACGAACATATAATTTTTCATATTAACCGAATTATTCAACCCAATTGACTTATTCTCATTTACACGCTACAACTTACAGCTATATCTACAAATTTTATACGCGGAAAAGTTATTACCTAACAACAGTTCCTTAGGTAATGAGAAATTGTCATGAACTTTTTCGCGATTGCAGAGTGCCCGAGATTGTGATGTTTTTTTTCGACGCTCCTAGACATTCATATATGATACGATCCTTCGACTTCGATGAGAACGATGCGTATCCGGCCGAACTCATCACGAACATGCCTGTTGCATCTCCGCCTTGGCAGCCTTCATTGCTATAAAGAAAGGTATTAAATAAAACTTTTGTGAAATGATATAAATATAGTTTCAATATTTACATTCTTTTTTTTTCATACGCAGAATTTACCTTCGCGTTCTCGTCTTCTCAACTTTTTTCTGCGCCTCTCGATGCCGGCCAATTCGACCTTCACTGCATTATATGTTTTTCGCAATTCTGACAATTTTTGCTGGAGTACAGCTATCCTCTGGCTGCCATCAAGTTCAGGATCTGGAATATATGGACAACATGATGTTAAAGAATGAATGTGATTTTTGAAAGCAATAAGAAGTCACCAGTAGAACGTACCTAATTCTACGTAAAAGTTATACTTCATCGGTCTTGGTGACCTAGTGGAGTAAGTATTGAGATCGGTAACACTGCCGATGTTCGTATGTGCAGTGGAAGTCGAGTTTACGCCACAGAGATTAGAACTCTCGCTGGTATCGTCACTGTCACTTCCGGGGCCATGCCGGACGGTTCTTCCGGCTTGTCTGGTAGACTTCTTAGTAGAGTTGCTTCCACATTCGGAGTGTTTTCGGTTACGTTTTCGCTTCTTTGGCGACTGCGCATCCTCAATGGTCCTCTTCGTCGGTGGTTTGAGGGATCTGTCAGCGACATTACCTTCAGAATTTAATAGGGTGTCATCTTCACTGAAACCAGGACCCTTGCTACCACTGTCGTTATCAGCTTCTGAACTGTCTCTGTTGGACTTGAGATTATCCTCTGACATTGGTGAAGATCCTCCCATTCTCTCTTCACGTGGTGAACCAGAAATGTTAGAAATACTTGAATCCGGAGTAGTCGGAGGTGTGTTGTCCATGACAGGGGCAGCTTCGTTGCTCTCTCGTCGTTGTACTGGCATAGCAGCAGGTGGAAGTGGCTGAATTAGTTGATGTGGATGCTGATGTTGTTGTTGCTGCTGCTGCTGCTGCTGTGGCTGGGGTTGTTTTTGTGACTGTTGTAATGGCTGGGGCTGTTGTTGCCTGACTCCCATGACAACTCCCTGTTGTACAGGTAAAGAAACAGGGACGGAGACATTGTCACCATTCTTTGCAGATGTAATACTCAGGGTAGCCACTGTACTACAAGTTGTACTTTGACTGGAGGATGGTGCACTTGCAAATGGCATCTCCAATAGTACTATATTATTGTCAGATGTCTCAATCTTAGGTGGAACTTGAATTACGTGTGCATCTACTTGTTCGGTGTTGTCAACCACCGGAGCTGGAGATCCTGGTATTTCTTCTTCACAGAGCAATGAACTCATGTTCTCACCTTCCTCCTCAATCTTTGTCGGAAGGACACCGACAAGTTTACATTCTGCAGAAGACTGTTGTTGCTGCTGCTGTTGAATTTGTGCCTGCGGTTGTAATGGAGGCTGGGACTTTTGTTGTTGCTGGGACTGAATCTGTGGCTGAGACGGAACTTGCTGTAGAGGTTGAGATTGCTGTACTTGAGACTGAGACTGACTTTGGGGTTGAATTTGAGACTGAAGTTGAAGCTGAGGTTGAGATTGGGATTGTGGCTGAGATCGTTGTTGAATTTGAGATTGAGCTTGAACTTGTAGTTGCGATTGGCTTTGAGTTTGAGATTTGGAACGTCCTTCCTGGATATCCTGTAACCTTTCCAATTCTGCTCGAAGCTTGACATCGAAATTAGTTGTGAGATTTTTCTCATCCTGGGGCTCTTCATTATCGATGACTAGCCTCTCGTCGGAGTCACTGCTGTCTGTAGAATCGACAAACTCTTGACTGATGACCTTTTTGCGTTTATCTCTCTCTCGCTGATCACGTTCCTTATGCTGTTCTTCTTCCTCCTCTTTCTTGTTAATCTCTTCTTCCTTCTTCTTGCGTTCTTCTTCTTTTCTCTCTTGCACTTTTCTCTGTTCAGCTACTGCCTTTGCCTCTGCAGCCTTCTTCAGTTCAGCCTCCTTCTTCAGTTTTAATTGTTGAAGCTCTTCCTCCTTCTGCTTAATGGCAGCACGCATTGCCTCTCTTCGTTGCTCCTCTTCCTTCTTTAATGCTTCCTCTTCTTCCCTCTTTTTATTCTCAGCCTCGATCTTCGCTTTATTCTGTTCCTCTCTGTTCCTTTTGGCAATCATAGCATCCATTTTCTTGGACGTCTCTTTTAGACTCTTCTTCGTAGCATCGGCCATATCTTCTTCCTTCTTCGTTTCTTTTGACTTATTTTTAAACGCCATTGCAGCAGCCGCCATTTTTTCCTCTATCGTAGACGTGGCCGGCAACCTTGCACTTATAGGAGCTGGCGTTAACAGTGCTGGCGAGACTGCAGGGCTCGAGATTAATGATTTCACATCCAGGTTCTTTGTTTCTAAGATGGGCGAGGGTCTACTTGTTGCTGGTGACTTCACATTTTGTTTTTGATTAACATCATCAAATTTGGTAACAATCTTGTTTGTGGTTGCTGTTTCTTCATTCGGATTTTCACTCTGGGACTTAACTTCGTCTCTGTTAAACTCCATCGTATCCGGTATGTCGTTTGTTGGAAATATTTCCTGCTGATAGGTGAAAAGGTTTTCTTGTTCGGCTTCAGAGACTTCAGTTTCAGATATGATCAGTCGATCCTCCGGATCATCCGGTGCCCCATCCTCGTCGCCAGGTAAGTCGCTGAACAGAAGGTCAATAGTATTAGCAACCTTACCAGACTCTTCCGGTATCGGTTGAACCTTAGGTTGGCTAAATGATGAAGATTCCCGAAGCTTGTCGAATGCCTCTTCACAAGCAGATGGCGTAGAAACTTTACTTGGGGATAAGATCTCGCCGTCGTCTATTCTTTTAATAAAAGGTCTTCTCACTCTCTTTTTAATATCTACTTCAGTATCAGCTGGTTTTGTTTCCTTCATAGCGGTAACAGTCGTCTTTTGCTTCTTCTTGGGACTCTTTGGTTCCTCATCGAAGACCCTCTTCTTGGCCTTATCCTTGTCACCATTTGAATCTCTCTTATTCCGTACTTCAAATTCGAAGGGTTCCGGTTCTTTGAACTCATAAATATCCTCAGTACTTTCTAAAGGCCTGATCTCTGGTACTGGTTCCAACTTCGGCGGTTCCAACTTTGGTTTTTCTAATTTCGGTGAGAGAGACGCAGATGGTGTAGCAGCAGGTTTACCCTCATTCTCTTTTTCTTCAGATTTCGCTTCCTCTTCCGGATCCGGATCGGATCTCACAATCTCGAGTTTTACAGCTTTATCAAAACCTTTTAATTCAGATCTTATTTGATTGAGATCAAAATCCCTGCCTTTGGGTTGGTCCTCGTCACTCTCAGGTTCCGATTTGATATCCTGAATTTTACCTGGTATTCGTCTCAGTCTACGACCTCTACGTGGTTCCTCCGAGGCATCCTTATCCTCTTCAGGCTCGCTCATGTCTTCAGGTTTTATCCTATCCTCGGCTCTACGTCTCACTTCCCTTCTTTTCCTCTCTTCCGTTCCACGTGACCTTGTCTTTGCCTGTTCCGGCTCCGTTGTGTCTGATTCGTACGCTTCGCTATCCTCACTCTCAGAAGCAACAGATATGTCCGTGTGACCAGACATTCGCCTTGTACGTCTCCGAAGCTCTACTCCAGCGAGGTCTGTGTTCCTGGTAAGCCTAGTCAGTCGATTAGCAGCTGGAGTCGCAGGACTCTTCGTCCTGGAGCTGGAACTTGTTACTGAGAGTGGTGTCGTAGACCTAGTTGGCTGCATTGACCCCTCCTTATCCTTGTCTTCCTTCTTACCATCTTTAGTTGTAATCCCTGAAGATGATGTTGTAGAAGAAGGTGCAACACTCTGTGCTCTACGTCGGTTTTGGGATGCATTAGAATTCGAGGTGTTACCTGTCTTAGAAGATTTTCCACCAGCTGAAGAACTCGTTGCACTTGGAGTCTGTGGTCTAGGAGTAGCCTTAGTTCGCTTAACTCTACCTTGAGCTTGAGTGAAATTTTGTGCAATTCGCGATCCCTTGATCCACTCATCGTATCTCGTGTTCCAGCCTGTGTAATGAACTAGATAAGCAGGTTCATCACCATCCTTTTCCATGTCGATTACCTTGGCCTCATACGTGACTTTCGATTCATGAGTTGGTCCATAATAGACCTTCAACCGATCACCCAGTTCGACGAGACCCTTGTAGCAGGGGGCAGTTTCGCTAGAATGATCATCTGTACCAGGTCTAGATTTCTCTAGTTCGTTCTCCTTGCGTTTTCTTCCACGCTGCTTCCTCAACTCTTCGTCAGTAAGACGTCTCTGCTTCGCAGGCGCCTTCTTCTCCGACTCCCTGGACGGTGTCCGCGTCTCCCGGACTGTATCTGTTGTTCCAGATGCTTTACCCTTAACGGAGTCATCTTTTGATTTGGATCGTGTTTTTGCAGCTTCGTCTTCCTTGAGCTTCTCATCCTTCTTCTCCTGCTTCTTCGGTTCATTCCTTTTCTTGTCGAAGGGCTTCTTTTTTGTCTCCTCCTTATTCTTCGATTTGGTTTTAGTGGGCACTGGGGTAAACCGTGTTGGTGTTTTAAGTGACTTTTCACTGCTAGAAGACTCTCCCTCAGCTTCAACATTGATATCGCTATCCTGCCCACTTCCACTTTCCTCGAATTCCTCCTTTTTCTTTATTTTAATAGTCGTCGGCGTTGTGATAACTGGGATAGGGACTGGGACAGGTTCCTCCTCCTTCATAATCTCCTTTTTAGGCTCTTTCTTCACTTCCTTCTTCTCATCTTCCATTATCTTCTTGTCCTCCTCTTCTTTCTCAGATTTGGTCATTGGCATCTGAGGTGGTACAGGAGTGTTTCTGTCCCGATCTCTGATCAAGCTCCTACCTGGCCGTTGCTTTCGCGTGCTACCTCGAGGATGATTGACCATAGTACAACCTAATTTTCTATAAAAGTCCTCGAAAGAGTGTAAGAACTTTTTATACGCTTGTTTCACCAGATTATGCGTGGACGACGTACTTGGCATTGAAAAACTTAAGCGACGGGTTATGGATTTCCATTGATTCTGGTTGGTCACACGGTTATACCCGCCTAACTTGTAAACAGCACGAAACAGACGGTATAAATCTATATCCTCGTTGCCAATCATTGGACAATTGTTGATAGGTGTTCCTCGATCGTCCATAAATTTATACAATTGCGCAACAAAGTGGTCCTTCTCCTCCCGCGGCTCATCGTCCGAACTCTGTAACCAAAAAGCAACGTCAAGCGTAACATTTGTGCGGTTCTAAGTTACATAGTAGCCGTTTAATGACAGCTAATGAAACTTACATCAGAGTCCAGCTCTCCATCGGAATCGCTGTTTCCACTGGACATGGCATTTCCAAAGAGAGAATCTCGATCCCAGTGAGGTGGAAGGTCATTCTTCTCCAAAAAAAGAAGAGCCTTCTCCACGGCAATCTTTAATGCGCTATTCTCGACCTTGTTCACCAGTTCCTTGGTAAATTCAGTTGCCTCCTTCTTTGGGACGGTGTAACTGAAAAGATTAGACGTGTGAAAGTACTCTATGAGTAACAGGGATACATGATAGTGATAATACTTACTATCTTGCATCTTTGAAAGATCTCACGAGATAATCGTCGCGAACACGAATTCTGACTGTATCCTGAGCTGTCGGTGCAACGACGAGTCCTGGAAACCAGTTATCTTTTTTCTTCTTGTCACCCAGCTCGACGCAAACAACTCTTCCAATTTCCGGTTCTGTTTCAGTCCCCTCCTTTCCACCTGATCCGGAACCGGAATCGCGGCTTCCTCGTGGGGGACTTTCTTCATCTTCGCTGCTGTCATCTCTACAAAGAAAAACAAGAGGTCCATCATCCCGTAAGTGTCATTGTTTTCGGGGATAAGATACTATCCCGATCCTGTCACGTACTGCGCTTGCCTCGAACGTCGTCCTCTGCGCCCACCAATAACTGGATTTCCAAAGTGCTCCGGATGAGTTAGTGGAAGCTGATCCAAAGTCTCACTCTCAGCAAAATGTCTTCCACTTTTTAAACACAGTGCCGTCCTCCTGAGCGTCGTGATATCTCCATCGTCAAAGACTACAGTATATTGACTACAATCTTGAATCTTGGTGATAGTGGCCTCAACAAAATCCTTTCGCTCTCCATACTTGGCTTCAATAGAGGCACCTACTCTCAGAGTACCTTTAATCTGGTCATCCGTAACTGTAGCAGTTCCCAAACCTTGTTTATAAGTAACTCGACACTTTACTGATCGCACGACCTTCCTGATCTTAGCTTCGCAAAAAGCACCTTTGTATTTGGCGCTCACCTCCGTACCCACCGACAGATAGGGTGGATCGTCTCCCTGAAACAATACCAAAACATTACATTAACACTCTAATATGATTTCGGAGTGGCTCGTGCTTACACGTCAATTTTCGCAGTAAACAGCTTCCTGCCAGCGATTCTTTTCTAAGACACTTAGTCTTTGAAGAAGCGTAAACAGAAAATAATCGAATTTCTCAAACACAAAGAACATCCTTCAAAAAACCGTCGCCGTACGAAAAAGCCCGAACACGTCTCTCAAAGATTGAAGCTCCCAATATCTTCAGACACTTCACATCCAAAAGTACTCACTATCAGAAGTAACTGACTGCTTGTCGGCCTCTGGTGCCCCCTCTCTTATCCCGGCTCAACATCCCTGCCCCCCCTGCCTGACAGTCACTCACTTTCCCAGATATTCAACCAGAAATTGGTAACCTCGAAAATCTTGAAGGAGCACATACTAGAGCCACATTCAATCCCACAGTAAACCGAATACAAAGAATCTAAAATGACTCCGAAATTTCTCTTACTCTTTTTCCTTCCAACGAATGCATGTACCTTGGTATACAAAACTATGTACGCTCACTCCTCTCGTCCACCTTCTCTGCGAATATTCTCCCGCGCGTTCGACTTACCAGCATCTTCTAACGCTCGACGATCTCCATATGCACGATCCAAAGCCAGTGACACACGCGAGACATTAAAATCTTCTTAGGGATGCTCTTCGCGAAGAACCACGTCAAAATTTTCACAGCAATCACGTTTGACCCCGTTGCGCGAAACCACAGCTCGCACCACGAATGCGTATAAGCTCCTGTTCTCTCTCGTTCCCAGCCCATTTCCACCCCGAGCCCGAACGACGCAACTTGTCAGCCGGCAACTTCGCTCCTATTGGATGATTCCATCGCGCCGAATTGAACAGTTCCAAATCGGACAAACGACTGCGAAGAATCGTTAAATTAAGACACTAGTGAAAAACAAGGACATAAATGCTTAGTAATAAGCTAGTTATGATTTATGGAAAATAACGGGAAACAAACTAATGTTTTAGTTCTCGAAAATTCGTTGGAATAATGTCGATAAGACACTGCGCATCATTCAGGGACGTGTGAAATCATATTGGTGAGTATTCGTCAGGCGCTTTGCAGACAGTGCCCCCGTTTACCTTTCTTTGCGAGAAATTCCAACAATTCCCAGGTTAACTTTTTCAATCCAGCATTTCTAACGTGTGTATATAAACTTTTGGGAGTATTAAAATAATCATAAACAATAAGAAATAATAGTGGGTTCCATCGTGAGTATTAAAAGTGTACTTCTCTTATCCTCTACGAGGACGAGGATCATTCGAATGGGAAAATGTTTCTCATGGATAATGACAGCATGTCACAAGGGAAATATGATATTAATTGGAAATGATATAATTTTTTAAGGGTGTCCTAAGGATTTCACATGATCTAGAATCATAGACTCTTAGAACGTCGATTGACATCGATTTTGTGGTGCGTTGTATTATTTTCATCATTGATATTATAAAAATCTTTATCACCCTCGATGTCGCAGTCATCTTCTTTCTGATCCCCAGGACGGTAAAGCTAACCACGGCCCTGTTTCTTGCTGTCTGCTGGGACGCTTAAACAAAATGGCGGCATGTAATGAAGTGCCGGTTGAAATCAGCAAAGGCGGTACATTGACGAACGAGGACAGGGTGAGTTTCTTTGCGAATTTTTCTATGAAATCGAATTACTTCATTCGCGAGATATGTGCAAAATGTTATTCATTCTCAGAGGTGTTTGTATTCTGCGTAGAAAAAATGGTGCATCGTAGCTACACGATATACTTAAAGAATTAATGTCGAAACAGTGCGCCCATGCTTTCACGGATCCGTTTTCTTTTGTCTTATCTAAGACACTGTCGTATTTTATTTAATGATGCATCAGAAGATCTTTTTTGAGAATCTTTTTTGTTTAGGAAGTTAGGAGAGGATGTAGGGTTAATATGTGGCCGTAATCATGGAAAGATATGGATAGAATTATATATATATTGTCGGTAACTACTGACGGATCATTTTGTCTTTGCGGGACGCCATTTATTTTGGCGGGCACGTGGATGCCGGTTTCCTTTTTAGCTTTTGATAGGCTACTGAGTGAATTTGAGGTTTTCAATTCATTATTTTTTAATATTCTTTAAAGGTTTTCAAAGTTTCATATGATTTTAGACTTGGACCTTCATTAGGTAATTTTTAAGAAGCTATTTCAGAAGTTACGGAGTTAATATATTCATATCTGATCAAACTGATTATTAAAACATTTAGCCCCGATTCTACAAATACGATCTATTTTTTAAACTCGGTTTAACTCTGCTATTAACCTATCAATCATTTGCATTTTGAACATAAACGGAGTTTATATTGTCTTAAATTATTGTCTTTTTTTATAGTAATTTTATGTCAATTTAATTAGCAAGTTGCATGTTCTGTCTTAAGAAAGTTAATCTTAACTTATTTAATTATTTAAATAACATTTTTATTCTTTGGTGTATTATAAAATCTTTAAATGTTATAAGTAGGATCAAGTTGACTAATTTGCTTAGGTCATGTGATTGATGGATATTTCAGACATCAAAAATGGAAACCATGGAAGTAGCTGAACCTGTGGCACTGCCAACTAAAGAGGCACCATCAACCAATCACAAGGAATCAGTCTCAGTCGATGAAATGACATCACGGGACTACTATTTTGACTCTTATGCTCACTATGGTATCCACGAGGAAATGCTGAAGGATGAAGTCCGCACTGTGACCTATCGGAACTCAATGTATCACAACAAACATCTCTTCAAAGGAAAGACTGTTCTGGACATTGGCTGTGGTACAGGAATATTGTCAATGTTCGCTGCAAAAGCCGGAGCTGCTAGAGTTATTGGAATTGAATGTTCCAACATCGTGGAGTATGCAGAAAAGATTGTGGAAGCCAATCAGTTATCAAACATCATAACTATTCTAAAGGGAAAAGTGGAGGAAGTAACGTTGCCTGATGGCATAGAGAAGGTAGACATCATTATATCCGAGTGGATGGGCTACTGTCTTTTTTATGAGTCTATGTTGGACACAGTCCTCTTTGCCAGGGATAAGTGGCTGCGTGAAGATGGGATGTTATTCCCAGATAAAGCAACGCTTTTTATTTGTGGGATAGAAGATAGACAATACAAGGACGAGAAAATTAACTGGTGGGACGACGTATACGGTTTTGATATGAGCAGCATACGAAAAGTAGCGATCAGCGAACCTCTTGTGGACGTTGTAGATCCAAAGCAAGTCGTGACAAATGCTTGTCTCATAAAGGAAGTCGATCTTTACACCGTGACAAAAGCCGATTTGGAATTTTCTTCGCCGTTCAGTCTCCAAGTGCGCAGAAACGATTATGTCCAAGCCCTGGTCACATTCTTCAACATAGAATTCACCAAGTGCCACAAACGTATCGGCTTCAGTACAGCACCAGAGGTGCAGTACACTCACTGGAAACAAACTGTTTTCTATTTCGACGAGTACATGACTGTTAAAAAAGGCGAAGAAATATTTGGTGTGTTTTCGATGAAGCCTAATGCAAGGAACTACCGGGATCTGGACTTCAGTATCGAATTGAACTTCAAAGGAGAGTTGTGCCAAGTTCACGAAACTAATACTTATCGTATGCGCTGATACCGGTCGGACATCCCGTCAATGTCCTCTTCCACGTATTCTCCTAACTCGTAATACTTTCTTTTGAAATGCGAGATCAAAACATTATCAATACTGACAAATCGAACTTGGCAGAGTCTCTCATTTTTTAAACGTGCTGTGCAAGAAATGGTATACGAAGCGCTAATTTATTACCTGACTTCTCGCTGTTATCAATTCTTTTCAATTTTAATCTCGATCATTATTCCCTTTTTCTTTTTAAATGCGTCTTAAAACCAATTTCTTACTCACTATTTTCAATAAAACATACGAAATCAGCTTACTATTGCGATTAATTGAAAAGCTATTTGCTTCTTTTAACTTTTCTTTTTTTTTTTCTTCAATGTTATCCCGAAAAGGCACTTAGTTCTCGTTATTGCTAGGTTTATGTCATTGGTAGCAAATTTATCTCGCTTTCAGGAATTCGGAATAATATGTAATATTATATTTTGCAATGAAGTAAAATCGTGCATTGTCTAATACCATTTCGTTGCATCGTATCATTAGACTGAATGTAAGCCGTTAGAGCGATGTAAAGATTTGAAGAATCGCATTGAAGAGAGTGAAGACGCGTTGTATACACGTGGACATGTCCCTAGCGAGCGCGCCAATTACATTTGATACAAAAATCCAGTCCCACCAAGCAACAGCATTGTAACAGGACTAATTAAGATTTTTTTTTGCAAAGATAACGATTCTTCGTTCTTGTATTGTACGAACAATATCTTTGTCTTCTTCAAACAACACACTAAAGAGAAGTCTGTGACTTCCAAAAACTGCGTTTGAAAGATTTGAATTTTTCAACGAACTGGTCGAATTAGGAATAATTTGTATACTCGTACTGTTACTGGTAACGCGTTTATATTGCGACGAAGGCTAATCTTGAAGTTTACATCAAGAAAAAAAGGGAAGCAAAGAAAATAATGATCTGATTACCAATAAAATCTTACACATTTATTGTCGCTATTTCGTTCTTAATTGGAAAAAAATGTATTTTATCTGTCATCGCATTCCTCGTGATTTTTTTTTCTTTGCATTCTTAAGATCAAAATTCTGAAAACGAAGTAAAATAATATCTCTGGTGTAGAAAGACCTGATTATTAACCCAGTGCATACATGCCCCGTGCCACGTAAGTGTGTTCAGGATAATATACATATGTATTTTAACGGCCTCCAGCGATGTTAACCAAACGATATTACAACATATTAACTTTTTAAAATGAATTTGCGACGACGATAGTTTTCCACATGGACGACCAAAGAAAACTAAATAACAACAGTGAACAATGTTTTACACGCGAGAACTTTATACTTAAAGTACAGTTTGTATATACGGTGATATGGGGTGTATCAGACAGCTAGGCTAATTCATCTGTTGAATTTCTCATTAAATTGACCAAGCACGTCTGACTGATATACTGTATATCTTCTTCTTCTCTCATCCTGTACGATTGGTTAGTATTGTTTATTTGAAACGATAACAAAAGAAAGATCAATTTACGTTCATGCGTAGAGACCTAAGAGAGTAAAGAGCGACCATCACATTATATTCCAATAAAATTAATACGTTTGCTATGAAAGTGCATATTTTATTGAGGTACTTAGATGAAAATAATTATTGGCGCTTGTATTCTATACGATATACAGGGTACACGAGGGCAACCAAAGTACTAAGTATAACGTAGGAAAAATGTTTTCCAGTTTGAAAAGAGGTACATTCTCTACTTAACTTGTTAGTCGAGAATTGGGTTAGGCGTGGTGTCATGAGCGAAGAATAAAATTTTCAAAGAAACTTGTACTTCCCTGTTTCATTTTTCTTGTATTTTCGTTCTCGTTACAAGAGAACTAGCTTTTCACATGTAAATGTTATAATAGATATTTCTTGTATCGAATTATTTTCAGAGTGGACCACTATGCAGAAAGTCCTTTTAAAGAATTGGCCAATTTTTGGGTTTTATAATCGCTCCTTAATTGAATGAAATTAATAAGAATCGAACGGTCCAGCATTGCCTGTAACAATTTTAAAACAAATATGATAGTAATTATCACAAAGAATTTTTTGATTTTAAGAATCTTTGTGCTGCTCACCAACTGATCACCAGTGCAGACTTGTTTCAAATTTTCTGGCTTAACCAGCAGAAGATTGCAGAGAGCGTGTAGAGTATCGAACAAGGTCGTAACAACGTTGACTTTCAGCTCCTTGACGCATTTCCGATATTCATTCATGTCACATATGGCACACATTGCACCAGCAGAATTGAATTGAAACTGCTGCAGGTGTTCATAGATGACCCTGTGGAAGCGTATGCCTAATTCCGTAAGCACACTCTCGGCGTTTTTACCATCGAGACTGTCCCGGATGTGTCTGATCATGCTAGTAACATATTGCACCACTACCAGACAAGCTGGAGTATTTAAAGTGTCCACGTCTGTCTCGGGTTTGAAGTCGGATTTACGTTGCTCACTTTGAAGATACATTTTGACCCAGCCGACGATGACGTTTATACTTCTGTCTAGACCAGCATCCAGCTTCATTTCAATTTGCTCCAGGGCGACCTTCTTTTTAGTCATGCACTCGCCATGCTTTGGAGTGGAGCTTTAAGCGGTTCAAGGGAATATATAATATTGCAGTTATATTAATTAATGAAACTGTTATATGAAACTTACATGACAAGAGGCACCACACTATCATTGAACTGTTCCTCCAGGAGGCGGATTATAGCGTTGCATTGCCGGACTACGTTGAAAAAATGTATTTCCGGTTGGCTTCTACTCTCAGGAATTGGAACATTTTGTAGACCTAACTCGAGTGCGTAATCGACGTGCTCGTTCAATAAGTATTGTAGGAGTATTTCCAATATTTGTAATGTATTCATGGGCAAATCACTTTGTTGGGATAATAAGTTACAACGTTGAAAGGCCATTTTACTGTTTTGTAAAAGAGCAATGGCTAATTCTTCTGAGAGGAAGGTCTCTCCGCCATAATCTTCTATCTGTGCTATGTTTATGTTGGTTCTGGTACCAATGACAGCTTGTAAATCACGTCTCAGTTCCTGGAAGCCACCAGTTTGCAGTTGTTTCTTTTGGTGATTCTTAGACTCGTAGTATTTTATGAGTAAGGTTGCTGATTTCTCTCTCAGTGCTTTCACTTCGATACTGGAAAAATTATTTTTTTAAATTATTGCATCAGAAAATAATTGGGAATTTATGTACTTACGTAATATATGTATCGAGGTGCTTTTGAAAAATTTTTGTCGTTAGTTTCATAAGGTACGAGTCCCCAGTACCCATGTTAAAGCGTTTTAAGTCGTTGGATAGTTTTACAGTTTTGGAGTATAAGTCGTACAAGTTCATCAGATATTTGTCAGGATCCGTACGATCGGCTAATTTAGCCACGGCATATTTTTGTAGACGGAGGTGATAGATATTCAGTACGAACTTTGCCATCACTTGCTCGGAATTTGTAAAAACTTGCTGCATAAGTTCATAATTCTTGGTACACATCGGTATCACATCCTGAAATACGTCCTTCCCACCAAATGATCCCATTTGACTTTGCTCAATAAAAGCATCTATGCACTGTGAGTATCCTTTGAAATGAGCAAGCACGGAAGCCAACTCCTTCATGCGAACTGCATCTTCACTGTTGTGTGCTCTGACAAACTCTTCGATTAGACTACGTTCAATTTCGTCATATTTTGCACCAATCTTTTTCTTAGCGTGTTCGAATTTTTCAGAAGGCAACTCCTGTGCTATCAAGTGAAGCTTTTGTATCACATCAGCAGCTTCATCCAGCTGGAACAATGATTTAGTTATGGATATCGATATTCCTTTGGGAGTCTAATGATAATCAACGAGTCTTACTGAAGATTTGTCTGTAAAAATAGGATCTGTTAACGGTCCAGGACTGAGAAATTCAGAAAAGTGCCGCATAAGCTTTTGAGCTTCAACGGCTCTGGCTCTTGGAGTATTAACACTCTCTAATTGATCACCCAAGTGAAGAACTTTAGTAGCCACAAAATTGATTCTTTCATCAAGTTGATGAAAGAGATCCATAGCATGCTTATTCTTTTCCTGTAGTTCTAGGATCTCCATGGTATGCCTGGATTCCTCATCTTTCAAAGCAACTTCTAATTTATCACATTTCTTTTGCTGGCGTTCCTGAAGAATCTGCAAGTCTTTTATTGCCTGAAGGAAGGTCTCATGTACTAAAACAGGATCAAATGTTCCTTTTCCACCATCCTCAGAGGAATCATTGACTGTCCGCCATGCTAAACGTTCTACAAATTCTTCAGCATCAAATGGCTCCTGGAAGAAAACTATTTTACCTTCTATCAGGTGAAATCTTAAAGTCTAAAAGTTATATAAATCACCTGCTCCAATTCTTTCATATATTGTTGCATCATTTTCAAGTAATTTGTTGAAACAATTGACACATATAATAAAAATGGGTCAAGACACAGTAATTGTCATTGTCAAGGACTGTAATTCAATTCAAATTAAAGTATTGTGATATAGAAAATTCAATAAACGCATAATTCATTAATTAATTGATGTTTCATAATATTCTCTATTAATACGTTTTGACAATACGTCTTCTGACAGACACGACTCTGCCCATTTCTAACCTACGTATCTGATATCTGACGTATATTACCACCTACTGAGCAATGCATAACCTCAAACCATGGTCCTGGACATAACCACTAGTGGGCGTAATTTAATAAAATTTCAACAGAACTTTATGATATGAAATAAAATTACATACATTATAATACCAATATATTCTGATTATATATAAGCAATGACTGTATTAATTAAAATAAATTTATCAAGATCATTCATGATGCAGGATCAATAGTTTTATTTACATGAGCCACTTTTGCATACATTCTAATAATGTACAATATAAAACTGTGTTCAGTGATTGTGGCATCACAGTAACTAAGGCCTTAACAAATACAAACTACTAATCGATGAATCAATTGTTGTACTTTAGTGCAGCAGTGTTACGATTGCACTTTATACTCACATTATCTTGATCACCTTATTTACTTAATCAAACTGTACATACGTAAGTAATAATTATGTTGACCTGACCTCTCTTTATAATAGACAATGTATGTTACAGTTTGAATGGTTAAACTTAAAATAGGATTTCATTATGTCCATTTCTTTACGTCGTCCCGTTTGGAATTTCATTGTTTATTATTCAGCTGATTTCAACGAAATTCTTCATTCTCATTGAGTGACTAGATTTCCTTCATACGCGCGTTACGGCTTCTGTTATTTATTAATGCTCTCACTGCCTTCGGCATCAACCATATGTGCAATCCTCTATCCTTGCTACCTGCTATAATCTATCGAAAAAAAAGATTGATAAATAATTTATACTCTACAGTAGAAGAAATTGTTTAAGTAGATTTTAAAGCGACAAAGGATGCTAACCTTATTATCAACGACTTCCATACTCAACAACATATTACCAGGTCCAGGTATACTGCATACGAGTTTCCGGTCCTATAAAAATTCAATGAATAACGTATAATCTTATTTATATAAAATGAAGGAACTTTCAAAGGTTGTGCAAAAATCTTTACCTTAGTGTTGAAGACATATATGTTGCCATCGTAACAGCCAGCAAAGAGTAACTTTTTGTATAGCCTCATACAGACAATACCGACACCAGCATTATATTGTGCCACTTGTTCAGCAGTCTGAAAGAATATATTTTTACGAAACAATGGTTAAACTATCTAATTATCAATTAATGTATCTAAGTATTTGTTCTTCTTACAATGAAATCGAAGACGGGAATTAAAGTTCCGCTGGTCCCACAATACACCATATGATGATCCATCATCAAACTATAAACAGTATGATTCTTGTGTCCGCTGACGGTTCGAAGAAACAGTCCATTCTGTGCATCTCTTATTGTTATCGGCTGATTACGAGAGGCGACTATAAGTACTCTTCTTGGACCCTCGGACGTTGCTTTCAGTGCAAGAACTGAGACCTCAGAGAATTGTATATTGTCGCCTTTCATGACACCAGACTGAATAAATAAATTTATGTAGAGTGTAAAATCTGTAGGACACATTTAATCTTAACTATAATAGTAGAAGCAGATGAGAACAAACTTTTATGTGAAAACGTGAAACGTGACCAGATTTTGTACCAAGGAAAATTACACCCCAAGCATGATCCATACACTGAATCGGACTGCCAATGTCGACTGATTCGCGCACCTGCTGTCCACTCTGTATAAGAGAGTAATCGTATTAAATAAAATAATTATTAATATACTATAATGAATGTGTATTAATGAGATATAATTGTATGCTTAATTGTCCTCACATCAATTTCATAGCATCTAAGAGTTCCGTCCAAGGATCCAGAAAACAGCCATTGTCTACTAATACCAGAGAAATTAATCTTTGGTATGCAAAGACAGGTCACAGCTGATTTATGTCCTCTATAAATATTTAAAATGCCATTAGATACTTGACTGTAGCGATAAATTGTACCATCCTCACTGGCAGCCATAAAAGAGTCACCATAAACCTGGAAGGAGAATAGTGAATGTTAAAAGCTGGTTTAATTACATTTGTCAAAGCACAGCAATGACTTTACTTACTTTAATATCTAAAACAGGTCCTTTATGAACAGTATATTCTGTTCTTGGTGATTTCTCCTCCTCTAGCACCATTTTTGTCAGCATTTTTTCACCGTCTGTATCTTCAACCTGATTTAATGAACGAGATTCTTTTGTAGCCTCCAGGATTTCAATATCCGATTGACTTGATGTATTTGCTGCACTCTCATCTTCATTAATATCAATGACAGGTTGCGGTGAGGATACTTCATCCTGTCGTAATACTGTAGGATCCAAATGAGAAAGATATACATGCTCGTTGTCATTTGTATCCTCACAATTTTCAGTAGTCTCATTATTATAAATTTTTCTTGATCTGGTCATTTTTTCTTGAGAGATTGAATTCTGTGATACATCAATTGATTCTGGTAATTCTTGAATATTTTGATCCCAGGAACAAAAGGAGCTGGAATCTTTTTCCTTGTCACTTTCCATGTGAATAATATCATATCCAGGGGTAATGACTTCCTGGACTAAAGTAACAGAAGCAGATCTCTTGTTACCTTCAATTTTTAGAGAAGGTTCACATTGAATACATATGGTACGTCCATATGCATTGATCTTGGATATACCATATTGATGAAATAAACTAGGATCACAATCAGGTCTAAGATATGTAGATTTACAATCTGTCAACCGTACTTTGCAATTTTTTAATTGCAATTGGCTAATATACTTTCTCTTTTTAGATTCTTCTATAGAAAATCCTTTTGACGATAGCAATTCCGCGTCTATGGATGTCTCCAGTGAATTAACATCCTTGGTGAGACCAGGCAATTCTACAGTTGATCTATTGGACCATCTCGTTTTTCGTCTCTTTGTTGCTGTTCTTGGTTCTACAACGATAGATTTTCTTTTTCCACGAGATTGCACATTTTTAGGACGTTTCTCAGGGATGGTGGATGTAGCAGGAACTGGTGATATTGTGCCAGATAGTGAGGAGTTGGTATTAAGCCGCTTTTTAGGTCGCCCACGACTACGTGTGATTGCTGTAGTTTCAATCTCTTCAGAAGTCGAAGTGGATAGTTGTACTGTCTTCTCTGTTGGTTCAACACTTGTTTGATTAGATACTAGAAATCCAAGAAAATCATTACTGCCACTTCTATTTAACTCTTCAGTTTGAGAATTTATATCTTCGCTTTCCACAGGTCTTTCTTCTTCTTTCTTCTTCTGCGAACAATCCTCATTTCCCCTTGATATAGTTTCTGCAGAACTTGACTCAGGAACTGAATTTATTAAGTCATCCATGGTCTCTTTTACAGCTTCATGAATTTCCTCAAATGATTCTAGTTCTAATGACGTATTCAAATCTTCTTTTGATATTATTGTTGGATCTACTTCTTTCATTTCTGTTGCACTTTCCTTTTCTGGGCTAACAATAACTTTATCCTTCTGAACATCTAAAATAGTAGAATCTGCCGCCTCATTTTCCGTTTCAGCACTAATCACAGTATTATCCAGATTACTCGTTAGAGTCTCGTTTATCGAATTGCCTTCAGAGTCCATTAAAGTTCCTGGGCATTCAATATTATCTGAACTCTTTTTATTTAGCACCGCTGATGAATCTTCATCCTCCTTTTCAGCCTCTGTGGTTTTACCAATTTCATGAATACTCTGTTCATCTTCACCACCAGTCAGCCTTTTATTTTCATTGCTTATTATTTTATCATGATCATTCTTGACAGAAGCAGTCGTCGTATCGTCAATGGCAACCTTAGCAGATAATTCTTTGACTTCATTTTCGCTGAGAGTATCAGATTGAATGTCACTCTTCTCCTTCTTAGAATCTTTACCAATAAGATCCTTTTCTGTATTCTCTGTTGATGCTGGAGTATTTTCAGTATGTACTAGGTCCTCGTGTCTTGATTCAATTAAGGTATGAAGTTCTGCTGCTTTGGAAGCAGGACTCGCAATTTCAACAGACACAGTAGGTTCTAGAATATTTTTTGAAATTAATGTCATAGTTTCCAAAGTACCGGTATTATCAATCTTATCAGTATCGGTTGGCTTTACAGTAGTTTCTACTTCAAGTAGAGTTTGTTCTGTTGATAATTCAACTAACTGCCCAAGATTTGGTACCTCCAGTTCATGTGTCTCAACTGTCACATTTTCTGTTTTATTTTCAGCGACAGCATTTATCACGGCCATTACATGTTTCCAAATTGTGGCAGAATTTTCTTGAGACTTCTCTGGCAACTTTTCTAACTTTGACTTGACACCCATTTCTTCAAGCAGATGCTGCTTCTGTTTCTGCTTCATCTCAAACAAGACGTTTAATGGGATTTCCTCTTCATCTGCAGTTAAACTGTTCACATTCTTCAATAAGGTTTCTATTTTTTCCTTCTTCTGCTTCCTGGCTGCTGCTTTCAGCTTTCTGGAAATGGCCATCTCTCGTTTGAAAGTCTCTTCGAGTAATGCCAAACCTGTAGTACACTTTTTTGCCTCACTAGATTCAAGTGTCAGTGATGATTCTCTGGTACTGTCATCCGAATAGATGGATAAACGTTCCGTAGTTTTTGAATCGGACCTCTTTGAAACATTCTCACTGGATTTACTCTCTTCGTCAACTCCAACAGAAGGCTGGGGTCTATCCTCTGTTATTCTAGTTACGTACTGATCTTCAAGAACATTTTCTTCGACATTTGTACTATCATCGTTACCCTTAGGATACTTTGGGCTCGTACAAGATTTACTTTCTACTCTTACTTCTCGTACAGTAGCTATGTCATTATCAGTTTTCTTGTCTGGTTTACTAATCATCTTCTTGTAATTCTTCAAAGCATTCAGTGACTCTTTATTATCGGTAATACTCTTATTATGAGTTTTTTCAATGTCAGGCTTGTCCAGTCGTAATCTTTTTTTTTCTTTATTATTTTCCGGCGGAAAACTTGATTTGTCTATTTCTATATTCACATGGTCCACACTGCGTCCTTGTTTAGCCTCTGAAATTGACGTTGAAGTCTGTCTTTCACGTTTTTCATAGGAATTATCAAACACATGCACCAATGTATCTTTTCTTGAATTGTCATGATCTGCTTGGCTATCATCGAAGAGAATGTCTTTATTCCTTGCACCATGAGTACTCTGATGAGTTGGGGGATGACCTTTCTCCAGAGACAGTCTGTTATGAGAAAAGAGACTGACTGCACTGACTTCTTTCCTTTTCTTACTTCGTGATTCATGATTATCTTTTGTATTAGCCTGGTTATCATCCAGTAATGAAGATTCACTATTCAGTTGTTGATATAGCGTCATTTTTTCTGTCATTAATTTATGAATTTCAAGATCAATCTCAATCATTCTTGACATAACGCTTTCTTTTGTCATTGCATTCTCTCGTGATAGGATTTTATCTAATTTAGTTGGTGCTTTACTCTTTTTATCCTTAAATTTTTGTCTGCTCCTGATTTTATGTAGTGGGTCATTGTCATGTTTCTTACTCTCTTTTCGAGTTTTTGACCGAATCTTCGGTTTCTCTACGTACTGAATTGGTTCTATGACTTTTGGAATATCATCGTTATCCTGCCATCTTGATACTCTGCGTCTTTTGGTTATTTTTTCTTCACATTTCGATGACTCCGAAAAATCGACAGATTGTCCTTTTGTAACACTTGGATATGAAACTCCAGTTTCTGATAATATTTCTTGGGATTTTTCATGATGATGATTTAGTGCATCTTGTGATTTTGTTACATTTATTTCTGCTTGAGTTTGTGTCACTTCTGAATTTAGGCTTTTTGAGGTACTGGCACTAGGTTCATGTAATTCTGACACTTCATGGGCTTTCATATGTTCGACAAATAGTTTTGCCACTTCTTCTGTTTTTGTTATTTCATCTATTTTTACTTGTTGCTGTATTTTTATTACTCCCGATAATTTCTCCATTTCAGGTGATTCATAACTTTTAAATGCTTCAGATGGTTTAACTAATTCTTGCTTTTTCTCTGCTACAGGCAAGTTTACCACTTCATGTCTTTCCAATGTTGTGGATGAATTAATCACTTCTTCAGTTTTTCCTACTACAGGCGACTTCACCTCTTTGTGCCTTTTTAATGTTTTAAATGGTTTAATGACTTCTTGTGTTTTTTCTACTGTAGGTGACTTTACCTCTTCGTGCCTTTTTGATATTGTCGATGGTTTAACCACTTCTTGTTCTTTTTCTGCTATAGGTGACTTCACCACTTCATGTCTTTTCAATGTTGTAGAAGGTGTAACCGTTTCTTGACATTTTTCTACTACAGGAGACTTTACCACTTTGTGCCTTTTTAATGTTTTAGATGGTTTAATAACTTCTTGTAGTTTTTCTACTACAGGTGACTTCACCTCTTTGTACCTTTTTGATGATGTGAATCGTTTAACCAGTTCTTGTTCTCTTTCTGCTATAGGTGACTTTACCACTTCATGTCTTTTCAATGTTGTTGATAGTGTTACCACTTCTTGTCCTTTTTCTACTACAGGAGACTTTACCACTTTGTGCCTTTTTAATGTTGTAGATGGTGTTACTGGTTCTTGTCCTTTTTCTATTACAGGAGACTTTACCTCTTCATGCCTTTTTGATGTTGTGGATGGTTTAACCAGTACTTGTTCTTTTTCTGTTATAGGTGACTTTACCACTTCATGTCTTTTTAATGTTGTAGATGGTGTTACCGCTTCTTGTCCTTTTTCTATTACAGGAGACTTTACCACTTCGTGCCTTTTTGATGTTGTAGATGGTTTAATGACTTCTTGTAGTTTTTCTACTACAGGTGACTTCAGCTCTTCAGGCCTTTCTGATGTTGTGGATGGTTTAACCAGTTCTTGTTCTTTTTCTGCTATAGGTGACTTTATCACTTCATGTCTTTTCAATGTTGTAGATGGTGTTACCGCTTCTTGTCCTTTTTCTACTACAGGAGACTTTACCACTTTGTGCCTTTTCAATGTTTTAGATGGTTTAATGCCTTCTTGTGTTTTTTCGACTACAGGAGACTTGATCTCTTCGTGCCTTTTTGATGTTGTGGATGATTGAACTAGTTCTTCTTCTTTTTCTGCTATAGGTGACTTTACCACTTCATGTCTTATCAATGTTGTAGATGGTGTTACCGTTTCTTGTCCTTTTTCTATTACAGGAGACTTTACCACTTCGTGCCTTTTTGATGTTGTAGATGGTTTAATGACTTCTTGTAGTTTTTCTACTACAGGTGACTTCAGCTCTTCAGGCCTTTCTGATGTTGTGGATGGTTTAACCAGTTCTTGTTCTTTTTCTGCTATAGGTGACTTTACCACTTCATGTCTTATCAATGTTGTAGATGGTGTTACCGTTTCTTGTCCTTTTTCTATTACAGGAGACTTTACCACTTTATGCCGTTTCAATGTTGTGGATGGTTTAATGACTTCCTGTGTTTTTTCTACTATAGGAGACTTGATCTCTTCGTGCCTTTTTGATGTTGTGGATGATTGAACTAGTTCTTGTTCTTTTTCTGCTATAGGTGACTTTACCACTTCATGTCTTTTCAATGTTGTAGATGGTGTTACTGCTTCTTGTCCTTTTTCTACTACAGGAGACTTTACCATTTTGTGCCTTTTCAATGTTATAGATGGTTTAATAACTTCCTGTGTCTTTTCTGCTACAGGTGATTTTACCTCTTTGTGCCTTTTCAATGCTGTAGATGGTTTAACCACTTCTTGTTCTTTTTCTATTGGAGGTGATTTTACTTCCTCATGCCTTTTTAATATTGTAGGTGGTTTAACCACTTCTTGTGCTTTTTCTACTGTTGGTGAATTTACTACTTCATGGCTTTTCCCTGCTACAAATGGCTTAACCTCTTCTTTTATTTTCTTTGTCATAGGTGATTTTACATCGAGCCTTCTCAGTAATACAGATGGTTTAACTATTTCTGGTATTTTCTCCGAATCATATCTTTTCAGTAATACAGATGCCTTCCCTACTTCTACCATTTCTTCCACTTCACATAATTTTAAAGCTTCATGCGACTTTAAAAAATCATGCCTTTTCAATACTACAGGTGGCTTTATTATTTCATGTGCTCTTTCCACTTCAGGAATTTTCTGCACATCAGGTGAATTTACAACTTCATGCCCCTTCAGTATTATAGGCGACTTGCTGACTTCAGTTAATTTTTCCACTTCAGCCGATTTTTCAATGTCATGCCGTTTCAATGTAATAGACGATTCAATTACTTCAGACTTTTTTTCCACTCCAGGCGTCTCTACCAAATCATGCCGTTTAGGTACTGCAAACGGCTTAACCACCTCAAGCTCTTTTTTCATATCATCTAATTTCGCAAATTCTTGTGTCTTTTCGACGGCAGTTGATTGTTTAGCTTCATCTATCTTGGCTATCTCACACACCTTATACCGATCACGTGTTTTTCTCATCATAGATGATTTTACCGCTTTAGATGTTTTAACTGTTTCTAACCTTTTTGATCCATGAATTTTCGTTACTTCTTGTGTCTTTTCTGCAACACGTAATTTTTCCGTATCATATGTTTTCACCATTTCGTGTGGTTTATGCCGCTCTTGTTTTTTCTTCGTTACAGATAATTTAACGCCTTCATGAATTTTCATTGCTTCGTGCGAACTAACCTTTTCGTTCGATTTTCCCATTGAAGACGATTTTACCACATCGAGCACTTTTAACGGTTCTGTCGCTTTCGCCAATTCATGTACTTTCGGCACTTCTTGCAAATTCTCTGCTACAGCTGATTCCTCTACTTCCTGTTCTTTCGTTACTACTATAGGTTTTACAGTTGTATCTATTTTGAACAGTTCGTACTTCTTCGCCACTTGAGCTACTTTTTCCACTTTCGATGTTTCCGCTAGTTCTGGCAGTATCACTACAGCAGACGATTTTTCAACTTTGCCGACTTCCGCCACTTCTAAACCTTTGATACCTTCCTGTTCCAACGTTATTATCGGATCAAATATTTTCGCTGGTTCAAGCTTCTCCACAATTTCTGAAGTCTCCTTTTCTAAATGTTCTTTCTTCAGAGTGTCAACATCTTGCAGCTTCTCAACAGGAGATTTTACAGTATCAATAATATTCTCATACACCTTGTCTTGCTCAATATTTTCATCTATACGCGTGCCAGTCTCAATACACATTCCCTCAACATGTGTTTCCTTGTTAATAATCAATTTCTCACTTTTTGCTTTTCCATTCAACGAATCAGAAGACACGTGCACTTCGATACTTTCATCCTTTTGTATATCACTAATATCACCACTCGCAGAAATCACTAAAAGATTCGTCACGTCCTTGGATTGAAGTTCTTCACTCTTTTCTGGAAGCACTTGTGGGGAAGTTGTCTCCTGACTCTGCAAACTAGAATCTTCATTGGGAGACGTTGTCTTGACACACAAAGCACTGTTTTCGCATGTCTCTTCAGGAATAGATTCGTCGCTGACAGTAGCACCGTTCAGGAATTCTGCTTGGGAACGGAGTAGCGTGTTCCTCGCAAGTTGCTCTGAAGGAAGTTGTGATTCTTCTGAAAATCCTTTGAAAGGACTGTCCAGGCTGCATAGAGATGTCACCTCCGAACTTGTATTTTTTGCTGCTTTTGCATTAAAATCAACTGTGCATGCTTCTACTGTCAAAGGGGTTTGGACGTTTTGTTCAATGTCACGTAACGTTTTGTTTATATTCCCATGAGTAGTCAAAGTACTTTGAGAATGTTGCGTTTGTTGTTTTTCTTGTTCTTCGGTCGTACTTTCGACGCTAAACTTTTCACTGAAAATGTTACTGTGACAATCCCTGGCCGATTTATTTGGTGATTGCTGTACACGTTCTTTGAGCTTCGATAATCTAGGATCCTTTAAATCAGGATTGTCCTCAGTTGGAATTTGTATTTGAATCGATTGTTTCTTATGCTCTGAAGAATCTGCTGTACCAGAGGAAGCTTTTTCTTTCTGAATCTTGACTTTTAGACTTTTCAATTCAGTTGTCAACATTTTTGAGTGTTTTGTCGCACTGGATTTTTTATCGCGTAATAACGAGGATGATTTTTTCTTTGCTTTCTCTTCGATAAGTTTCATCTCCTTGCGTCCTTCTGACTTTATGTTTTGGAATTTCATCGATGGCTTTTCTTCATTTGATTTAGACCTTATCGTCCCGTTCCCTATGTCCACCTTATCCGCAGCTTCTTCTCCTGATTTCTCCACCGACAATTGATCGATATTTGAAGATCGTACATTTTCGGCATCCTCTGGTACTGTGTCCTTAGGAGGTTTATCACTCTTCTGTGAAATGTTAATTACATCTTTAGGAAGTACCGTCACGGAAGTAATGTCATTTTTTTCTTGTTTTGATTTGTCTAAAACCTTGTTCTTGGCGGACCGTGATGTAGACGCTGAATGTTCCTCTTTCTGCATATCAAGCTGTGCTGAATGAGACGTTTCGGATGTTGATTCCAATGGCTTAGTACTGGCGATCGTATCGAGCGCCTGGGAATTAGCATTGTTGCCACCATCAATAGTTTTTAAACTTGTAGATTCCTTTTCAGGAAATTCCATTAATACAATGTTGGGGACTTTGGGCATTTCTAGAATTGTTGGCATCGACTGCTTCCGCATCTGAAGACTTGTGTCCTCATTGCTAGTACATTCTTGTGTAGTGCTTAATTCTTGGCTAGTAATTAAATCTTTATTTGTGACTGGCTCTTGATTAGTAACTATCGTTTTATTAGAAAGTAATGTTTTATCAATAGTTAATTCTTGTTGGGCACTTTGATGATTACATTCAGTAGGTTCAGGATGGTTGATCGTCTTTTCTACTGAACATTCAACCTTTTCAAGACCAGGTTCGTCTTTAACGATGATCTCCTTTTTGATGTCGAGTTCTGTGAATAATGTCATCGAATCGGATTCGCTGTCAGAATATGAGGAACTACTTTCACGCGGTGCTACTCTTCTCTTTCGTTTCCTTCGTTCCTTTTCCTTTCTTGTTTTTCTCTTTCTTTCTCTTCTTCGTGATTTTCGTGAGCTACTCATTCCTTCTCTATGCTTCCTGTTACTTCCGATTTTCGTAAATAATTTGTCTCTTCTTGTCTCACTAGTACTCTCGTTCGAATCCTCTCCGCTCTTTGTTTCTCTTAATGTCTTCCCAATAGTTTGACAAGTTTCACTGCTTCTTTCCCTCCAAGTTGTCCCGCTCATCTCAATTGGACTGATTGATTCGATGACCTCTGCAACTGCCATACTGTTAGAGTCACTCGATGATCTTCCTTTATTTGATTGATACTCCTGACGGAGGCTAGAGGACTTGGCGATATTCAAAACGTATTTGTTAACGGGTACAGTGTTGCTGTGGCCCACCTTTGGGTTCCGGTCGATAACATTTTTAATAGCTAATGATTTTATGGAATCAATGCTGATGTCCTCTTTATTGGAGGAACTTTCATTACTGTCAAGGCGGCTAGGAGGCTTACCAATTTCATCATCGTTATTGGATTTACCGTACTTGGCCTCCCATTCTTCTTTAGTGAGATTTCGAAACATGTCAGGATCATCACGTGCCTTCCTGTGCCATCTTTCACATTTATCTTTTCGACTTTCTACGAATGTCATCCCCTCTTGAAACTTCTTTGTCTCAGGAACAGGTTCAGTAACCATTGGAGATTGTGAAGCTCTACCTCCTGAAGGACCAAAGAAAAGATCAAAATCAGTAACAACTTTTTCAGATGTTGCAGATTTCGTACTGTGTTTTGCCTTTGCAATACCTGCCAGGAATATGTTATCCAGGTCCATATTCAATCGAGAGTCCTGAGTCTCTTTACTTTGCTCCACGTTTATTTGTACATTGTTAATAGTCGTATCTTCGTGAACTTCATTAGCATTCATACTGATATCAATTTCCTTTTTCATCAACGACCTAGAAATAGTCTTACCATGTAGTTTATCATAAGTTGACTCGGCAGGTTGACTCTTGCTTGTCGTATGAACAGGAGTAACTTCTGCCTCTGTATTTTGTATGGAATCAGTCTGATCCTGGGGAAGAGAATTGAGTTGTAAGACTTCACCTAGGTGTCTGATAAATTCCGTAGGTAGATTTGTTATATCAATAGTGGCGCTAGGATCCAGCATTTCATTTAGTTGACATATGAATTGTTCACGATCGTAGCTCTTGATCTTCTCATCTTCGGTATTGCGCATTTCCCAAGATAGCGAAGATCGTCTCTCTTTAACAAGCTGCTTCATGGCAATATCGAATTTTCTCAGGCTTGAATTATTAAGAATATTACGTATCTCGTTCTTGCTCATTTTCAAAAATCGATCAATTACGGTACTCTTCCAGGAGGACTCGGAAACTCGTCCTCTAGCTTCACTTCTTTTACGACTAGAGATCAACGGTTTACTTGACTTTGGCGATGGCATTTTGCGAATTTGTGAGTGACTTTTTACACGGAGGGCATTTGCTGGGTTTTCTAAAGCAACTATTTGTGCCTTTAGTTTCCTGTGCTTTGCAGTAGATGTATCAGTTTGCTGTTGCCATTCCTCTTGCTTACTTATCTTCTTTATCTTAGCGTTTAAATTAAACACCACCTTCGGACGGGACTGTTCTTCTGATAATGGTACATCCTCCTGTAGTGTATTTTGATATTGCTTTGAATTATCTTGATTTTGCACAGTATGTACTTTATCAGTGGGTGACATCGACATTGTTGGCGCTGAACACGTCGCGATGTTCTCACTCTTTGATTTCTTCATTCTAAGTCGTTTTTGTTTTGGTTTATCCATGTCCGTTTTCGGCCGAGATGTAGAGGGGAGTATCGTCTCCTTGCTCACTCTTGGTGGCTCTTGCTGTTCCGAGGTCTCTGTCGAGGTCTTTGAACCTTGTTTCTTTGAAAAGAGAACCGATCGTGATTCTGAGATGGGTAAAGGAACTTCTGTAGAAGGCAAAAGAACATCTGCTGGAGGTAAAGGAGCATCTAATGGAGGTAGAGGAGCATCTACTGGAGGCAAAGGAGCATCCGGGGGAGGTAAAGGAGCATCCACAGGAGGCAAAGGAGCATCTGCAGGAGGCAATGTCTCTGGAAGTGGAGGAGAACAATAGTCTGAAAGTATCGGTGGTTCTGGTGGAGGTTCCATGTATAATTCCCCTTCAATATCTATATAATTCTGTTCTGGTTCTAAAGCCTCTTGCTGTGACAATGGTTGCACTCCGTCCAATTGTAGGAAATGACTTTGAGCCATATCAAAGTTATTTGTCATTGAGTAATTTGGAATTAAATCAAAGTCAGTCATGGGCACCATTTCAAGGAGAGATCCTGGTGGTGCTGGAGGTGGTGGCGGACCTGACAGAGGCGGTGGAGGTGGTATCGTCGATGATGGAACCTGCATTGACAATGGCGGATGTAACTGTGCTGAAACTACTGTTGGAATTAATCGCTGACGTTCCTGAAAACTTAGTCTGGGATCGAACACTGGTGGTAGTTGTGGCACCTCCTCCTGCGTAATAACACTTGGAGGAGGTTTCCGTGGGTCGAAATCAGGAAAGTTCATTCGTTCTTCGTTGGAGGAGTTACACTGAATGTTCGAAGGTGAACTAAGATGTGGAGGAGGTCCTCTATGATTGAAGCGAACACCTGAATGCATTGGATCAGCCTGCATTTGCGGAAGTGTGTCGATGTTGAGATTTTGATCCATTGAATGGAAATTCGATGGTGGAGGTAGTCGATTAAATACGGCAGGAGACGGTGTATGATGATTGAACATGACACGAGGCATATCGTGTTGATTTGGTGGTCTGGAGTTAGGGTGCATGGGTCGTAGTGTTAATGGTTTTCCACGCCCCATTGGAGACATCTCTTGCGGGTAAGGCATTCGGAATCTGGGTCCCATTTGTCTGGGTATGAATCTGGGAGGCGTGTTGACGTTACCTCGATGAAATTCTGGCCTACAATTGAAGCTAACTGATGGATTGTGATGTGGGATTTCTTCTGCAAAATTTAGCATAGTATCTTGATGAGTTTGTAACGTTGTATTCTCTCGAGATTGTACCACAGTGGAATCTATTGTAGGAATATTTGTTATGTCCTTATCTATTGCATTTTCTTGCACATTATCTACCTCTTCTTTTACTGCATTATTGGGGATATTACATTCACTCTCACCTTCAGAATTTCTTCTTTCTTCATCCAATAACGGAATTTCCGTTAAGTTTCTATTACATACTTCATCCAACACAACAACAGAATCATCTTGCATGGGGGTACGGTGCAAATCAACTCGTCCTATATCCTTAAGATCATGATAGGTTAAGTTAAAATCATGTGGATGTAATTCAGCTACCTCCTTATTGGGTGCCTCTTTTATAGATTTTGATGGAATGAGATCTACATCTTCTTCCCAAAAGTTTTCTACCTCCTGGTTCTTAATCGAAGAGAGTTTTTGTTTAAGTTTATCAGCAGCCTCAGTAATTTTCTGTTGGCGTTCCTCTTCCGATCCCAGGGGTGGAGCTGATGATATTTGTGGTAGGTTCGCAGAACTCTCATGTTGTTCATTATAAGACGGTGATGCATAAACTTCATTTTCACTTTGTAGTTCTGGTCTGTAAAGACCAGGTGCTCCAGGCATTCGCATTCTAGGAGGCATTCCACGAACATTCGGACCTCTTCCTCTACCATGATGGAATGGAACATCATGCCGAAATGGTGGTCGCACTTGAAAGTTTGGAAAGTGTCCCCTTCCATTATACTGCCAAGGAGCACAGAATGGTTGCGCAGGATGTTCATGCCAATTCTCTGAACCATGTCGTGGGAAAGATGGTCGATTAAAATGGGGCGGAGGAAAACGAGGTCCTCCTCTGACACCTGATGGTCCACGAGGACGAATACCTCGTGATCCAAAGCCCCTTCCTCTGAAACCACTGCCACTCATCACACACTATGTCCAACCTTGACGTACTTAATATCACGGTGCTTATGTCCAACTGGCAACTTTACAATTCTCTCAATAGAATCACTGATATACTTAAGCCTGGATAGCTTGTAGAACTCTGGTCCTACCGTCCTCATTTGAGAGGATTTTCAGCAAACCTAGGAACAAGAGCAGATCAGTTTTTCTGCAAAGAATAATATTCATCGTCCTGTAAAATACCATATACAATGACAACCTCAAGGAATTGAAAAAAATAAAGAAAAGCAAGCATGCATGTCTCTTCTTGAACTTACGGTTTAGTATTTTGTACGTTCTCCCACAGTAAAATAGGCGTGTTCAGGTCCCCCTTAACCTTTATAATAAAAAACACCATACGATTCTTATTACAGTTGTTGCTCAGCAATATGAAAATTTACGAGCGTGTCGACAGTCAGTTTATGTGTATTGAACGACAGCCAGAAATATAACCAATTGATGAATATTTCTCTACAGATGCTGCCTCACTTTGGCACTTTGTCTCGACTACACAAAAAACACAAGAATTTCAGTCAACTACGAACAGTAGACTGAGTAAAACAGAGATTGCTGCTCCCTCTCGATTATGCACACGCTTACGCATACGCGATTTGTTCCCGTTTACAAACATGTCTCCTCATGCATCATTGAGAGAGACATAGCCACCCGGCATAGTTTCACGTTTAGCACTATGGCGTACACTTGCACTCTATAAAATGCATTTCCGCTATTTCATTGGAATCACCATTTCCGTATAATAGTAATTATTTCATATCCTTATCAATATTATTGCTGCAATAGTAGATAAAATGTAGATTTATTCACTGGATCTTTGGTTTCTCCGTCCCAGTTTCTTATTCTACTATTGTTAAGGAATAGCACCGTGTTTAACTTGTAGATTGCGCTGCTGCTTTCTCGGGTCACTCGCGGTAACCAATAACTTTATCTTTGACGTTGATGACAATATTCCCAGGACTATGGATCAGTTTTGATCTGTTAAGTAGAATATCATTCATCGATTGTCAATATAATTTTCACATAAACGCATACGATTGCTTTAAAATTCTTATATTAAATTGTCATAGTGTCGTATAGAAGTTTAAAGCAAGAGTTACTGCGTTAACTACAAATCAGGTGATCGTCAGTCTATATTATTGATAATAATTATTAATAAGTGATCCTAGAAATCCTTCTGTATTTTTTCAAATTCATTATTACTATAGTCTTCGATAGATGTACAAGGAAATTGAATTGACACTAGTCAAATCAGTACTTGAAGTTCCGGTTGTCAGAAAGTGTGTCGGTGTCTCGAGCAGTGTACGTCAAGGATTACAACGTGAGATTTTACATTCATATCACTTGCAGCACATCACGAAAGTATTGTTTGCTGTTCATCTCAAGCATTTTCTATTGGTAAGTGTCTAAAGTTAATGGTAATATTTAATTAACTTGTGAAATGTTTCCATGAAAGACTGCAGTGGGTGGGAAAGATGGTTGACGTGCCTCACGGTGCAGCAAACCTATTGATTTTCCAATCAGTACAACGCTAATCGTATGTACATTCTTGGCATGAAGCGCGTCTGTTTATTCAATGTGATACAGTAACTTAGAACTTATTAATACCAAGTTTTTAACCGTCAGAAACAGTTCTTGTTTATTCCAGTTCGATTGAATTCACTGACATTCCACATACATGGGTGGGTGGCGCTTCCGGTTCGTTTGAACGCGCGCGCCAAAGATAGATACAACTTTTCTAACACTTTCTTACTTTATTTTATCCATAACATCATTATTTTACAGTCATAAATATTAATTAACAATTTTCCAAGACTCGTTGCCTACTTTTTCTTGATTTGTAGAAACTATCAGCTACTAAAATTTGTTAATATCCAGTACAATATTTGAATTTTTTAAATAGAGAGATTTATCGTACACGACGATAATGCTCTAAAAAATAATCCAGTTATGTGTACAATGTAATGCAAAAATGCAGATGGTTAGGTGATTGGACATGAAATAATAATATTGCTGTCACAGTTTTCGACGTGGGATACACACGCCATCCCTCTTAGCGATTATCGTAAACAGTTTTCTTTACAAATATATGTAAGCACGTATATATGTAACAAGTGCATGGCTATAGATACAGCGACATGGTCAGAGGTACGTGATATCGATTTTCAGGAGTATATGCGCCTGATAATTCTTCCGTTTACTTTTACGCAGTGTCATTTTCATTGATCGTTATATTGCGCAACGTTACTTAAGGGAAGATCTTGTTTATTTTTTAAAAAGACTTCTTTAGGAAATACTCAGTAACAGATAGCACATGCAGATGCATTACAGCATTTTCTTCAACAACGTCAACTCCATCGAGCGATTATCAGGAAGAATTTCTCATGCCAGTTGATTCCTCGTTCGATTATCATCTTGTCTAAATTTAAATCCGTGACTCGCGTATCATAGTCATGTAGTCATAGATATTCGAGACACTCACATAGTTGCCACATTTGCATGTGTTGTCTCACTTCTTACATCAGTCCGGTTGATTCTTTTATATGTATATCTATATTGTTATTCCCTGCCTATTATCGTGACGAAGTTCTCAGTCTAGCAATGAGTAAAACGAACTATTAGGTTAGAAAGAACTTTAAAGAAGCCTTCTGAAAATAAAAACTTGCGTTACCGGTGATTCTGCACGTTTAGAATTGCGTATGTAGCTTTAATTACATTATCAATACTCCCCTCTGGTTTTCATTCGTCTTTATTTACATTAATATTTCCATTTTAAAGGGAAATGAGGTTGACGTCATTATGTGGAATCTACTTGAAGCTACAAGTCGATTGTCAATGAGCAACTACCTTCACAGTATATATGGATTTTATCTGGCCTGCTTTCCACAATAATTTTCTATGCACTCCTCGGCCCTCACCCTCTTCGAATTGGAATATTAATGCTGAATCGTGCGGTTTCATCACGCAAGGAAAGAAGTTTCTGAAGTATTTTTTCATTTTTGGAAATGGACCGGCTATAACAGATTTCTTATAACGCCTTGGGCACATGCTGATAAGGGATATAAAATATCCAAGTAAGGTTAGTCAGGGTTTCTTATCTTCTCATTACTTGCGCCTATCCTATACAAAAGTCCTCTTCATCCTTATCATTATGGGAGTCTGACAGATGCAATCATTGAGACCAGGAAATTATTTGCCGATTCTTCGACTACGGCCTCGGAATATTGCGTAGTGATCTTACTAATCGACGTCGACCGTCGCAGAACTACTCTACGACCACCTCTGGATGCTGCCTAGGTTTCTGCGCAGAATCAGTAAAAGATATAGTGGTAGGTGGTGCCAACGCTACCTACGTAATATGACCATGGGATATGAGGGTCGTGGCGGTGTAGCTGTAGAGTGGGGTGGCAGTAGAGCCGAAGACTAACGGAAATCTACGAATTTCAACGAAATCCAACGGGAGTTCGTTAAAATCCGTATATTCCCGAGTGATCTCGGGCTCTCTGGTGGTAGCCCAAGTATCAACCTGCAGAAGCTCCTCACTCGCAAGCTTGAATCCGTCGCGAGAGCAGCTCAGTCACTTTCGAGCATCCCCTCCCGAGTTCCAACACAAAGCAATATTCTTCAGTCTTCCTTTCCTGTTGAGAAGTTACACGGTTTACAGTTGACAGTTACTACGGTTTAACAGTTGTAGCATACATGTCGTATTGACTGTACCTCGTTCCTATAGGCTAACAATATATACGACAGATATCACAAGATCCTGTCGTAAAGTGGGTTCTAGAGGAGAGAAAGAGAAAAAAAAGATAATCGTACATTGTAAGTAGCATGAAACGAGTAGTGAACGACAATGCCTGGCTCTTAGGATTAATGATTAGGTAGTAGCTTTAGTAGTCATTCGATATCATAGTAGCTTGTACGATTATTAGTAGATAAACTAGTAGTCATTCGACAATGAGATTTTTCTTTATATACTTTCTTTTTGCTCATCCGCTTCACTCATTTCGTCCTCAAGTGAACTTTCGGTTCTCAGAGGAGGATGTAGGACACATTCTCATCTTCCAACCAGAAAATTTCAACATTTATTTCTGCATTTTGGAGGATTAGTTTCCTTTTTCTCTTTCACTCCCTACCCTGCCTCACAGGAATCGTGTGACTGTTGAACAGTTGTAAATAAATGAATTCCCACTTCTTCAAGTTACTTCTTGTTATATTTTCACACTAACACTTTTCTTAGACTTTCAATTATTCTTTGCTTATTGAAAAGAATATTTTTAGCATGATATAATGATATTGCATAGCAAGAATGGAAGATTCCTTTTCTAATCCCTTTACAGTAGACTGCACTGAAATTTCCTTTGTCCGTTTTTCTTTTTATTTTATACTTGGAATTAATATTTGATAATTTTTTTCGTTGAAGTCATACGATACTATAGTTACCTCAATAAGATTACTGCCATGATTATAGGATTGTTTGTTATCAATTAGTCATTCGCTTTTGGTAATTAGATCCTGGTCTACTTACGTGGTGATAATTAGCCAGCAGTCTTATCCAGGCGATAAAATATTGTTGCATTGTAATAGCAGGAGTCTCTGGTAGATTAGGGACTAGAAAATGTTGTATGAGGTTTTGGGGTATCGTGAGTGCGTTTCAGAAGGTCAGAATAGGTTGATTGACCAGCTCAATTGACCTCTATAACATTAAATAGGGTTTTTAATCTTATTCTCCACTGCCATTGTTATCACGTTGGATAATTTGAAATTTAGAAATAGAAGCAATGCCCATTCATGGATATCTCTGTAGGCCAGTCCTTGGACGATTAGTGAACATATTTAATACTGAATGAACTTAATACTGAATGGATTTAATTAGTATGAAATTAGTGTGAGTTTCAGATTTTCATAGGTACCATTAATCACCTAGTGAAAGGGTCACGCGGTATTTCGAGTAAGAAAGAAAAAAATATATATATGCGAGAATGTGGAAGATCGTTTCCTAGTAGTCACGACTTTGTGAAAAAGACTGTAGGGAAACGTCATGCACGCGACCTTGTTTAGACGTTCATCGTATCTTCTGTTTGTTCGATGCCTCCCTGGTCTTCGAGGTTGAGGATTTGTAGGATCTAACGTATCGTGGAAAAGGATTGTGGAATTTTGTATTTCACGTAAAGTTTCTTTGACCTTTTAATCAATTTGTATCCTGACTGACCTCATTATCAGGATTCCTTTAAAAAATTTGGTATTATCGTAGATGCACCTTGGACTACGGCCAGGTCGAATATCTGGGTAATCGTCGCAACCCATGTTCAACGTAGTAAAAAGGTCATGGATGACAATGACAAAGCGGAGCTTTCTTCGATGTCATCGAGTCTAATGAAGTTTGCCAAAAAAGGAGTGCATTCTTCGAATATTGCGTTACCCTTGTCAGGAACGTTAAGCTGATCGGACGAGGGTAGAAAGAAGTAGAGAAGGCAGCCAGGAAGGAAAGCCGGCGTAGAAAGCACGTGTGGGGGATGCGCGCGATTCGCTTGGTATTGATTGTAAGCCCGTTCCTTCCGAGGGCACGGCGACCTCCTGGACCCCCCCGCTGCCTACCTAGACCTCTACCATCGTCACCCACGTCCTCTTCTATTCTCTCTCTCTCTCTCTCTCTCGACCATTGGCGCTCTCTCGAAAGCACCCAAGCATCCACCCTACTCTAAACTGGGTCTCTGTTTTAGGCGCTTAAACCCATAACAAAGGGTCAGCCGAGTGCGAGGACAAGGCTGATCGACGATCCGTTCAAGCAGGGAATTTCGATAGATACTGCCAAATCCTTTTGGTTTTCCAGCTGTGATCGTCTATTTTCAGTTTAATCTTAACCTGGCACTCTACTCGGACGGTACTCGTAGCGTTTTTCTGTTTTTCATTCATTGACCTTGATGCCCAGCAACCTTGAAACTTTTAGCTACGCCACACTCGATGCGTCACTACTTGCTGTTCCTAACGCAAATGTATAGCAGGCTCCTTGTCTTTCTCGAAAGAAAGGGAACACAGCGTCGATACGTCGAGAAGCCAAGACGCTGATGTTTTCATAAGAAAGTTCTTGGATGGGGAGAGGCGAGTCTAGCGAAGAAAAGAGAATGGCTGACGAGCTAGGATTACCTATAGAGGAGCTCCGAGGGATGAAAATATTCAGGCAATTTTTATTGAAGTGTCCGGACTAGGCACCGTGGACCAGTTGCTGCTTTTACTTTAATTTAATTCGAGAAGAGGCCTCGTCCACGAGAGCTGCTCACGCGCAATTAAAGCGAAGCGTCTCACTCTACGAATATGCACCGTAACCAGCAGTCTTCCTCCTAATCACCTTTATAAAACGAATTCATAACGGCAAATCAGAAGCATTCTCTATTAAAAAGAAAAGAGGCATTCAACGGCAATCATGGTCGTTAACTCAGTTTTTTTTTCTTTTTTTCTGACGTCACGGTAGCATAGCAATAAGCAAGATAACGACTGATTTTTTAAAAGTATTCCATGACATTTGACATCTCAAAGGGTGCAGATATCATTAGGGTGATGTTTTCGCTTTAGCATGGCCTAGTATTTCAAAAGGAGCGTAAATCCCAGTGGCTTTTGTCATAAGTTCTGTATCTTTCTCGTGAGTACGAGAGAGAAACGCGTCTGCGGGTGTTCAGACGCGCGGGAGAAGGACGAAGACATTCGGACCCAAAAAATTATTTAACTCAAACCGCGCATCGTTCGCAACTGTCATCTGAATCTTCGATTAATATCAGTTCTTTAAAATTTTTAATTCTTAAAAGGGACCTGAAGGGGCGTCACGTCGTTCCAGATTTACCCTCATTTTTTAAACTCCCGGCCACTACGGCTGAACTTGGCGGTACTTGGCAGAGGTTATTGCGAGGCCAAGTGCCAACTAGAGTTCGAGAAAGGGGTCAGTGTCAGTGGTAGGACACATTAATCCTGTACCTAGTGAATTTGGCCTAGCGGCATAAGGCACTCAAGTGCCTTTAGTACTTGGTACTCGATTACACGATACATATACATACATATATAGCATAAATATTGGGAAATGACATCTCCCCAACAATACATCCCGAAGAGACTTCCCATTTGCATTGCAGTTCGAATATTGATACGATCAGATATATTTTTAGCTATAAGCAAAATAATATACTACTCGTGCACGTTCTATTTTTTTTCTTCCTTTTCTGTGCTTATTTATTCAGCAATGACGTCACTTACGTCCACGTCAGCATCTTAGGCGATGATGCCTACCGTAATGACGGCAGTAGAGTACCGTAACCCTCTTTTGCTATCTCTCTCCTGCGACCGAGTAGCCAACTCCCTTCAATTTGCATTCTAATCTCCATTCTTCGAAACGGAGAATCGGAGTACCCAGCGATAGCCTTTGAAAATAGAAGAAAAAAATTAGCTGACGCATCACGCAGAATTGCCACCTTCAGAAAGTCCTTCGCCATTAAGGTATAAATGTTATGGATAGCCATGCGCTTGAAAATTCTCTAGGCATCAACGTTACCGTTCTTTCGAACTAAGTTAACCAAACGGCTCGGCGAAGAAAATTATGCACGACACTCGTGCTGTGTACACGAATCCTTATCACGTCTGTTGCACGTATTTCAATACATATGCATCCTTTAAAACATAATTAGTTTACTACATAGATATTTTAGTTGCTTGACTTCACCGTATTTAGTAAATGCGTTTACAACAGTCTCACTTGTGTACTTACTTTTAATTAAACTCTACATTATTCTTATATTACTTGTTTAATTATCTGTTGTAATGTCGGTAAAAATGTTACTATCAATTATGCTTATGGACTTTGGCCCAGAATAAAATCGCTCTTGCACACTGGGTCTTACTTGGGATCTGATTGGCTTTAATCGGACTTTTCCGTGATCGTACGATCACTTGGAATATAATGATTGACAGATGTGATTATAAGGTTACTTAGAGAGGTCAGGTGTGATGGGTTGTTATTATTTGCACATTTGTATACTATACCTGTCATTATGGATGTATTGTGATTAAGAGTTCCTTTTATTAATTGTTTTTAAAGATTCTTCGTGGAGCTTTAGGAGATCAGGTCGACCCAGTTACCTACAAGTTCAAGAAGTCAACCGCCACCTAGTGGAGGATCGTCTCTGGTACCCGAAAGGTGTTGAGGGAGGAACATTTGTATCGAGGGTGAACATTCTTAAGGATGCCAGCACCAACGTCAGCAGCGGGTCCTGCCGAGGGCGGTCCGCCCCGTACCGAATTACAGGAGTTACAGCTAAAGGCCGGTCAAACCACCGATGAGGTTAGTTCACATTTGAGCAATCTGATTCTTCAGTTGGGTAGATGAGATATTACAGTTGACGCTTGTCGTCGACCGTTCTCGCAGCACTTGGGATAATTGTCAATTGGACATGTATCTGTTATTGTCCACGTAAGCCGAGGAGTAATTATCGACGTCTGGACTGATTGATGTACTCACGATATATTTAAACTTATCGATTTACTCGTATTACGTCAACATGCGGCACGGGCGTTCATGTAGATGCCTACTCATTCTATCGTGGAAGTAATCCCTTGGAAAAGCACAGTAAACAAAAAGGTTATTAGAACAGCAGATACTGAGGTAGTACCGTACCAGAGATGAACGATGAATCGTGCAAGGGGTGAACCCTATGGCCTGTCAGTTCTTATCTTAAGCACGATATTAAGTCATCTTCTATCGAGTATTAAGGGTAGGAGAGATTGGTATCAGTCGAGAAACGGTATCAAATAAAATAAAATCGTTTAATCAGCCATCTATCGGTGGTGAATGAATTATAATTGCCTGATCAGCTGTAATGCTTTAAGAAAAAGTGACCGAAATTTAAGAAAAAAATTCTGTAAGTCATTAGTAACATTCAGTAAAGATGTAATTCGTTTGCGTTTGAATCGACATCAGTCTTTCCCGTATTCTGTAATTGAATCACGGTTTGCCGTTATTTTTCAACAAACCGCATCAACTGATTCTGGCGAGTAACAGAAATCAGTGGATACCATTGGCTGAAATTTAATAACCTCAGCCGTCGTTAAATTACGAAATATACCTCAAGATGGCGTGACTACGTCTTAAGACTGTGCTTTCTCTAATGTTTTATTTGTCTTGTTCATTTTATTGGTACCTGGTGCATCCGATCGGTCAGTATAATCTTTACGGTCGATTTTATTTAGCAGAGGGTAAGTCTGGGATAAACTCGACTGGAAGTTCTACTTGACCGACCGAAGAGTGTGTTTCAATTTTAAACCCTAGCGGCGCTGCTGGCGTTATCCCTAGGAGATTCTGTGGTAATAGTCCGATTGAAGAATAATCTGAGCATTGCTTGTGCTTTGACTTGACACAGCTACTCGGATGATAGTAGGAATACATCCTTTTTCCCTTCTCACCTTTGCCCTTTCTCCTCCTTTGGACTTTACGAAAGTTTCCTCGCGCTTGGATTACTCCTCGGTTCTATCTCTACCTGGGATTGGTACTGGGATACTGTATACGTATATTCTTGGAGAATTCAACCTCTTAACCACGTGGGTATCCCTTGGCTGTATCAAGGACACTGAGAATTAAATTGAATTAGCTGATTAAATATTTTAATCGACACGATTCTTTCTTTCACATGAAACCTTATGTATGCGTATACACACATTTCATGAAAGTTTATTTATTCTGGCGTCGCTTTTTGTATGACGTCACTGATCTCTATTGGAATCATAGGAAAATACCTCTACATACCAATCGTTGTAACCTCGTCGACTGGTACCACGGCGAGTGGAATGTCGAGTTATATTCAATAATTCAAGCAGAAAAATACAAAGAGACCGAACTATTTACGAGGGTGCACGAGGGGTTCGCCGGGACACGAAATGAGAATGTAGGGTTGTAGTAGAAATGTTTGTCACTCGTACCTCTCTCGATGGAAGCATACGACAAAAAGCATCGTCCTGGGGCGGATCTTGAAAGTGAATAAAGGCATACAAAAATAAAGGACGTGAAACGTTCGCTGGGTACATTGGAGAACGGAGAGGATTTTCGGTATTGATTTTCCGGAAGCACCTAGGAGCTCGGCCAGGGTAACTCTAACTATCGCTACGTTGTTGCCACCAGCACGACCCCATGACATTAGCTGGGGAGTGTGGAGGCGTTAGAGCTCGCGCCCCCATAACCTTCATCCACGTTAGAGCATTCCATGGAATCTGCGGGGAGCCGTAGATCGGCCGAAACTGCTCGTTTCGAACGTCTTCCTCTTTACTCCAAGGACGTCGGAAGAGGACAGGAGTATTCTGGTCTTTCTGGAGAAAGACACGAGAACGAGAAAGAAACGAGACAAGCATCCAGGTGAACCAGGAAGCACACCAGGTTATAGTGGTCTTGGACAATTTACCCTGGAATTTTCTGAAGTCCTACCAGGTCGTTCAAGGAATTTTTAATATTGCGCTGAACTACCGGAGCTCCCATGGAAGATGTCATGAATGACCAGGGTACGGCTGGCGGATATAGAGGAATTCAGCGAGAGGACCTGGAACGCATGGCATCGACTATACTAGACCCAGGTCCAACCCCGTCAATCATTTTCCGTCCCCTATATAGATATATCATAAAAGGAGGAATCAAGAGGGTTGATTCTCAATTATTGAACCTGGACAAACGTATATATATATAGTTCAGTAATTTTCCGCTTTGACTTCGACGCACGTTCAGTCTCTCCTTTATTCTCGGACGATGCCTCTCCGTGAACTCATCCCAGGTTTACAAGTTAGAACGTGTTTCGCATTACAGAAATAACTGAAGTCCAACTCCCTCACTCGGGTGGCGCGATCCTTTTTTTCATTATTTGTCCAGTAAGAAGCGCTCACTCTCCCGCCTTTGTTGTCCCTGGGAATGACGTGAACAAGGACTAGGTCAAACACTACGTAAGAAAGGTGACCGTTGAGTAGGGTGGCAAGAGACGCAGTTAGGATTATGCCTAGGTGACGAGTAACGTAGTGGGTGTGTCTCCTCGATGCTACTTGTGGAAGAGGGGTTGGCGCGGGTCTGGTTACTCTCATTGAGAGTGTCGGGTTGAGTGCTGAATGGAGAATGAAACAGGGGAGGGGGATGCTTGTCACGGGTTTATCGAGGCGCTCGAAGATCCTCTTGGCGTGTTGCCGGCTATGACGGCGCTGCCATTCGCATAGACCCCGGGTGGAGGGTGTGTGCAGCACTCGACACCATGAGAACCATCATGAGGAAGGGTGGTGTTGGTCGTCCTGGTTGCCAAGCGACGAGCGTTGCGCGCCAACGGGGTTGCGTCTACAGTGGTAGCACGACGCACGGCGTCGTGGATGTTCTTCGCCGGCGACGCCGTCAGTTCATTCCGATCATTCACACGCGGAACAAGTCTTATACCTTTGTACTTTGTACGGGGATACACCTAAGGACGCGTATATATATATGTATACGGATAGTCAGGTTAGATTTGTAGAGTGACACTCTGGGGCTGGGTCCTATGGGAACGTGTATCAGGTTCGTGTATTTCCGTAAATCCGCGTCGGCAACTTCGGTTTGGTTTTTTGTAGTGGTATAATAAAAAAGAAAAATTAAAAAATATATATAAACTGTTATCGACGTTCTGGAAAACGACTATCTGCGTTCTTAAAACTCGGATAAAAGGTTCTCCAAGTCCTTAGGGCATCCTATACTTGTTTACTCTTATTCTTCGCCCCCTAAAGTCAGTTTATCCTTAGTGGTAGTAACCTCACTGGCGTATTTCCACATAGTAATTTCGTGAGATTAGTGCGTGACGCATGTCCTAAAAATACAGAGTTACTCGCGTCCTTGTTAAAGAGCTTATCGGCCATTTCATGGGCGGAATCACTGCGTGCTTCCGTGAGACCCAGTGAGTAGTGAAAGAAAAGGGTCTAGAGGCGGCTGTCGAAATTGTACAGGAAACTGATTTCAATAATTTCTAGTTAAAGGGTTTAGAAGTAGGATGTAGACGGAGGGGTCGGCCTACGCTTACCGCAAGATCCAGGAACACCTACTCGTCTGCAGGAAGTGGAAGGGACCACAGGAGACCTAGCACCTGTTGCAAGGGTCGACCGAGTGAAGTGAGAAGAATCAGACATCAGTCAGACACAATTGAAGACTTCTGGCCGACATCGCTGTAGGACACCGATAGTGGAATCTGGGAGTATATATATATAGATAGAGAGAGGGTGGTGTCGGGTGGGTGAAAGAAGAGACACCCGGAGGACGTCCAAGGACCCAGGGACGTTGATATCCTGTTGTCGTCAGCATCCTCTTCCTTAAGTATCCGTGATCCTTCGAGCGCGATTAAACTCGAGTAAGGGAAACTTATTGGGGTTGAGATTGCGCGGCGGTGATTTAAATGAAAATCAAGATGAAGGAAGGTCTGGACTCGGGCCGCACAGTTAGGCTTGATCGTGGCGGCGGCGTCTCTCATCTGCTGCAGGTGAAACCCCTCGAGGTATGAAATTAATGGATCATCCTTTATACTTCATCTTTGTTCCTTCTTTTTCATAAGGACGTCTTGGGACGATGTCCACCAGAAAATCGGATATGAAGGATATTTAAATTAATTACCGCTTTTTAAATTTACCGTCATATTTCACTCTCATCGTACACCCTAGATCTGGATAAGGAAAAAGTGGAAATTTGTCAGCATTAAAACATATAAAAACCCGCTGTCCTTTTCTTAGACCTGGATCATTTTTCATTAAAGGGCTGTCGTAAATCTCGAGATTGTACTCGTGCACGATTCCTAAATGTCGTGGCAGGTCGCATCGGGCTCGTCACGCAATCGGATGGCAATCGGCTTGGTTACTCGAGGAAAAGCAGTCGCAGCGCCATCTAGGTAGCGATATTTAAAAGGGTATTAAAACAGGGTCACCAGGAGTTGTTCCGTTCGGACAATTAGTTTTCTTCCCTAATTGCCTCTGGGTCCACGTATACAAATTGAGCTGCGAACAACCCGGGTGCTCCCGTAGTGCTTTGTCAAGCTTGACTGCCGCAGGGTTGTGGTTCAACCTGATCCAAGCAATGATGGAGTCATCGGTATCCGTGGAATACGTCACGAATCTTCATTAAGCGACGCCAGGTGGTAAATTGCCCGACAAAAATAGACCCGGATGGAAGTTGGACTCCTGAATACAAATATCGATAAATAAAATGAACAATGGCTGCCGTTTAAGGGGATCGGATGTAAAGCATCGAAGATACATTTTAACCCGGGCGTAAGCGCGTGGGATGTGTGGAAGTTCAATTGAATACTTTTTAAATGGAGAGGCAAATTCGTTGAATTCTCTCAGGTTAATGAGGTAAGAGAAGGAGGATGACGTGGTGGTACTGCCTTTTTATCAATCAGTAATTCTAGGCATAACTATACGCGGCCCTTGGCCACTTCCACAAATAACTCCTATAAGTAATCGATTGGCAATGTACGACAGCGTTATGAACGGCCGTCGACGTCGGGCGTCACTGTCGGCGTCGACTAGCGTCGGGGGTAGAAGCTCTTGACGTCACAAGCCGGCAAATAAGGAAACTCGTATAGCCAGTAGGAGTTCTTGATGCTTTCAGTACAGCCATTGAGAATTTACCGTAAGCGTTACACGCCTCGGGACATCCACCAGCGTGGGCTAAAGATCCGTTTCTATGAAAACGAAAAAACGTATTTACTCATACATCCGACGCTCGCCTCTTAGAAGTTATGATTTGTATCTTTCACGCTCAAACGATCGAATATGCGTAGGTAGAATAAATTTAATAGGGAAAATGATATAGTTTATAGTTTTATATCCTGATCCTTTCCATAGGTCCGTCTTCTTCCAAATTAAAACTCCTCTGTTTCCTCTCAGCTCGGGTTTCGCCCTCTTTCATACTTGACGACGAGCCCCTCCGTCGCCGGCCTAATCTCCCGTCCTTGAGCCCCCCCCTCTTGGAACGACCCCTGGAATCGCCTCTCTGTTCCTTAAAATTCTTATACTTTATATGCAACCGAATAAACGATATATGTTAATACCAACAGTCGCTTACATGAGAATCAATCTAACGCCACTGTCGCGTTCTGTTTCAGTCGCTGGAGAGTACACGGCGAATGCTGGCACTATGCGAGGAGGTAAGGCAGCCTTTTCCTCTTGATACGATAATAAAGAAAAAAAAAAAAAATTATTTATAAATCACTGAAAAAGAGCAGTACTGAAAACAAGTACAAGTAAACTTAACCTCTAAATGCTCGTTGCGCCGTTAATCGTCCTTAAAAAATAAGCATAAAACGGCACGGTACGTTGCGCCCCTTCGCTCTGCCTTTTGGGCGAATTCGCACGAGAGCTGACAATTAGGCAAGAGGAGTGTCCCGCGAGTGTACAACGAAGCATTGATGTTGTTTAAGTCATTAACGGCGCAAAGAGGGCTCTCCATCGAGGCTAATATAGTTTAAAGCGTTTCCATGTAGGGCAATGTATCGACTCGCTATAGGTACATAACCTATAAGTCACGTGCAGCTTTCCCGTCGATCATTGCGCGCCGCGTGAGTTGACCAATCGCCGCGAAGTTCGTCGTCCGAAAGTTTGGCGGACAGCAGGTAACAATGAAACGTACGAAAGAAACGAATAGTTTAGGATTAAGAAAACGATTAAACGAAATGGCGATTGGATGCAATGCCCTTGTGAACGGAGGATAGGACATCGTTGTCTCTTTTTTAAACGCATTAAACAATACCAGAAACAAGAACGGGCATCGTCTTAATATCCTGTACTATACCAGCTGATGTTTAGGAAGCGACAACGTGTCAGCCTCTTCTTCTATAACTCGCGTAATCTTTTAGGTTACGTCTAGCTAACTTAATCTATTATCTTTTAACCTCCTATATATAACATACAGGATCTCTCATCTAACGAATGCAATAGGGTCGTCGCTTCACCAGGTCGAAGTCACGCTAATGCGTTCATATTATTTGCTACTCTTGCTATTTAATGAGGGCGAAAGTTTTCAGTCACACTCCTTACTTGTTGGTCTAATGGAAATCTCCCGAATAGTCTGAAAGCACAGGCATCAGTTTGCTCGGGTAGCATGATAACCCTATTCTACTCGTTGTATGGGACACCTTCTATGTACTATCCCCCTATGTAATTGACTTCTCGCGGGAGTCGCGAGTCTCTGAGCATCCTGGAAGAAGATTTGCTGCCGCCACGCGACACTCCATGTGGATCATCCTTACCATGACGCGCATTCTTAACCTTCTATTTCCTATGTGAATTTCTACCTCCTTATTTTCTGTATCTATCTATCTATCTATCTATCTATCTATCTATCTATCTATCTATCCTCTTATCTTGATTATCTGATAAGTGTTGTCTTTTACTTAATACTCTCTCTCTCTCTCTCTCTCTCTCTCTCTCTCTCTCTCTCTCTCTCTCTAAATTTCATTCTATTTACTATCTTTCTCACTTCCATATTTTGGAAAGCGCACTTTCTCTCTCTTTCTGTATGTATCTATCTATCTATCTATCTATCTATCTATCTATCTATCTATCTATCCTCTTATCTTGATTATCTGATAAGTGTTGTCTTTTACTTAATACTCTCTCTCTCTCTCTCTCTCTCTCTCTCTCTCTCTCTCTCTCTCTCTCTCCCCTCTCCCTCTCTCTCTCTCTCGAGTGCGTATGTGTTCGTATCCCCATTGCCTAAGTCTTTCCCTCTTATCTGTACCTCACTCCATTTGTTTATCTCTGTTCTATTAACTGTGCGTGTGTGCCCGCCTGTGGCGCGTGTATGCGTGGCACCTGTATCTTGATGTATTTGTTTTTTTCTGATATACGTGTAGTACGTCTGTCGTCGAGAAGCGTCGGTAGCCTCCGGTAACAGGACGTTACTACGTCCGCTTAGCCGATAGTCGGTGCCCGTCGCAATCCTTCGGCACTGTCCGCGTGCGGATGAACTTCTTTTGCAGGACAACTTCAATTCGCCTTTGTCAGAGGGCGAGATCAGGAGAATGCGGCGTTTTACCGAGACGTCGCGACGACAGTCGGCGCTAGGCGTCGTGAGCCAAGTTTAACTCTTTGTTGAAATCACTGACTGCCGGAAGTGTCCCTCCTTACGTTGTCTCTGGCCCTCTTTCCCCTCGTAACTCCTTTCAAGCTGCCCCGGAGTTTCAGGATTGTTTCATTAATTAAAAGAGATACACAAGTATCACAGATATACATAGTCAGCAAAGCCGAAGGAACAATTAAGGAAAAGGAAAATGGCGGATGGCCCGGAAGCTACCGACTCTCGCTTTCTGGTCCGGGCACTGATGACGACTCTCCTGTCGACAGTGTCGCCATCTACTCCATCGATATTCCTTCTTTACGATTACCCTCACGTACCCGCCAATTAATCGTATTTAAGAACACGAACTTTTTAAGTGGCAAAGTCAAACGTCGATCGATGTGTATATATACATATGGTATATCCTATACACACGTGCGCTGCTGCTGCTGCTGCTGCTGCTGCTGCTGCTCTGTCGCTGTTACTGGCCGTGATGATTACTGTTGCTGTTGTTGCTGTTGCTGATTAACGATAATATATACATCACGATCCTCATATATAAACGATGTTGATGCTGAGATGTTAGTGGCTGAGCTGTCGCACTGTCTGTGTTCTGTAAACTCACACAAACTTTACGTACTCTCGCACAGTCCGTTGCGTACGATCGATGAACGATTACGTAAACGCCTTGAAGTTATCGCCAGACCTTTCCAGAGACAATTGCCCGTCGATCCGTTGTCTGATAAATTAACGTGTTATTTGGGGGCGGATCGCGAACACAATGACGAAAATATTTTAATAAGGTTACGGACAAGCTTTGATAAATTATTCAAGGCTGTAACTAAAAAGCCTCTTGGAACGTCTGCTCGCACAATAGGCCGGGGCTTGTAGGGTGCGAGGAAATGGCCGGCGGCCCTCTCGTGGGTCGTCTAAGAAAATCACGTTTTCGTACTTAAGGTTTCGTGTTGCTGCATGAATATCGAAATAAATGTTTTTTTCTTCGCCTGTATATATATATGTGTATATATATATATATATATATATATATATGTGCTTACAGATAGGTAAAATCTTTCAGCGAGTTTCCTCGTGCCTTCGGGCAAATATAACGAGTTCGGAATTGCCTCGATGCTTGTGAACTTTGAACTCTCCTCCTTCGTTCTTCCCGTACGTCGGTCAATAAGGTCGAAGGAGACGAGAACTCCAAATGCAGAACGAATATCCTGGCCGATACCGTAAATAAATATTTCTCAAAGGATCGTTTAACTCGTTATCACTTAATTTCATATTTCACAACTTCCGATGTTGCCACGTCACGCTCGTTTCATACTGCCCCCCCCCCCC